TGGCTGTCAAAGGTTTAAAACACGTCGGTGAGAGCAGTTCTGCTCTGTGTTTGTGAGACCTGGCCTCTCTGAGTTGAGGATGTTAGACGACTCTCTGTGTTCGATCATCGTTGTCTCCGAAGGATTGCTGACATTTAGTGGCAACACCATGTTAGTAATGCAGAGGTTCGGCATCGTGTGTTCGGGCACAGAGACGATAATTCCATTGGTGTCACCATCTTGAAACACCGACTTCGGTGGCTTGGACATGTTTTACGAATGTCGTCCCAGAGAATTCCACGTCGTGCATTATTTGCCGACTCTGGGACTGGTTGGAAAAAGCGGAGAGGTGGTCAGTATATGACATGGTGTCGCGGTATGAAAAAAAGCTGCAAAGGGCTGACTTGTGTTGATCCTTCACGATTCCCTGGCTGGGGTCCGAGAGACGGTGTAACAGTGGCTAGAAACATTATCAGATATGGCTCAGAATAGAAGCCAGTGGCGATCCTGCCGTAACCTTTTACTTTCTTCATAAAAAGTTGTTGCTTCTTCCTTAACTGACAGATTTTTTCCGTTTTCCCCATTGTTGTTCTCTCTTTTTTTTATAATTCCCTACGTTCCTTATCTTTTTCCCCTTCTCTTTAAATTCTCATTGTTTTGTGTGGTGCATATATATTTGGTGCCCCCTTATACCAATATTTATGTGTTCAAATAAATAAATAAATAAATCATGCAGAACTTCCCATGGTCAAATATAAGAAATGAAGATGAGTGGGACATTATTTGAATGGGAACCATTTTAAAAGTGGCGTGGCCCGAAGTACCGTTTTATGTTCCCTGTTATTTCTTCTCGACGTCAATGAATTACCAAAATTGCTTAAGCCCTCGAAATTTTTTGGAGATCATGTGAAAGTCTGGAGAATAATGACACATGAGGCTTAACACTTTAATATCAAAGGTGATTTAGAGCAATCAATTAGACAGTCGCAAAGTTGAAATCCAGACATTTATTTTAAAAAAGGTGCTAATAACCATCGGACAAGGTAACAGTTACTAGTATACTATTATTGGAACACAGCTATCACATGTGTGGAGACCAAAAGACCTGAAATTATTCGTAAGTCGCGGCTGCCTATTGGAATGCAGCGGGTGCTAGTTTTTCAGTTATGGTCACTTTGCCGAACTTTCGAACTTTTTATTTATTTATTTAAACACATAAATATTGGTACAAGGGGGCACCAATATATATGCGCCACACTTTTGTGGGTAGGCTGAGATACTGCCCGGGTGCCCAGACCAAAGCAGGTGGTTTTCTCAGGGGTCCACACCCCGAGCCTTTGACCTAAAGGTCTAGTCCACAAATCAGTGGAGCATCGTAAGGAGATGCAGTCCCATGGAAGCCGGTGACCAAGAAATTGGTTCATACGCCATTTATTCCTTCAGGATACTGGAGCCCATATGCACCATTAATTTGGGATCCGGCTAAAGCGTCGGACATTCGCTTTTCTTATTCTCATTTTCGTAAACAACAGTAATGTCACGAGAAGGCAGTGAGTAGGACTTCCGTGGCAGAGGCTATATACGCGTGGCCGTGTGAGAGTATTTCGAGAGGGAGGGCGAACCCATCCGACTCTCGGCCATACCAGGGCATTTGAAGGGCGAAGATACACTTGGGACCTTATACTCGATCTGTGAGACCTTATTTAGAATGTTGCATCTAAACAGATGTCCCATGTCTGATCAAGAATGCTGGCACGCGAGCGTATTCACCGTTAGGCAGAATACAAGCTGAACAATGTTGGGATAGGATAAGGGAAAAAATCCGGAGTTCAAGAGAGTTAAGCGATTCCTCCGCAAATTCCCTATAAAGCGAGACTATAATATATGGACGAATCAATCAGATTTACGATAACAGGTCTTAGATTTTGGCGCGAAATTCATTCACCCATTTGACTAAATAGTCTTGGCACTAAAGTTGATGTCAGTTCGTGATGAAAACCATAAATCTAATTCTTAACCTTAACCATCAACTGTAAATCATAATTCATATTCTTCAAACTGCTTTACAACCCTCACCTTGCCCAAGTAAGTAGACAGACACTCTCAAGGTCCGTCCAAAGTCACTCGAAGGTCATCCATAAATTATAGTCTTATCCCCTATAACACTATTTCCTAACAATAACCAACAAGCTGTGATCTTTACTACCAAGAGACACGCATTGGAGATCTTGGCAGAGCCACTTTCGCACTCATAAAAACTCAGACACAGAAAAAGTGGCATAGTCATTTTACCGAAGAAAAAACATGGAAAATTTCCTGCATTTTAATTCCTCAAACAAACTAACCGTATTAAAGGAAGTTTCGAAGGACACGGCATCAATCTACAGGACGTAATCCAAAAGCCCGCCTACCCAAAATGGGAAGTCAAGGTCAGGAAACGAGACAAAAGTTTCCCGGTCAATCCGCAACATCACTGCCTTTTAAACAAAATCTGAAATGTACAAATGTCTTATGGAAACTGCCAGCAAAAAATTTGTATATGCACATACATGCATTTCGACACGCCACTGACATTTCACTTAATTTTTTGTATACTAATATTCTTATGCTTTATACCAGATTTTGAGACAAAACTTGCTCATGCCGATTTTTTTTTGTTTTTGAATTAACTTATGTAAATGAGAGGAAGAATAAAGCAACCCTTTTCACAATCCAAGTTTTGTAAGATTCCTAGATGATTTAATACTGCTTGATCAAGTAATAAGTCCTTGCAAATAGATATTCGGCCACACTGTATATAGCTTGGTCATTGTGGGATCGTATATAAGGGTCTTCTGATAGGAAATGGTAGTGCGAAGTGAGATCTAGTCTAGATTCTATGGATTCTGATCAGTCAGAATGCATTAACTAATAAAATAAAGCCATCTGTAGTTCAGTTGTATTGGCAATGTTGTGTGTTATATAAACAGATGAAAATTCATGACCTCATATAATTTGCTTGTTTCGACTATGCATTTATCAGTGCTTTGTGTACGACAGTATACTGGTTTGGAAAAGCTAAATCTAGGAGAGTTAGATTCAACAGATAGTAATCTGAAGTCCTTTAGCTTCCTGTTATCCACAAAACAATATCACATAAAGTGTCCGACGCATACGTAATCACTTTTTTATAATATCGTTTTGCTCTTCAAGTCAATCAAAAAATGACAATGGGAAAAACATCGAAGTCAATCAGTTACAGCAGAACCTCGTTGGTATCTTACGATGGACCCAACTCAACGCACTGTGGTAGAAGGGTTATGTTTCTGGGACACTTAAACGATTACTGAGCGTAGCACATTGCATAACCTTTTGTTTTATCTCGTTTGTTTGTGATGTTGTGTGAAAACAAAACAAAACACCTTGTTCAAATATGCCAGTACATGTGTATATTTCTCCTAAATAATCCAGAAAAACATTGTGTGAAAATTGCTTTTTATGTTAACGCATGTTGTCTATTACATTGTATACAAATTTCTTTTTCTTTATTTGCACTCTTTGTGTTCCTATGCTCGTTCCAGTGTATTTCGATATGCACTTGCAAATTCTTTTCTTCTTCTTTTTCCAAGAATTTTTGAAAAGATAAAAAATGCGATGAATAGAAACTTTTAACGTATATTTTTTATTGCCATATTGTACCACATGTCTCCTTGTATTAGGGAAAGTCGATCATATGCTACTGAACATAGAAGGCTATCAGGATAGTGTCTGCCAACTATGGACTCTTTAAGGTCCAGTATTAGGGTCTTCACTGTCCCACTAGAAGTGCAGCGGGGTAGATGAATCCCCGAAATAAATAGTTCTGTAAGTCCTCGACATTGATGCTGACCCTATTGGTTTTTTGGACACACCCCAGCTAAAGGCGCCCTGTCATGCACCATATCACCATTGGATACGCCGTTTTGCACATCCCATGCAACTGCTAGTCAGCTTAGGACAAAGGCTTCTTGATATGTCAATAGCCTTCAAAATATGTTTTCAAACTCCTTCATTTCTGACTTCTGATTTGATTGGGTTGGTATAATTTGATTAAAAAGGGGTTACGTGTAAAGGTGTTGTCGAACTCCGAATACCTATGACATCTTTAGGTTCGTATTCTCAAATAGATACGATCTACATATACGCTCAAAAATCTAATCACTTAAACGGACTTTTTAATAAAGTATGACAAAGTAAAAGTCCCGATCATCCTTAATTCGAAGGATTATTCAGCGTTGTCCCACGAAAACCTGAATATTTTGTCTTATAAAAACATGGAAGCACTAGCAGATTAGGTATTGCTTGCTCAATTAGATGATGATCTTCATATGTGATAATAAATCGTCGGCCTGGGAAAGTAACTACGGGATTGTTAGACAAAAAAGGCGAAGCAGTAATTCGTTATCAAGATGCTCTGCTGGGCATAACAAATTTCTCAGACCGACCTATCTAGAGCTTCTCCATTATACTTAAATTTCGTCTTTTGAAAATGCTTTTTGTAAGTGTATAAAAGCGAAAAGAAGGAACAAACGAAACAGAATCCCTTTAAGTATCTTATCGTCGTCATTATAAAAATGAGGTTGACATCGATGAGAATATCAAAATAATGATAAACCTTAGTGGTACTTTATCATTAACTCTTCAGATCTTTTGTTCACGAGGATCATATTCGTTCCAAAACAGTGGAAATGAAGTAATAAATTCAATTCGGCATAATATCACACTTAAGTCATTTCAATATGGTTTTTCGGCATTTAATTATTATTATTTAACTGAATATAGTCGAATATTTAGACCTACATTCATTCCCTACACACAAACTATGTAGCCAACTTTAGAGTATTCTCATTTTCGTGCCGAATGACATGAAACCATTCATTTCGAACACTATCGCTGTTTTTCGAACAAAACTAGTTTTGTAGTTAACATAAAACCACCTACAAAGTACTCTTGAAATTCACAGTTAATGAGGTTTTCGGTTTGTTTTGTTAGGTCACGAAACTAGCGTTTATATGAAAAGTAAACAATAGGCATAACTACGTTTGTGTAGATGAAATATTTGTACTCTAAGCAGAAATAAGAGCGCAAAACCTTGTTTTATGGATCCGAGATCACAATTTATATTTTCTACTGCTCAGACGTTTTTCCAGCTGGACAGCATAAACTTGAATGAGCTTGAAAATGAACAGCATGTCAGTAGTTTTCTAGATTGCCTAAATATTTTTACTCTTGCTTGCTATCTCGGAAAAAACGGAAGTTTATTGTTCTTTAATGAGGTGAGTTCATATTTTAAGAAGTATTTAAAGTAGATTGTACATCATGACAACACAAAACAAATGCTGGTGTTTGTCAAATTACAGCCAACCTACATAAATGAGAAAAATTACAAAACAAACGTCATGGTTTGTTCAATTCCTGGTTCTCCAGTTCTTAGTTTCTACAACTCTATTAGCAAATTATTCGCACCTTTGCTACTAAAAGTAAGAGTAAATAAATTGTTTATTCTATAGGGTGATGATAAATCAATGTTACAAGACCCAAAGATACAAATAGCTCTGACCAACCTGGCTGCTGGACTGTCTGCCGTCGTTAGTGAGAGTGATGGTTCTGAAAACACGACAAGTAATTAACATGTAGTAGAAATTATTATGCCAAATTGTTGTAAGAGAAAAACTGCATGTAACTCATTGTAAAATCCATTATACGTCAATCAAAATGGCTTAAGAAACTTAATATCCTTACCCATACGTATGCTTGTAGATGATCAAGAGTTTTAAATTATTGCCTGTCACTTGCCAAATAATTGTTTTTGTCTTCAAACTATTGTTTTGAAACATATATAATCGATGTATAAAATAATTTTGAAAAGAGCTAGAACAAAGATTTTAGCAGAATAGCATGAATTCATTTTATTTCGTAGGTTCTCATCAGCTGCTTACAACCTGTTATATTTATAAATCATAATAAGACAATGAGTTTAAATGACTTACATGAGAGGATTTTGTTAGAAGTTATATAGAAGACATATTCGTATAGTGTAGCAAGGGTGTAAATGAAATTAATATACTGAATATTGTAAATATATACCTAATGTGAAAGAATATTCTACATCATTAATTGTGACGACAGTTCAAAAAGGGGGGTTAGAAACAATTGATTACATAATGAGTAAAAAAAAAAAATTTTGATAGGAATATAGTGAGTAGAGTTCAGTTAAAAGATTATTAATTTGAAACGTAGTTGAAGAAATAAAATAATGAAAATCAATGATGTAATAAGTACAAAAATAATAATAATAATTTATGGTGCAGAGAAGGAATATTTGTCACCAAGGCAAAGAAAGATTAACAACCATCTCCTTTTGAACACATAGGTCAGGTTTTTGACGCCTGATGGCAACGGCTTCAGCAAACTTCAGAAGACTGGAGTTTGGCTGCTTACTAATCACCTTGAAGGATTGTAAGGTATCTACCTGATGTCCTGTATCAAGGAGATGTTTGGTGATTGCACTATTCAGAGTCCTTCTTTCCCTTGTTCTAAGACTTTTTGGAACATGTTCAAAAAATCTAAGGTATGCTCTCCTTTCTGTTCTGCCAATGTAGCTGCTTTGGCAGGTACACGTAAATTTATAAATACAGTTGGCGGTAACATGAAAGGGTTGCTTGTCGACCTTTGATTGAGTTATTGAACATGTTGTTTTATAGAAAATTAAAAGTTTAGCAGCCGGATAAGTTCTGGCAAGCGCAATATTCAGTCTCCTACTGATTATTTGTGCGACGTTATCACCTTTAAAGTTAAGATTTATAGATACTGTCTTTTTATTGACCGTAGTTATTTCCGTCTTGTTTTCTTTGGGCTTTTTATATTTGTCAATAAACTTTTGTGGCTAGAAGTTGTTTCTTAGACATTCTTCTAGGTTCATTAATTCTTCTTCAAGTTTGTCGGTGGTACATATCTTTTCTACCCTGTCAAATAGTGTTTTAACCAGTGCTTATTTCTGTAGTCAAAAAATTTCATGTTTTTTACCCTTTTGTGGAACTCAAACATTCGCTTTGCCTCATCCAGATAATTTCTAGTTGTTTGAAAGAATAATCTTCCGTTGGATCTAACTTGCGTTTTGCAAATGATTTACTTATTTTCAAAGTATACATCATCTTCTAACTGCCGAAATTAGTTCCATAACTTTGGAACCAGACCAAATATGTTTTGTGAATGCGTATGTGTTATAGATGTACAAGGGAAAAATAGTTGGTGAAAAGTTTGATCAAAGGGTACCATGCCTGTCATTTGTAATTTCTAACTCAATGACCCTCCCAGTGAGAACTTAATGCCTGGATATTTTTTATGTGTAAAACACCTACTAAATGTTTTTCACTTTCCTTGAACAGAAGTTTCTGCAAAAGTTTCAGGACGTATTTTACTTTCGTGGTACTTTATGTTTGTATCTAGTCTATTTTCATACCATTACACTTTGTAAGTAATGACTATCAAAATATATACCTCAAGTTTTATCAAGTAATATGACAAGATTCGTAGACAGCGACAACAATAACAGAGAATTACATAAATGTAGAACGAACCAAAATAGATGACGGATAATGTTGGTGGAAAGTTTATTAAAGTTTCGTCTTTAAATATGAGTGGTGCGCGGATACAGTAATTCAGTAATTCACCCAAAATGTGACATATGAAACTACTTGCAGGTTTTCTACCAGTAAGTCTTACGAGTGTACTCCGAGTTAAATGCTTATCCACAAACAACGCCAACGCCAAAGAAACGACGTTCACTGCTATGGATAATTGGTGCACAAAGTATTGTAATCAAAAACTGTCAAGGATGTGTAGATCATCAGTGTCGAAAACCTGTGTTGATGATCGATATCTACTTAGGTCGGACGAAAATGGCGTGACTTAGCTTATGTCAAAGGCATGCCTTGTAGTTAATACTTAACCTAGATTATTCTATCACTATAACTCTGTGGTTAGCTACCAATAGGCAACAGCATATAATAACATTGAAAGTAAGAAAAATTACAAGGCGGAACCACTGTCGCATACTCATATCCATGGCGTGAAACCGGTTGGTACATGTGTTTGTCCTTGACCTTGAATAAGACTGGTAAATTGTTTGACATTCAGTGATTTAACTGCTAGACAATCTGACCAGGGCCCATGGATATTTCAACGGGTCTGCAGATATTTTACCTGTAACATGTTTATAAACTTTGGAATACAGGAAAGGCTCCTTGAGCATAATTATGTTTTCTTACTAGATTTATGAATATAATTATTATAATAATGAATATATTTTTTGTCATATTCCAATGAGTGGAAATACAATTTTTCTACTCATTGGGATATAACAAAAAGATTTATCATTAATTTTCAGCTCAATTCTCAATTTATTTAAAACTACCAAGTCTAGCTCTGGCACTGACACCCATAAACTCATTAAGAATTGTTATGGCATTAGTTTAGCTTATTACTGGTTCTGAAAGAATATCATCGGTACACTAGCGAGATTATTTGTTTTAATTTTTTTGGGAATGTTTTTGTAAAGTTTCACTCCGTAAGATATTTAAAATTCAACTCGTTTATTTGCAGATAAGTGAATTCTATCATATTAGTTGTAACAATTTACCAACAAAAACCTTAGGATATCAGTTTGAGGTCAAAATTTGTGCATGACAATTTTAACTGTTAAGTTGAGTGGCATGCCCAGTCAGCACAATGCAGTCATCAAAAATCCTAAAAATTAGCTTTGAATTCTTTTTGTATTTGTATTTATACTTGGGTTGGATCATAGGACAGTCTTCTATAGCCTTGTTATCTATATTTTGTCTAGGTATTTCCACACTCACGGATGAAGTTAATTATTGGCGCAATAAATCAAGATGCTGTTCAAATAATAATGTAGATGAAATGAAGCAGTGCGAGTTTTTTGTATCCCTTCTTGAAAGTCCAGCCAAAGAATGCAATCGTATTGAGTCTTTATCTCAGTCAGCCTTGGATTCAAAGATTGACTCATTAGGATTGTCTACTCATTGTGCCAATTCCACTGAAAAACAGCCTTCTTTTGGAGTTTTTCTAACAGATTTAATTGACATTCTTGACTCTCTTTTAATAGACACGTTGGACGAACTATGGAGATGCACCGATTCACGGGTAAAACAACCTTATCCAGAGAACAGGATGCGCCAACTTATTGAAAGTTTGAGTTACTGGACAATACGCATGATCCAAGGTTTTCTGGGAAGTGTTCAGACGTTGTCAGAGAAAACCAAAATAACCATCTCAAGTTTATGGACGTTGCCTTTTGATGAAGTGAGTAGACTGAAACCGAATAAACCAAATTTCATTATTACTAGAAACCTGATCACAAAAATATAGTGATTAGTTTAGTTCCGTGGTTGTACAGTAATGATAGAAAATAACACACATCTTACTTATATGTCTACCACTTAGCGCTTCTTATGGATGATATAAAAAAGACGAATTTTCGAGTTATTTTATTTTTGATGTAAATATGGAAGTTTGAACGAATTGTTTTCGTTCTGTACTGAATCAGTTCATGATCATTTTACATGTTGATATTATATAATGAATATGTACATCCTTAAACCAAGACAATATATAGTTCTAAGACCCACACATATTTTTTGAATGACAATCGTGAAAAATAATATCAACTTTGTTAGTAAATATGAATAGTATTTTTAGGTTTTAAACTTATTTGAAGGGGTCAGTGGTGATATCCGTGAATGTATCCACATGGCTATTTTGACAATGCGTAAAATTAACAATATATTTGTAATATCCCAATGAGTAGAAAATCTAATTTTCTACTCATTGGGATATTACAAATATATTATTAATTTATAACAATCAACCCAATGCTCAATTTATTCGAAATTATCAAATCAAACCTTGGTAATGATACCTACAATGCCTAAAATTGGTGAATATTCATTGAACTACTCATTAGTAGTTTCAACAAGCAAATAAAATTTTCTACCCTGTAAGTAGATACTTTCTTCTCTTCGATGTAGTTGTTCAGCCACAAGGTTCGGCGAAATCAAACCTCAAACTATGTGAAAGGTTGACTATATGACTGTAAGTATTTTTGGTTGAAAAATATCAGATAACTAGCTAATAAGTGTCTTTTTTTGTGTTTCAAAAATTGACTCCGTTTGGGATTGAATTCTGGGTAAATCTTGTCGTTAATATTTTATTTTCAGATCTATATATGATGTTATTAGAACATGTTATTCAACGTGATCTGTGTCACCTAGTCTTCCATTACAGCCATGTTATCTAAACAAGAAAGTGTTTGAAGGAGCGTTTGGAAACTGAAGTGTTTCGGTAATAAAATTTGATTTACTTTACGGCGAATAGTTCTAAGATTATTGCTGAGATCACACTTTTATTTTCCACCAGTTCGCGATAATCTGAGAACCATCTTTCATCGTTTTCGGCTGATAAATGACTCACACTCGACATGACTAAACTCCACCAGCCACGAATTTTCATCAGAATTAACTACACGATATTTGTCTCTGTGCGCGGTTTTGAAGATTATGGGAAGTTAAAAGTATAAACAACTAGATAATGGTTCAGTGATTTAAAGGTTTAACTCTCTCTGTTAGAGCCTAAGGTCTTGAATTCGTTTCCTAATTGGGTTGTGTGTGTGAACGTATGATAAGTCCCATCCACAGATGGAACGGTTGTCGAGGGTTTCTTGATTTTCATTGATCTTGTAAATTAAAATGATTTGTAATCTTCCAGTGCTGGTAGTTACCCCTCGTTTTATTTATTGAATCTCAATAGCATTCAATAATATCGCAAAACCACTATGCTGATAATTCTATGATTATTTGATTCAAATTGTATATTTAATTTCTTGCTGTTACGAATCATCGTATATCACTTATTTTAATGATCAGTACTGTTTAACCAAATATTGGTTATGTAAAGAGCAAATGAATGTTTTCATTGATTAAAATCGAGCTCACTGAGAATATAATTGTGAACATTCAGTGAAGAATACTACAGAATAATGCAAATCTTTAATTACTCATGTCGGTCAGCAGTTCGTGTTGCATGACTAACCTGATTATACTATCAGTGTCAATTATAACGTTAGTTAAATCACAAATTTCGCTTTCAAAGGAAATTATATGGTTTTATCTAATCATGAAACACTCATTGAAATTGGTTACAATAGTATGCTTGAACTTAGATTGTTGAAAATATTCAGCTTAAGAGAATGGATGAATCTGGATACTTTACTGATGTTCTGTTTCAAATTACTAACATGACTAGCAGTATTTGAATAAAATTACAGATGGATACAAGTCCTCTTGACTAATTCTTGTACGGCATATGTATATGGTAAGGGTTGATGAAACAATGGAAGGGGGGAGTTTAGAACTTCTAAAACTAGTTTCTTCTATCTTTGTTCATCATAACAATTAGGTTAAACAAGCTATTCAACTAAGCATCGAAGCATGCGAACGATGGATAAAATCTACTGGTTTATTAACTCAACAATTATGGCCATGTTATACACCACATCCATGGAATGGTCCATTACCGAATTTGGCATATCTAATCCAGTTTAAAAATCGATTGAATGAAGTAAGAGATTTTGGAAAACTAAACTGATTTTCCCATAATACTTGAATATGTTCTCAATCCATTCATTATGATTTTCAAGGCCATTCAGGTCTATATGAAATCTTAGTAAACAATCATCTAGTTCTCTTTTCTTCTTAGACATACAATAGCTTTATTTGATCTGGTGAACTACTGAGAATTCTTCAGTCTTCAAATAATAAAAACAGAATTATTGGAGAAGCGTCTTGGTTAGGATTCACTTTAAATTGTGTTAATACCAAACAGTATTCTAGAATTCTCCGGAAATCTCTTTAAGAATTCAATCAAATGTACCTACACTGAAGAGACTTTCTTTAAGTGAAATAAATTCTATTGAGTTGAACTTTGTTAAATAATGATGAATAACTGTTAAGCACCAACTTCCGGTAAAAGATTTCTAGAAGAAAACGAGTAGAAAATATGAGAAATTTATCTCATCAAAGTTCATTCAAACAACCAAACTGTATAATCAATTCGTGAGTGAACCATATATATATATATATATATATATATATATATATATATATATATATATATATATATATATATATATATATATCAGTGAGAAGCCGTGACCAATGTAGATAAACTGTCAGGTAGACACGTAGCTACCTCAGTACAGTGTAAGATGGTTGCGCAACTTCGTGGATTGGCTGAAGTTAGACATAAATACCGTTGGATGCCGGCCAGCTCAGTGGTCTAGAAAATAAACCTTCGCTCGCGAAACCGAAGGTCCTGGGTTCGAATCCTGCGAGCGGGATCGTAGATGCGCACTGCTAAGGATTCCCAGGTTTCCAATGATCATTTAAGATCAATCGGTTCATGATCTCAATTGAGATATTGGAATTCAAATGTTAAAAATAAAGCATTAACTTAGTAGATTAATTAATCTGAAATATTCTAAGCAGCTGATATCTACAAAAAGACTTAGTAATCAGCTAAGAATACAAGAAAAGTTATTCGATGTTCACAGGAAAACCGTATTATATGTACAAAATAATATTTTATTTCATGAATCAGAATTCTTATAAATCATAGATATTATATTTGACTTTTATCCTAGTCAAACACTGTTATATAAATTTCCTATATACGAACTTTCAAACTTGAGTAAGAAGACAAAGAAAGAGAAAGGAATATACAACATTTCCCCTTAGAAAATAAAGTCACATTTACAATCAATAACGTGTGTTTATCTTTTGGATTATATTTAATCGATTCAATATACATCATTTAAGATGAATTAGTTATTCAAATCTAAAAGAAATGTATGTTGAAAGATGTACTTACATTTATGAATGAATCATGAAAAGAACCAAATACATTTGAAGCTCCATATCTATTTCTTTAAAAAAAAAAACGAACTGATTTCTTCTTGTTTTCACTTAAACTTAGATACTTAACTTACGAGGTTTATATGAACAATTATATTATTTTACAACACCCATTGAACATAATCAATTCAAAATGGATTCTGGATTACCTAGTATCATATTTAACACATTAGAATTTGACAATATAAAACAAGAGACAATATCACCAATATTAAAACAAATTATTAATCCATTAGCATATAATCCTTATACAGTTGAACAATGGCAATCTGTTATACAACTAATTGATATACGTCTTCAACCAATTGAAGAATGTGCAACTAATAGATTTAGAACAAAATTACTAAGTTTATCAAATAAAGTTGATTGTAAGTTTACCCTTTTTGTTTACATAATTATAATTAATGTTAATAATTGAAATCATGAGTCAATTAAAGCTAGACCACTATGGAAAACCTAGAATCACTGGACGGCCGTTTCATTTTCTTGTGGGACTCCTCAACAGTGCGTATCCACGATCCCGCCTCGCGCGAGATTCGAACCCAGGACCTATTAGTCTCCCGTGCGAGCGCTTAGCCGCTAGACCGCTGAGCAGGAACCCAATGGTGTTAATGTCTAACTTCAACCAATAATTAATGTTACTAATATTACTATTACTACTGATGGTAGTAGTAGTATGCTGTGTGCTACTTATGTAGACCTAAGTAGTATATGATGTTATTTGTGAACAGAATGTCTGGCAGCAGAGAGACGACAAGATTTAACAGTAAAGAATGGAAACAGAATGCAATGAAGTCTGAGTCATTTTGAGACAGTCGGTGGACATTTTACAAATTGAGCATTTACTATATGGTTGTTAGATTTTATTAACATGTACTGTAATTTGTTGTCGGATACATTCGATTGTCCCCACCCGTGTTCTGTTCACTACAATGGTAGTAGTAGTAGTCAGTCAGTCAGTAACAACGTGGAACTTTGTACGTACGTACATCAGTTCGAGTTGTCATACCACATTAGCACGGAGATTCAGTTATCGATTCAAATCCCGTACTGATGATAGGGAACATTAGGGTAAAATGTCAATCAAATGTCTCAAACTTGACTGTCCTTAACGTAAATATCAGTCGATCGTCTCAGACTTCAATGTTACTGCATTTCCATACCAATTGCTTTCTGCTTTCGTTCTTTCCTTCTCGATTTTCTTGACCTTATGTTGCCAGACATTTTATTACTGACTAGCGTTATATACTACTTATGTCGACATAAGTAGCACACACCACAGTAGTAGCATTATCATATATTGCTATATATTATTTATTTTAACAAGAAAATGGATTATTTCTAGTTCTGGAATATAATAAGATACAAAAGGATCGTAATACAATTCAAAAACAGGATAATACGAATAGTAGACTGGATTACGTGACTTAAGTACATGACTTTTGAGCGAACGATTGAGAAACAATCGCTCAGACAGTAGTTCATTCAATACAATACAATGAGTCTACACAACGAAGCCAGGAGTAGAAATCAACATTTTGCATAAAGCACCAGACTATATACTAGTTTACATAGAGAAGTCTACTTGTATTTGCTCAATGGTCAATCACTCAATTTATGAGTGCATATTGAGCTGACTCAAAAGATAGGTCACAGTGGTCGCCCCTAATAGATGTAAACTTTCTTTTATCTTCACTGGGTGACAGACGAAAGATTGGGTCAACAAAAGTTGACCGATGTTTTCGGTAAAAGTATACTCTACTGACCGCCTAGTATAAATCAATCAGAATTGAGATAACACTTCATGATTTTGCGAAAAACTAAAATTTTAGTGCTAGATAACTTGTGCGTTGTGATTATTAAAGTAAACGTTAACAACATTCAGTTGCTAAAATCCTTGTAATTGATAAAAATGTATCTACTATCCAACCAAATAATGAACATGATATGGTGCTTAGGCCAGAACGCAAGACATACCTGCTCCTAATGCAGATTATGTGTTCACGCACTTAATGTGACTCAATTCACAGTCAAACGTATTTCTGTAGCTGGATAGTATTCTCTTACTCTAATTCTGGACTCCAAATTTCAATCCCTAAGTTATTAAGTTTGTTAATAAAAGTGTGACAATGCATCATTGCATTATAACTGATGCTGATTCATGATGAATACCCTTAACCTAATACATAATCTTAACACATAACTTTAGTTAATTTCTCACTACCTAGCACTAACTTCCTTGATATGTGGCTGATGTCAGTTGGTGATGAAAAGTGTGTACGGTTATAATCTTAACTCATAACAGTAACCCAACTGTTGATATGTAGACTTGACCTTTATTCTTTACGAGAAAGAGTAATTTAACATGTAAAGGATTACTTATCATACTCAAATCACTATTCCACTGTAACTTTATTCCTAATTGCTGAATAACAAGACGTAATTTCCTAGTTGCTTGATAAGTTTCTCGGGGTCATCAACGCAGTTGACTCTCATAGATCAAATTCATCAACATAGTATATATTTTTATTAAAATCATGAATCGATCTAAGTTAAATCTCCATTGAGAACCTGGGAGGACTGGACGGCCGTTTCGTCTCAGTCTGGAACTCCCAGGAATCGAGCATCCATGATCCCGTACTCGAAAATTGAACCGAGGGCCTTAGGTTTCTCACCCAAACTCCTAACCTCTAGATTACTGAGTCAATATATAACGGTGTTAATGTCTAACTTGAACCAATCCACGATATTGTACGACCACCATTGTCTTCGGTGGGTAATTAGCTCACACTGGACATGATTAGACTTGTACGTCACTGGATGCCGGCTCAGTGGTCTAGGGGTTAGGCATTCGACAAAACCGAGGGTCTTAGGTTTGAGTCCCGCACTACTGAGGAGTTCCATGCTAGAACAAAATGACCGTCCAGTGCTTCCAGGTTTTTAATGGTGGTCTAACACTGATCTGTTCATGATCTCAATAAAAACTCAATAATCACCACAACCTTAGACTGATAGTATAAATGTACCCATTTTTTCTAGACGTTCATTTTTATTTTTTGAAAAAATATATTACTTTTATACTAAATTAGTAATACATCATGAATACAGAAAAATCATTCCTACAATGTCACCATGGCACGCTTCGCTTATTTCCTTAAAAACTGTAGTCGAATCTCTGCATCAGTTTCCCTTTGATATCATAGTCATCATGACCAATTTTTGTTATGATCCCAAAAATCTCATAGTTTTACTATTATACTATTTAAATATTTGATAGACGTTATCATCAGAATAGTTGAGAAAATCACGTAAATAAATGGATCTTAAACGATCTTGAAAAAAATGTACACTGGATAAACCTCAATTCAAATGGATTGAAACGATTCGACACAACGGATTGAATTTTGCTCTACCTATAATGAAGTGTGCTGATTCAGTCTACCTGATGAAACCAGTTTACATAAGTTAATAGAAAATGAATGACTGATTGACTGAGTATTATTTTTAATCATATTTTCTTAGATAAAATTGTTATAAATATGTAATTACTTGTATTACTGACCTAGTATTTAGTATTCCTTTATCCCTCATACCTTCATATAAATGTATATAATAGTAGTGAATTCACATCTCGTTTTCTTTTCTTCAGCTTCTGGTGTTACTTATCCCAGTCGAATTGTTTCAAATCAAATTTTAATGGAATTCCAGAAATTTCAATATTTAATTCATCGTCCTATTGCTGCAAAAATTTTACAATCAGAAAGAGAATTACTCCTTGGTTATTTGGAAGTTTCATTGAAAGAGGTAGTATTATCATTATTATTAGTACTATTTTACTTTCAGTTAGAATCTGTAATTAATTTAAAGTCTATTATAAAAATAATTTGTATCATGAGTTGATTTTAATCATAAACTGTTCCAAATCTTAAAGGATAAAACTTTTATTCAGTACTAATATCGGACTCTATAGTACAACACACCCACAACCTCATGAAGAATCGAATCAAGTATCATGGTTCTTAGAGTGACACCTTTAGACTACTGAGTTAGGGTCTAGTGAGATATGCTTGTAACTTCAGTTGATTGTCGATGTTACGTGATTACCACTTGTTTACTACTGGTATCACCTATGACATAATTGTAACGTAACAATCATGACTCTTCACTAAATTCTTCTCGAATTTAATTATCAGTGAGTACGCTATTATTATTAACATGGGGTGGTTGTAGATTGTCCCTTTTAAATTAGTTCATATCAATAAATTAATTTAACCAAATAACAATTTAAAGTAACAGAGTGTCATTATGTAAAACCTCAGAAAAATACATAATGGCCATTCAGCACAGAAATAGAAAAACAGACAGAAATGAAATGATTTGCAATGAGATAAGAAGAGTATACAATAATTGTGAACAAAAACAAATTGAAAAAATAACAGTATTTTTAAAATTTAGATGGAATATAAATAGTAGAGGGATGGGATCTATGTACCTATGACCAATACTGAATTACATAATCTACATGGTCCTAACCATAAATTCTAATTAGATAGATCACAGCGTAATATCAACAGTCCGCTAGTCATAAAAACCTAACATAATCATCCATGTTTCTTAAGTTGCTATACATTAAATTATCGAAGCAAGAGAAAATTTGTCTGCTATAATTGAAAGAATTTGAAGTGATTGTGTAAATAGTCATAACAAATCAACTATGAAATTTATAATAGGTAAACGATGAATGGAATCGAGGAACGAAGAATATGATAAAAAAAATGAATGCTCAAGCACCAATAAGTGACGTTAATTTTGAGCTATTGTAGTGTTGGTTATTATGTTAAGCCCATATACCTTATTCTAGCTTTTGGACAGGCCAACCTATTCATTCTACTTGTGTCATATTTTGTCCTTGTTTAATGATTCTCTTATCAATGTTGAGCGCGTAGGCGTGGGTACATTTCTTATCCCATTACTCTCACATATTTGTAACTTATTTTTGTGTGACTATAAATATTGATTTACCCTTGACTAAAAGGAAGTTGGCTTACCCGCCATCTCCACTGCTCGTCGTTTCTCTTCACTCTGTTCCGTTCGCTTCGTATACAAAATATATAGGTATTCAAAAGTCCATTCTCGTTATTTGACTTATTTAATTCAGTTATTGACTAGTGCGATTTAAGTCGATGATTATATACGAGGATAGGTGACATATATATTTCGACAACGATCATTCATGCGACCTACTTCGAGTCAGAACTTGGGCCACTAAAATGGAGAGCCCGTCAACAAACATCGTCCAATCTAAATGACGACAAAATAAAGGGCTCCACACTATATCACCTTTAAATTTCCACTATTTATTACTACTGTCACACAGACGTTAACGAGAAATTTAAAATATTCTGACACCCCACATACCGAAAGTCAATAATTTCATGAACGAATAACTTAGTCATAGTATACCTAGATTCTATCCAACCCACTTTTATAGTGGCCAATAAACAATTTAAACAAAGATTAAATGTCTTGGATACAATATCCTCAATAAGATCATACATTACTCCTTCTGTCAATTTGGTTAATTTTCTATAGAGTTTTACAATAAAGTTAAATTGATCAGTACCATTAATTTTGAGTTGATTATCATACAATTCTTAATCTGTTTTCTTATTTAGTTTCATGAAGAATTTTTAGCTAAATCAAGTACTACTAACTCAAATCAACATTATCATCAAGAACAATCACAAAAGAAATCCTCAAAAATGGTAGCTAAAAATATTTCGGATTGTATAAATCAAATGCTTTGGGGAGGACAGATGAAATGTCGTATACAAGAGGAATTTACACTTGTAAAATTTCTTCTATCTGATTTACAACGTTTCAGTGTATATGAACAGGTAATCAAATGTTATTTAGTTTAAACTGTGGTGTGTGCTACTTATGTTGACGTAAGCAGTATATGACGTTAGTCAGGAACAGAGTGTCTGGCAGCAGAGAGGCAAGAGGATCAGACAGTAAAGAATGGAAACATAATGCAATTTGTATGAAGATGCAAGAACAATGAAGTCTGAGTCATTTTGAGACAACTGATTGACATTTTGCAATTTAAGCATTTACTACATGATCGTTAGATTGTATTAACAAGTCCTGTAATTTCGTAACAAATATATTCGATTGTCCTCACAGGTGTTCTGTTCACTACAGAACAAACAGATAAACAAAGCATTATTGTTGTCTTTTATAGTTAATGTACCGAAGTGAACTCAGTTAAAAAACGGTTGAGAACTAGGAAGAACTGAACGGCCGTCTCGTCCTTGGCAGAACACTCTATAATGACTGATTTCGGGAGATGGTTCCAAGAGTTCTAGTAAAAAGTTATAACCAGTGAAGTTCAACCATTTTGAGTATGAAGTAGTTACCCACTAATAACATAGGAAAATGGTTGTGCAATAACATAGATTCACTGAAGTTAGATATGTACACCTTTGGTGCTGACTCACTGGTCTAGAGGTTAAGCGTTCGCTCGTTAAGCCGAAGATCATTGGTTCAATCTACGGTATTGTCGTGCATGGAGACTGCTGAGTAATTTCGTCCTAGGATCAAATAGCCGTTCAGTGCTTTGTTTTTAATAGGTATTTAACTAAAAAACAATCGATGATGTAGGTTATAAAGCTCAACATAATCCAAAAATTTATTTTATGGAATTACGATTATTCTTCCTAAAGTTTTATGTTTATTAGTTTTCAAAATTTATTTAATATTTAAATGGTCAAACTTTGACTAAGATAAACACGATTTATTTTTCATCGAGCGGAATTAGATGACTAACTACTCTACATTTATGAGACTTTAGTCTTTGCTATCACATGTGGTACAAAAGTCCTGCTATTACTACTACTAATCTCATTTGCTTTGTAGTATACAGTATTTGTCACCAAGTATCATAGATGAAAAGTTGCTTTAACTTACAGTAAAATAGCTGAGTGTTATATCTTGTGGCCTTGAGCCCCTGTCAATGTAAATGATACCGCCAATTAGAGATTTATCGACAGGACCAATGACGCATAAACCCGTATGAGCAGTCTTGAGATTTTATCGGTCCTTCCTCCTGCCTAACCCTGCCTGTTAAGTCCAGAACACTAATCTCAGGCTCCGGATATGAATCATGTATTTCAAACATACTGGGTTTATATACAAACCAAACATACTACATCGTACCATAAAATAGAAAATAGCATTTGTTCAAGATTTAGCCAAAAGTGGATGTGAATGTGGGAGACTGTAATTAATAGACTGGGCATAACTCAAGAACAGTAGATCGTACAATAATAGTCTATGGGTCAAAATAAAGCGTATAATAAGAGGGATATAGATATACATAATCTAGCTATTAAATGGTTATACATTATACGTATAATATTTGTCCATGAATAGTTCTCAAGAGTTACCATTCATAATTCTCATCGGGATATAACGCCAAAATATAAAAATCTACAGATTAATTAAAATTTGTTCTGGTAGTCTTGTTCTAGTGACTTTGTCCACTGATCTTTTCCAGTGAAGTGATTGATTACTTTGATGACTTTCCTCAGACAAATTAAGTTCTTCTTCACAGCAAACAATTCTTTGAAGAAACATTCTTTAAAGTTCTTGTAACTTTTTACACACATGAACAATTTCATTTTTTATTACTTGAGGAAATAGTCAAGTTTGTTTTTGACTATTTTTCAGGAAGCGCTGAGTTTAATTGAACAAATTGAAGGCTGGCACAATGAACAATTTCAAGCATGGTCGCGTGATAGACTCTTATCACTTTCAACAACAAAGGAATCAAATCATTGTTCATTAGCATTTGATCCAAAAGGTCCTCTGTTGAATTTATCTACAGTTGATGGTCATTTAGAAGTCAGATTCCCAGATGGTTTAGTGCAGTTACAACGAGAAGTGAGACTATTGTCTGGATTAGGCTATCCGATACCTTATAAACTAATACAAGCTACAAATGAAGCTGAAAAGATATCACAATATGCAGTAATGTTGAGACAGGTAATTGATTTGACAGATAGTCAGATAAAATGTATTTTATTGAAATCACACACCCATTTAAATAAAACACCTATTGAAAACCTTGAATCACTAGATGGGTGTTTAGTACTAGTATCAAACTCTTCAGTAGTGCACATTCACGACCCCATACCCGAGGATCGAACCTAGGACCACCTGTCTCATGCACTCCAGCGGACCCTGACTAGTGAATTTCAACTATGTGCGGTATCAGGAAGGTAACCAGTAAAGACATTAGAAAATGGTTGTATAATACTGTGGATTGACTTAAATCAGACTTGCATACCGTTGGATTCCTTCTCAGCGGTTTAGAGGTTAAGCTTTCGTGCACGAGACAGGTGGTCTTGAGCTCGGTTCTCGGGTGTGAGATCGTGGATGTACAAACTTTAAGTATTTTTTCGTAGGATATTCAGTATAGAGATTAGAACTCAAGTATTAATAAATAACCGTTAGAAATTACAAGGAAACTTGAATAAACTTTTATTTTCTGGGCAGACACTATTAAACCATCCAGCTTAATGAACGAAACTTGGACAAAATCATCTAAATATGTAGCAAATCCTCACCAGTTAAAAATCACATAGTTGTATTACGCTTTTCGTTGTTCAAGAACGATTGAATGTCAGTAAAAGTCAGGCTTCTATAAAATGATATCTGTACTATACCCAAGAATGTCTTCATCATCATGTTCTACTAACAAGCATCAAATACAAAAAACTAATCAACTATTCGATCTGGTGGAGGATAGCTGCGAAAACATAATTAAACCAGTTGGTTCAGAGAACGAAATTTCATTATAACCATCCACCTGTGCAAATCATCTTCACTACTAGGAAACGTATTTCGGCCTCTATAAAATATGAATGCTCTCAGAGGTGACTCTTCAGCATGACAAACTGAAGTATATTTATTACTCCTCAATGAATAATAAGCTTGAAATGGTTTCCATGGTGGATTTGAGTAAATTTGTAGTCATTTATATACGAAGTATATATTTAAGGATTTGGTCGTGATGAACGACTGATATCTACAGAAACTTCTTGAGCAATATGGGAAAAGTAAAAATAAAATACCTAAAGAATCTACAATAACCGAAGAACTTATTTTTCGCTTACTTGAATTTGAAAGTAAGGAGGTTGCAACAACTAACAAAAGATTAAAGACCACACTAACCAGAACGTATCCTTCAGCCAAGCTGATTATCTTTTATAAGACAATATGTTCTTTAATGAAGTCATAGATTGATAAGTATCCCTTCCATGTAACCACCAACTGCGTATACAAACGTACAAGAATTTGCTAAAGCAGCTGCATCGACAGAATGGAAAGGAATCCTTAATTTTAGTCCCAAGAATAAATGCCAAAAAGTCTTAAGTCCATGGAATTAAGGTCTTTTAAAAGTGTTAATTATGTATTCTGAAGGAAACAATTGCAAACCTTTCCTCTTCATCATGATGTCATCGTAAATTTATTACATCATTCCTACACTTTTTATCCTTATTTTGATTAGGTATCTATTTTTTGGAATTCATAGTTTCATTGTCAACTTATGTTATTCTTAATTACCATTAATTTGTGTTCGATTGCTTCCTTACGTAATCAATTAATTGTTTTTTTCATCAGAATTTCTTGCTGTTATGTCTGGTCATCTAGATCTTCTTTAACGTACACACATATTTATGCAATCTCACTGCATTTATTCAAATCACCACTCCATCATGCTGATACACATATTCACATATAACTAATTTCACTGTTATACGTTTAAATTTTATGATAATTTTGACTTTACAATACATTATAATTTCAATGGTTGAGATCATGAGTCAATTGAAACTAAACCACCATGGAAAACCTGGAAACAATGGACGGCTGTTTCGTCCTACTGTGGGACTCGTAGGCAGTGCGCACTCACGATCCCGCCTCGCGAAATTCGAACCCAGGACTTATTGTTCTTGCTATTGAGCGCTTAACCATTAGACCACTGGGCCAGGATCCAACGCATCCAGTGCTTCCAGGTTTTCCATGATGGTCTAGCTTGAATTGACTCATGATCTCAACTATTAAAATTACTATAATATCCACGAAATTTTTTCTGATAATAATCAACATATGCTCACTAGTGATTGACTTCATGAGGTATTTCCTGGAGTTCTAGTGAGAAGCCGTGACCAGTGGAGTTCAACCAGGTTTGTTGTGAGATAGTAACTCACTAAAGACAATGATAGATATGTCGCTCAATTTTGTGGATTAGTTGAAGTTAGACATTAACACCGTTGGATGCCGGCCAGCTCAGTGGTTAAGCGTCCGCGCGAGACTGATAGGTCCTGAGTTCGAATCTCGCTAGGCGAGGTCGTGGATGTGCACTATTGAGGGGTCCCATACTAGGACGAAACGGCCGTCCAGTGTTTCCAGGTTTTCCATGGTGGTCTAGCTTCAATCGACTCATGATGTCAACTATTAAAATTGCTATAATATCTACAAAACCCCTTCTGATATTTGACATTTGTCTGTGGGTGTGACTATTTTCACGAAAAGCACAGGGTTCGAACTGATAACTTTCTGGCTCTAAGCCAATATTTTTGATCACTAAACCAGTGTTACGTATACAAGTTAGTAATAGCCTATAAATACTTAATAATAATAATAAATTTATTTATTTTATATCTATGCAATTACAGGTAGCTCATTTCTATAATTCTATTGATAGTGAAATGTTACCATTTCAAAAACCTTTAATGCTTAATTCAGCATTAGCATTTGAACGTCTAATTAAATTACATAATTGTAAACAAAATTTTACTAAAGAAAATTTATTAAATCCAATTACATGGAATCAAACTGAACAAGTACAACAATATATTCAACAATTACAACAAGCAACTCAACAATTAATAATTGAAAATCGTCGTCTACGTAAAGTACATTATATGCTCATAGAAAGAGTAAGCTAATAATAATAATAATAATAATAATAATAATAATAATAATAATAATTTTCATATATTTATTTAATAGATTAATTATGGAGTTAGCAATCTCACCTGATTAAAAGAACCCCAATACAAAATTAACTCAGAGTATTCTGTTAAAATATAATATGATAAACAATTATGGATATCAGCAGTTTAAAAATCCCCATAGAATATTTTAAAAAATGAAGAATATTTGAGAGAATAATTGTTTTCAATAACCTCATCATCTGGCTCTTCAGTTATAAGTCCATAATTATTGTGCCAAAATAAGGCATGTATTCATGAATTTGACAATGTTATATGGTAATAATGGTGAATGTTTGCATCTGTTACGACATAAGCACTTCAATATTGTGTTCTTTGCAAATTAGAAAGGTCATTTAATAAAGGTCAGAATGATTTAGAGTAAAGTGTCAAGTCACAACCAGTATAATGGTAATATAGCAAAAATGAAAATGCAAAAAGTTGTGTGAATAAAATGCATGGTAGGAGAATTTCATCTTATCAATTAAGATAATAACGATATTGTTGTGTGAATATAATATGTAATAAGGGGGGTGTTATCAAGGTAATTACGATAAACGAATTGGGAATGATGGATGTGAAGATTTAGATGTAATAAAGAAAAAGAGGGGGTAAGATGTTTATAATATTCAGTTTAAGTGTCCAGTGATCCAGTTGTGGGCCAAGGTAAAAATAGAGGCTGAATATACTTATTCTGGATAAATAAGTTTAGTTTTCTGGAGTTGATCCAGATGGCTTCGGCTATGTAGAGCAATCGTAATCTAGCTCCTTGAGGTAGATATTTTGGAACTTGATATAAATCAGAGAAAGCTTCCTCTATTTTCATATGATGTTGACTATCTAACAAGTGAGAAAGAATAGTGCTGTTGATTGATTTGGTAACTCCTTTCCCCATCCATGCTTGTACATGTTCATAAACACGCAAGGATAAGGCTCTCTGAGTACGTCCTATGTAACTAACTCTACAAGTGCAGTTGAATTAGCATATACACATGGAGAAGCCCATTTTCAATTTCGCTATAATACTATTCTACTTATTGGGACTGGATACTTTACTGCAAATCATTCTGACATTTCTAATTTGCAAATAACACAATTTTGAAGTATATGTGTTGTAACAAATGCAAACGTTTACCTTTTTTTGACATATAACATTGTCAAATACATTAATACATGCCTTATTTTCGGCCTTTGTAAAATATTATAATTATGGACTTATAACTGTAAAGCCTGATGATAAAGTTATTGGAGACAATTATTCGCTCAAATATTCTTCATTTTTTGAATTATGCATATGAAAGCTTTAAAATGAAACTTCTTATAAAATTCATTTACTCAGAGTAAGTCTTTATATTTGCCTTTTGGCAACTTTATTTATTCTAGGTCTAATTAGTCATATTCAACTGCCTAAGTCAAGCTAAGCTGTGTAAGGTTTAAACTTGTCATTTCATGGTTGCTTTATCAACTTTGTACAAGTTGACTGACAATTCATTCTCATCAGAAGTTATTTTCGATCACTTATAGATTATCAAACTATTGGATATTGATTTACTACGTAATCAATCTAAATGGAGAAATGAATTGAATGAAATGCGATATCAATTATCTGAAATTGCTACCAATGGTGGCTATCCAGCTGATCATATGGCACCATGGAGAGCATTTTTAGATCATCAATTATACAAAGTATTGGAATATCAGTATAGAAGAGGATTAGAAGAAATTAGTGAACGAATGCCTGAAATGCGTGTTGATATGGTTTATATACAATCGTGTTTAGCATTTAGACCACCATTTGAAGAAGTAAGTTAACTTGTTACAAGTACATTCGATAAAAGTGCTATATCGTGACGAGAATAATAAATGGTGACTTTTGAGAACTGTTCATGGACCAATACGATGCAGATATTTTTATTGTATAATTATTAAGTAACTAAGCTATACATATTTATGTTCTTCTTATTAAAAGCTTTATTTTGACCCATAGACTACTATTATTATACGATTTACTGTTCTTGAGTTATACCCAGTCTATTAATTACAGTCTCCCACATTCACATCCTATTTTGACTAAATCTTGTACAAATGTTGTTTTCTATTTTGTGGTGTGATGTGGTCTGTTTGATTTGTATATAAACACAGTATGTTGGAAGCAATTATCTGAACCATAAATCGCCTAACAGAAGGTGTGAGCAATGTTTCTTTAATATATGAGACAAACCATTGTCCTAGGTTTGGATCGTTCTTTCAGTCTTTACAACACTCACTGACACTTTTGATCTGCACAAAAAGAACTGCTTCTTATCCTTCTTCATAAACAGACTTCAGCATTTCATGAATTTGTCCAGTTTTCTTCAAGTCTTCAGAAAGATTTTGATATAGTTCATTTCATATATGATGAATAAATTAATCTTAACTTATGTAATTTGATAGTGTTAAGTCTGTCTTCGTTATGTTCACTGAAAGTGTAACTGAGTTGTGCTTAATACTGAAATCCTGAATCTTATGACGCGTAATGAGAACATAAAAACTGGTGATTAAGATTTACTTGACACCCAAAATAAATATCTGATTACTATGCTTTTTATATGGTCTACTTATAGTCAGGTTAATATTCAGATCTGAATTAACTGAACTGAGTAGTACTTTAAAAAAGTTCATCAATAACTTACTACACGAATAAAGACTTTGTGGGGAAAACTAATTTAATGTTATAATGCAAACTTTAACAGTATCTTCGTAAAACATGAAAATCATACATTAAATACATCATTTGCATACTCCATCATTCTTCCGATTCTGTTGTTATCCCAATTGCTCTCTGTTTTCCTATTTCTCCTCTTTATGTAAATCTTCTGCTGTTGGGCATTCTACTTTCGATTCCTGCTACATACTACTTATAAATCATACCACATTATTTATAATATCATGCCGATTGATTTGCACTCTGAAGTAATCTTGCCCTTTTGACTCTATCATATCGCCTTCTTCTGCTGAAAATAAGTTTGACTTTTCGGATTTAACTAAAGGCATTGGAATGGATACATATCACGTAGGATATTATCAATTTGGTTGAAAAAATTGAAATCGAAGAATAGATAACTGAATGGTAATTTTACTACTCAACGACCAATTTTTATAAAAAAATGAACTTTAGTTCTAAACTAATTCGAACGTAATTATAAACAAAATGTTTTACCTACGCTCATTAGAATTACCGCTGATTGGGATATTGCCAGTCAAATCATTACACATTACTATTAATGAATGTCATATCTAATCGTATCGGCGACTAACCAGGAGATCTTTGAAAAGTCATGTCTGATGAAGTTTAACCATGTTGGAAATGAAATACTCATTCACCAGCATAGTTGAATGCTGTTCCAGTATATAACACATTAGTTGAAGTTAGAAATACTAATACCAACACAATGTTTCTTGAAGGTAACTTGCCTCAAAACATAAATTTCCTGGGGTTCGAACTCTAGATATGTGAGCACTGTTGAAATGTTCTAAACTAGTACAGAAAAGCAGTACAGTAATTTGTAGTTTTAAACTGTCCTTCAATGACTTCTCAATCAACAAGCGATTAAATCAATTTATAGTTATTTAACTGATCTTTTTCAAAATAAACAAAATATTTCATGCAGATAGTTCCCTACATTAGTATGAAGAGAACAGGAACAAAGATTCGAATAGAATGACAAACTCATTTTATCATTTTGTAAGGTTCTCATTAGATGTTTACAGCTGATGAGAGAGAAAGAGAGAGTTTAGCAAAACAAAACTAATTCATATATTATTCTACTTAAATCTTTATTAGATCTCCATACAGAATAAATCTTTCTCTTTAAATTCTTTTTTATTAAAATATCTAGATAAAAGCTAAATACTATCGTGAATTAAAAAAGTTCATTTGTATTCCGAACAATTTCCGTGGATTCAATGAATTTATACCATCTGTTGGTGATAATTACAGTAATAATAACAGAACAGATAGTACGACTACTACTTCTAAATCTAATATTGACAAACATATATTCTCATGTATAATTGATAATCAAGAAAGTGGCCTACGTATATGCTATAGAAAAGCTGAATTTTTATTTACTCGACTATTTGGTAGTTTAGAACAATTTCAAGATTGGGTTATATTAGGTAATTTAAATTTAGACGATTTTGTGGATTTACATTGCCGTGATTTAGAAGATTATGAAAGGAATTTCAAGGTCAGTAAACTTCTTTTGTTGTTCTATTTGTTTTATATTTATGATGCATTATATTTTCCGTTGTTGATACTTACCTATTAGTACCTGTGACCCCTCGTGGAGCATAAAAACACTTACCAGAATCACCCGATCAAATCTGTTCTGGGCTCTCATTTCCAGTGGCTTCCAAGTGCCATTCATTCATTTGATGTCTGCCTCTAATTACTGGCACAACGTGTTCTTTAGTTTGTCCCTTTTCTTTTTTCTTTCAAGACTCCAAGTCAGGGCTTGTCTTGTGAAGCAGTTTCATGATTTCTTCAATGTATCAGATAATTTTTAAAGGAATTAACTGGTCATCCTCAGTCAATTGTATCTACGACCCGTGAAAAAAAATCTAGGCACTTGATATATATTCAAAGGATGTCTCTTATTAGCAAATAAATGATTTGTCGATTAAATGTTTTTAAATAGTAGTTTCACATTGAAACAATCGTGAAGACTAATTTCAAGTATATAGTGCATTCATTGTATTTCAGTTCAAATTATAAAGAAAGGTCAGGTGATATCTCAAATACAAGTGGGTGTCAATATTTGTGGGCCTATGTTTAAGATGACATATTTTTCTAATTTCCAAATGTCTCAGACTAGATTCTCAGTATATCTTACGTTTTCATATCGATTCATTACAACGCAATGGAACGTTACACTATTGCCTTTCTTTCTATGAGTTTCTTTGATTCAATAGACAACTACCACATTCCCTTCTAAATCCCAACATCACATACATTTTATACCCAACTAAAGTTTTATATGATATAACCACTTTGTGACATATTCACCTAAATTGTAGGGATATGATGAAGATTAGTTAGATTTGTATGTTGTCTTCGTTAGAGACTAACCTCAGTTAGAGTACCATCAAGAATCAGAGAGCAGAAGAAATCTGTTTTCCCTTAGTATAGAGCTCAGTCTTGAGCACACTATTATATTGGAACACATTACGTGTTCACCGAATCTGTGAACGGATCGAACACTCTGTGACACATTGACGAATAAGCTAGCTATTATGACTCTCCTCAGCTCATCGAACTAGAGAGAAGTCCATGTTCGGAAGAGGGAAATATATTCCTCAACTAGCCAGAACCACGACAAGTCTAGTCGAAAATACACTCATTTTTGATTCATAATTAGGATGAAATCATATATATGGAAAAATGCTTACAGTTATAACAAATCATATGCTGAGTATAGTTCATAGTCAATGGAATACAAGAATAACGTATGTTATACAAAATAAAATGTCATTTGGGAAAACAGAAACAAGTGCTGCATTGGGTAATCATTTCATTGAATCAAAATAGAAGTAATGTTGCATAAAAATCACAATGAATATATCAATCAAATTTTGACTTTTTATCCCGTCATAACAGAATTACAAAAATAAAGCATTTATCAAATAAGTCCTTGGATCTAACATCTCCTACAAACCCACAGCCACACGGGAGATAAAACTGATGAGTTTCAGGCCTTACGGTCAGCTATTCATAATTACGACCAACGGATTAACCTCCAATTGTGTAATTTCAACTTCAGTCAATTTACAATACAGCAAAACGATTACACAATGCGATTACTGACAACTATATCAGTCCTAATATATCTGAAAATTATCAGTCACGAATCGCTACTGGAATTTAAAGTATATGATGAAATAAATCTTTAGTAAGCTAACTAAATCTGAAGATGATGTGTCCACGTTACAGAATTATCATATACTAGGATGAAACACCTATCTAGTAAACCCTGGTTTTCAATCGTACCCCAAAAGCAATCATTCTGCGATGAATTCAACCTACAGATATATTCTCTTGGTAATTTTGAAAATATTTACTGTAATGTTCATGTTTACTTTAATTGTTATAACTTTTCACCTATCTAATTATATTTCTAAAGGCTCTGAAAATACGTAGTCGTGATGTAGAAAAATTGCCAAATGAAATACGTATTGATTGTATTATAGTGAATTGTTTACCAGTTAAAACAGCTATTGACGGTTTACTTCAGAATTTATTCGACACATTACAAAATTGTCTACGTCGATCAATTCACGGTGATTTAGTAGCTGTAGATGGATTTTTAACAGGTTAGTTGAAGTAATTTTTTTCTTGTACAGTTAAATTCACTTTTTCCCGAATTCAAATAAAGGATGACCAATAGTTGAAACTGAAAATTATAAATTCATTTTTATTTCGTGTGTTCTCATTAGCTATTTACAATTCATATTCGAGCATCATCGAGTACTTTTCAAAGAATTTGAGATTAACATATGCCATAGGTCTAGTCAACTCAATCGACTAACACTTAATCGATAGAGGCTATATTGTCAACTTTCTTGAATCTTTTAATATAACTGACAAGCAAACTAGGTCATACTTCATCAGAGCAGTATATATACTGCAAGTCCAAGTTTTCTAATATATATATTAGGAAACTTGGACAAAATCGGTTGAACTGTAATTTATGGACGAAACAATCAGATTTATGATGACAGGTCTTGAATTTTGGAGCGAAATTGATTCATTCATTTGGCTAAGAGAGTTCCGGCATTATAGCTGATGTCTGTTTGTTATGAAAACCTTATATGTAATTCCTAATCCCAACTATCACTTGTAGATATTATTCCTAATTCTTCACACTAGTTTATAACTCATATAACCTTAGTATGTAGGTGGATATTCTCGAGGTCTTTTTAGCGTCGCTCAAATGTCGTCCATAAATTATAATCTCTTCCCTACAGTTATTTTTAGTAGTTATTAACGCTATTATTGTTATTGGTTGTAATATTTTGCTTTATCCTTAGTGATCAATTGGTCATCTCATCTACTTTACAATTGACTTTCCACTGATTCTTAATTATCACTTATTGAGTTGTTGAAAAAACTTATGTTGTTAATTCTTTAAATCCTTTTGTATATATTACGCAATTCACCAAATAAATTCTCGAAATCTGGATAATTAATGTTACAGTCCGTTTATATTTCTTATATCTATTTTCAAATGACCTTACACATATATATATATGGACATATTATTTATTCTGCTGATAATCTTTGTTGCTACAATCTTCCAGTTACCATAATTGATATGTTATATTTCAGTGTGAATAAGGTTGTAAGCAGCTGATGAGAACGTACGAAATAAGAAATGTGTAGTGTCGGTTACTATATTAAGCTCACATAAATTATTCTAGCTTCTGGACACATCAATTTACCCATTCTTCTTGAGTCATATTTTAACCTTGTTAATTATTCATTTATCAACCTTGACTGTCTTTATATAAGCGTATGTGCGCACACTTCTTATCCTACTCGTCACAAGTCTGTAACCTATTTTTATCTGGCTATAAATATTGATTAACGCTTGATTTTCAATTGCCCGATATCAAATCGGGCTCATCAATTTTGGTAGCCGGGGCTTTGACTTCTGTTAGGTAGTACGAGTGATTGTTATCGAAATATACAACCTGGCTATCCTCGTATATAATCGACTTAATCAACGTTAGTGAATAACGTAATTAAATAAGTCAAATACGAGAATGTATTTCTGAATATATATATTCTGTACACTCACTGATCTAAACAGGAAATCAGCAGGGTGAAGCGAAATGACAAGCGGTGGAGAAGGCGTGTGAGCTGACTCCATTTAATCAAGCGTTAATCAATATTTATAGCCAGATAAAAATAGGTTACAGACATGTGATGAGTAGGATAAGAAGTGCACACATATACACTGGTAAGTGGATAACGCGATGGCGTTTGAAGTGAATAGTACTGGGTTCGAGTTCCAGAGTGAACATCAACTCTGAAGTGCAGGTGCACCCAACTGACGAGTCCCAAACGGGACGAGACGCGCGTCCTGGATTCCACTGCTAACCACTGTCCATCTTTGCTTACAATGTTTGTGAATTAATTCAATATCGAGGCAATACGCATACTGTGCACGTATGCCAATAAGAGACCGATCAATTGCAGTCCTAAATATCAATGAGAAGATTCAAGTAAACAATATCAAGTGAATTTGTATGAATAACATCATAAAATTTTCTTGTATTGGATTTATTTTATCTGTTTAACCATATACCTTAACCACATGTATTCATATGCTTTTTATCGTAAGGCAAAATACTGTTAAATTTAATCGGAACACTTACGTTGGTCAGGGTATTTTCTTTTCTAACGTTTGAAGAAACTACGGTCAATTTTATTGGATTTATGCATCAGAAATATTAGACGATGAAAAAGTGATGTTATGGGAGTAAAACTGGTCAAACATTTATGTGAATGAAGACGAATAACAGCTGACTGCTGTTAAAAAGCCTCATATATATAGAAGTGCTGAATGGATATAACAAGCAAATTCGTTAAAATAATCCATACTTCGTTCTGAGAGTTTTGTACAGTAACCAAACGTACGATACTCATAAAGGCAATTAATAGTAATAATAAATTTTGATTCTACTTTTCTTTACTTTCACAGATTCGTTAGAAAAGCTTTCCAGCCGACCTCAAACAATTGATGAATTGATTGCAGCTAAATCACAATACAATGAGTACAGTAAAACAATCAATCATTTAAATGATCAAATTCAATGTGCTGAAAGAAAAAATCAACTACTTTGTGCAGTATCCGGTAATAATGTTACCACTATAGCTGCAGTAAAAACGAAATGGGAAAAATTCAATACAATGATGGAAAGTTTTCAACTTATGATGAATGAACAATTAGAAGTAGGTCTAATTTCACATGATGTAATTTATAATCACTATGAATAGTTTACAGTATTTGAACCAGGTAGAATATGTAAACGAACATTTGAAATTTCAGTAACATTGAATAGTAGCTAGCGATAAAATACCCTATGTGTCTTTCGTTTCATTTGTGATTTGTCAGTTGGATGTGTTCGCAACCGAAAAATAAAATTTCTTACATATAATAGTTATACTTTTTGAACAAGCTAGTGGTTATCTAGAATAAGTAGCTCAGTGAACAACGCATCAATGTTTCAAGTAAAAGGTGCTTTGTTTGAGTCTTAGAGTAAGCATCAACACTAGAATGAAAATACATTTCGAATGACAAGAAACAAGCATCCTGGATTCCAATAGCATTCACTATGCAATTGTAATAATAATTTTTGATCAAAAAAGGAATTTTTAGTCAGTCTCCTCGGGATGTATATGCGTAAATAAAGACTAATCAACTGTACTTCTTTAAAATAACAACGGAAATATACAAAAATAATTACAAACAGGATGTATTTAAGTATATTCTTTGTAAAATATATAATTTTAAAGTACGGAATTAGAATTAAGTTCTTAGTTATACATCACTAACTTGTAATCACAATTGATTGATCATTAGGTGGTGATTAATGTCATGTGTGTCAAGTCCTTATTAGTGCAGATCGAATGCTATCGACCAAGTTGCAATGTGATCACTAGTCTAAGTGACTCGACATTGCGTGTACTATGTTGAGATTAGATGGTGGTTGGAGGTAGTCAACAAGAAACCCTGGACCCGGTCGGTCGCGGCCCGGATAGCCCAGTGGCAACGTCTCTGACTGTGAAGCTGGTTGACACGGGATCGAATCCGTCATGGAGTACCAGTTCCTTCAAGATTACAGGTACACCTTACTGACGAGTGCCAAGTAGCATGAAACCCGGGTCCAAAGTTTCCTTTCGAATACCTCCAACCACCATCTAATTACTAACTTGAAAGTTTATTTATGAAAATGTCACTATCTCGTATACCGTTCTCATTGATTACTAAATAAGTATACCATTCAAAATAAACTTATAATCGTCAAGATGAACAATTTGTCCACCAAAGAATATATTTCAAGCAAACAAGAAGAAAATAGTATTTACGATTATCTTAATGAATCAGTGAACAATTAGGCTGATTTATTATTTATGATTTTTATTCAACATTACTTCCGTTTTAATTCAACGTAATGATTATTCAGTATAGTATTCGGTTTTGTTTTCATTTATGACATTTTGTGCTGTATAACGTTATTCTTGTATTCAGTTGACATGAACTATACCCAGAATATGATTTTTTATAATTGAGTATTTTTCATATACGTGATTTCATCCTAATTATTAAGCAAAATGAGTGTATTTTCGACTAGACTTGTCGTTTTTGTTCGTGCCTAGTTCTCGGCTAATCATTTGTGTGTAAAGGCATGTTATTTCACTAAACAGTTAACCTGTTCTTTATGTTAGTGGTTTCGTTTTTTATCTTTAGTCATTTATTGTTTTGATCAATAATGGGTTCCCGTGAACAGTCAACACTTGACCATATCATGTCATTACATTCATGGATCGATCAGCATTATATTCATTTGTTTAAAACTAAAATCTGTCTGTCAGTTATAAAATCCACCTTCGTCACAACTGAACTGTATCAACTAGTAGTCTGTCTTATATTGATAATTTTTCATTTTATTATGTTAAAATTTTATATAATGATGGCGAAATTTTTTTCAGCTCAACCGGATTCATTCAGTAATGTTGTGTTCTTTGAGATAAGTAATTTAAATGCACAATTTTGATTGTTGTTTTGGACAACACTATCAGCGCCTACTGGGAATAGAAGTTGGTTTTTCAGTTATTCCGTAATCGTGGTATCAGTTCTTTCTGATATCGAATACTATGCAAACCAAAAAAAAAATTAATAAAAGGAGACGAATGAAATATTATCATTCGTCTAAGTATACATAAACATGGATTCACAGTCAGGCGATATGATATGCTATCACTAATATCAATACATAGGGACAACTACAAACATGCGATCGGTGAGGTGAACTCTAAAAACAACAGGGAATTCCTACAATCCGGACTTTCAAATCAACTGGTGATTAATAAACACATCGAGATACATCCGAAGTATCAACACGAACAAAGGAAATCATTCAGTTTCAAGGCCAGATGGCAGTCTGAAAGACAGCAGCCCCTGAATGCCCTGGTATAGCCGAGATTGTGGAAGACCAGCCCTCTCTGGAAATGCTTTTACACGGTCACGCGTATACAGCCTCTACCAGGGAATTCCTACTCACTGCCTTTTCGTGGCGGGGTTGTTATTCGCGAAAATGAGAGGACGAAAAGCGAATGTCCCGTGCTTTAACCGAATTCCAAACCAATGGTGCACATGGGCTCCAGTACCCTGGGGGAACAAATGGCGTATGAACCAATTGTTGGTCACCTGCCCCCATGGGATCGCATCTCCTGAAGTTGCTCCACCGTCTTGTGGATCAGACCTTTAGGTCGAAGGCTCCGGGTGTGGCCCTCTAAGAAAACCACCTGCTTCGGTTTGGGCATCCGGGCAATATCACAGCCCACACACAAATAAAATGAAAATAACGATACTTACTAAAAGACAGCTAGCATGCATGTGAGAACAAACGAGAACAACAAAACCTACACCCACCATCAAACACAAATAAAGACATCAGGATTAACTCTTGTAATATTTGCAGAATAACTGTAAAAGCTCACTTTCATATGAAGTACTGTTTGATAATACTGTGGAGAATAACAATAAGAGCTCTATAATTAAACCATAGAACACAATGCTTTAAAAAGAATTGTATAGAAAAGTTTAATTTGTACTAGATCCACAATATTTTCTTTTTCCAATTTGATTATACTACTATTTTTGTTTTAGATTTTAAAGTCAAATGTCATCAATGAAACAAATGTTTATTTTAATAATTTGGAACGATTTCAAAATCGTTGGAATCAACTTAAACCAGGCAAAAATGTATTAGATTCTAATAATAGTAATAATGAATTATGTCTATCAGCTGTAACAATTATCAAAGAACATGAAACTGAATTTCGTGAATTAGAATTGATGCGTCAAAAGTTAATGTAAATGAAAAATAAAGTTTTAAGTTTGATTTGTAATGATTTTAAATATTTCGTTCGGTTTCGATCAGCCTCAGTTAGCAAATGTACATCCTGTGAGGATTTCCTTGATATAGTAGTCATGTGCATCCCACTGACGAGTTTTAAGTAAGACGAAAGGTATTTTATGGACCCCACTGTTTGCTACATTCTATTTCTTTCATAGTAATTCCTTTAGTTTTTAAAGTCTTCTCTTCAGCATAATTTTAAAGTGTAGCTAGGTGTGGAATCTAGGATACTGATTTTGTCTTATTTACGGCCCATCAGCTGAATGTATCTGCATTCACTCGGATTCATACTTAAAACGTAGACAGTTAAACGAGGATCCACTTTACACTAGGCTGCCGAACAACTATAGCCACCAACTTCGTCAGTATGTAATGATATCTATCCTAATTTATAAAGTTCCGTAGTTTTCTATTTACGATATCCAAGACTGATTTACATTGCTCATTGTTGGTATATGTTCTTCTTCAACAGATATCTCTTTTTATTAGTTACAGTTACTGCTTTATCAAATTTAACTCCACTGTCGATTACAGTGAATGACATAATTACGAATAACTGCCACCTATCATGTAATATAAGCACAGAGCTATATAACAACTGTAAGTAACTAACTGGTACTAAAAATAATGGTCTAAAGGTAACTAGCTTACCACGAGAATTAAAGGCACGAATTTTGTACTCTAATAAGATTGTAAGAGAGCATTGTTGAGTGGCACTAAACTAAGATTTCGCAACTGATATATTTTCATGATGAAGATTAACCCTGAAAATTATTTATGTACATATTTGAGTAGATATTCATTTGAGAGAATAAAAAACAAGTAGATGTAATTGTTCATACATAAGTTGAGCGCTCTTTATGAAACCTAAAAGACCTGGATGCATACTTATGTGGTGTTCCATACTAGAACGCTATAGCCATCCAATGCTTCCTAGTTTTCAATGGTCATCTAGCTAAGATTAGTTCCTAATGTAAACGGCAAATTTAATCTTAAACTTTGTTTGTTTATGAAACTTTCTCAATTCACTAAAGATTTCACTGTAATGTATAATATTCTTTTGTCTATCTTTCTTATCATATATGTTCAATTTATATTGTTTGATGTATTGTTTCACTCGTTTTCTATACAGACGTGATTATGAGTATTTCGATATGCCTAAACCAGAATTTTCATTGGTTACTGAATTAGCCAATGATTTAAATGATTATTCACTTATGTGGTTAGAATATGATAATTTTTCTAAGGAACTTCAAAACTATGCCAAAGAAGATTGGATATCATTTAAGTGAGTTATTTGAATATTGAACAAAACTTAATAGTTCATTTAATGTTGTTTGTTTGAATCTTTCCATTGATGTTTAAGATTGAGATTGATCAGTCAATTGATCCATCTCTGCTTATGGTACTTTATAGTTACCTTTAAAAAAATTCGTTCTTCCAGCAGAATAAATACATCTAATATAAAAATCAGTTCAATTTACTATTAACCAGAAGTAAGTAATATCAAAAATGTTAAATTTCACAAATAACTCCAATAATCACAATGTATAAACGGGAAAAAGAACTTACGAAGAATTATGATGGATTTTGTTGCGCATTTACAGAACATGGATAAAATTAGTGTTTGAGTTATGAGGTGAAATTTTTACGGGTCAGCATCTGATGGTATGATAACTGCCCCTTTCTCAGTCAGTCAGTCAGTAACAACATAGAACTTCGTACGTACGTACATCAGTTCAAGTTACCACACCACATTAACACAGTGATACAATTGTCGATTCAAATCCCATAGTGGTAGAGTGATGTGGGTTACTTATATCCATGTAAGTAGTATATAATGGTGGTCAGGCATAGAATGTATGGAAGATCGATAAAGAAAAAACGAAAATGGAACTTATTTGGTATGAAAATGCATGAACAATGAAATCTGAGACAATGGACTAATATTTGTTTGAGGAACAGTGAAGTTTGAGACGAGGCTGCTTTTGGAAACATAATTCTGGTTTATACAAATGTATGGCTGTTACTTCTGCAATGTTGAGAAGATGCAATATAACTGCCTTTGGCAGCCTTCTACTTACCTCCTAGATGACTTTGAACGTAGAGTTCATTTTGATTGAGTGGACTGTGATCTCAAGGTTTTCGATTATTGGGCATCTTATCGAGCCGTTTCCTCCATTTTTTTAACCCAAGCCGGGTAATGTTCTTAAATTATTTTGAATAAATTGCACTTCGAATGAACTATATATCTGGCTCCGTATGAGCAGTTTAATAACTGCCATTCAGCAATAAATTTCACACCTGAAGTTGAAAGCAAACAGATTATTCACTTTCTTGATGTCGAAATTACAAGTAGACACTATGGAACTCTAAGAAGATTCATCTGCAAGTTTAATTATTGAATATATCTTTCTAACTGCTGCGTTATTTTGGCATTTCCAATATTTTACTTAATACACATATTCTATTCTAGATGTGGTCAATATTTAAAAGAACCTGTCACACAGAAACTCCACTAATATGCACAAGTACAACTTACTGACTAAATATCCCATATAAGTATCAATATCATTTTAATTATACATACATGTCCAGATTGAATTATTCACAATTGTGTTCAGTATATGTTTTTCTTTCTTGTTATTATATTAGTTAATAGATAATGTGCTTTCTTATTTCTTTATCAAGATCACGTTATTATGTATTTGAAGAATTTTTAACAGAATGGTCTAATAAACTTCGTTCTTTACAACCAACTCCAATGACTATTCGATTACAAAAAGAAATTGATGGATTTATGGTAAAATTTACTAGAATTGATATTAATCCCATATTTGATTATTTAATGTTTACTTCAGACATTAAAATCTATGAGTTTACCCTCTTATATTTTGAACAAAACCATAAAATATACATCAGTATATCGTTAAGATTACGTTGATACAAAAACAGAGACAACATTTAAAACAGATAGAGGTATAACATTTTAAAAGATATGATATGTCCTGGTACGGCTGAGAGTGGGGAGAGTCAGCTCCTCCTCTCCAAATGCTCTCACATGGCCACGTGCACACGAACACTGCAAGGGAAGTTGTACTCACTACCTTCTCATGGCATTACTGTTGTTTACGAAATTGAGAGGACGAAAAGCAAATGTCTGGTGCTTTAACCGGGTTGGTGGATATGGAGGGTCCACGTAGGGCAGTTGGAAAACCCTGATTTCAAACCAATGGTGCACATGGGCTTCATTATCCTGAAGGAACAAACCAATCTTTGTTCATCGGTTCCCATGGATTTGCATCTGCTGACGTTGCTCCACTGCCTTGTAGATTAGACCTTTAGGTCGAAGGCTCCGGGTGTGGCTCCCTAAGCAAACCACCTGCTTCGGTTTGGACACTCGGGGAGTATCATAGCCCACACACAAATCAAATGACTTATGTGGCGTATTTGTATTCGGTGCTCCTTTGTACCAATATCTATGTATTCAAATAAATAAGTAAATAAATATTTTATCTGACATTCTTTAGTTGAGCTTTCCACTAATGAAATGGAAAATATGCGAGTCAATGTAGAATCATTAGTATGGGAGTTTGTGGAGATCATAGAATTTATTTATGATTACAAACAAACCTAATTAAGATATATAAACCATTAGATGCCCGATTGATGCCCTAAGAATGAAGCTTTCGCTATAAGAAGTCCCAAGTTTGATTTCCATAGGAGTCATGAGTGCACACAACTAACTAGCCACATACTAGGACGAAAGAGCTGTGAAGTATTTCTTGGTTTTCAATAGTCTTTTAGCTTGAGTCTGTTGATCTAAATGATATTTATAGTTATTGGTGGTCATTACAGAATACAGTAACTCTTGATGAAATGTAATCCATAGTAGTCATAAATCAAGTAAACATAGAGTTGTCATTAATAATTAATGTATCATAAACATAGTCAGATACGCCAAGAAATTTTCATAGCTGCAACGATATATTTTTTATATAAGGATAAATATTTCATTTTTTCCATGGAAGGTATATTAAACAGTTTATTAACTAGAGTTCATCTCAGTATTTCACACCCTTTCGTGTTTAGTATTAAACCGTAGTCATTGTTACTAATCGGAGCTGTAGTAAAACGAGAGATTTTATAACACGTTTAATTCCTGAAAGGTAACTGATTCTACAAAAATAATATAAACATGGATAATGTTGTTCATCAACGATACTGCATCATACTTAGATATAAGCGTGGTTTTTAAAACTGAAACTGAATAATAAGCCAACATTTTCAGGATAGACAGTTGGAATAGTCGGACTTCCAAGTTACAAAATAAAATTCTTAGTGTTGAACAATTATAGCCTATTTACAAGGTTTATGTTAGCATGTAGAACTAGAAAAGTTCAGCACAATGTAGAGAACATTGAGTAAAATGTCACCGTGATAAGTTCCCCTTTATGTATAATCTTAACTTTTACTTAAAAAATGTATTTGTACAGAAGATATTTCAAAATAATCTGCTAATCTGTGTACATCACTACAATTTAAGAAGTCGATAACGTAATTATTGTGAAGTTGGTGATTAACTATAAATAATATAAAACATATATGTCTATATATAATGTGATTTTCATAATTATTTGACATTCGTTGGTTAGCTACTAAATGTTATGGAATATTAAACATAGATTTTGCCATGATTCAAGATCCATCTGCATTGTATATACTTAAGACCCTCATAAATATCTAACTCAATTGATTTATTAATGATAATTAATTTTAAAATGGACAAGAATCATCACAGAACTAAATACTTATACATCACTTTTCTTCAGAAATAAAGTAATCATTTAAACGTGAAGATCATTAAATAACAAATTCAGCTTGTGGAACGATACTGACACTTTTTCCAGTATTTTTTTCTTGAAAATTGTTTTTTTTTTTTTAGTGTAAACTGTGTTCATATCATAATTTTTCTTTCTTGCTATAGGATCTTATACCAGTATTGAAATGGTTAAAAGGTGATCATCTAACTCGTGATCACTGGTTTGAATTATTTCGTTTAATTGGATTATCAAAAGAAATAAAATTAGAAAATTTATTATTTGGTGATTTTTTTCCAATTATACCTAATATAATTAGTCAATCTGATATGCTAAAGTCTCTTTCACAACGTGCACAAGCTGAAATTGTTGTTAGAGAAGCTTTACAAGAATTAGACTTATGGGGTTCTGGTACTACATTCACGCTAACTGAATATATTGATAGTTCTGGACAAACTGTGTACTTGGTAAAAGATTGGAAAGAAATTGTTAGTCAGGTTAGTTTAAAGAACATACATAATTAAATTTTTATTGTACATTTAATCTAGTATGTAACTGTATATGATAGTGATATATAACATTCATCAATAGAATTCAGGTTCCTTTTTTCACTGTTTAATATAGTCTAATGTAATTGAATAACAAATAACATATTTCTCTTACTGCTATGTTTGAGGAGATTACAAGTTCACCTAATCTGCGAACGGAACGAACACTGTGTGACACACTGACCAATAAGCTAGCTATTATGACGCTCCTCAGCTCATCGAACTAGAGAGAAGTCCATGTTCGCAAGAGGGAAATATATTCCTCAACCAGCCAGAACCATGACAATTCTAGTCGAAAATACACTCATTTTTGATTCATAATTAGGATAAAATCATATATATGGAAAAATGCTTACAGTTATAACAAATCATATGCTGAGTATAGTTCATGTCAATTGAATACAAGAATAACGTATGTTATACAGAATAAAATGTCATTTGGGAAAACAGAAACAATTACTGCATTGGGTAAACATCTCATTGAATCAAAATGGAAGTAATGTTGTATAAAAATCATAATGAATACATCAATCAAATTTTGACTTTTTATCCCATCATATCAGAATTACAAAAATAAGTCATTTACCAAATGGGTTTTGGGGACCTAACATCCCCAATCCTTACTTTATCTTAAACTATACAGTTTATGTGATACTCCCCCTCCTCATATATAGAAATACTGCTTTTCTCTTCCATTATCCAAAACTTTTATGAGTACAATGTATCTAATCAGAGTTAGTAGGTACAGAAAGTCAGATTTCACATTGAATGATCAGTTAATAGTGGCCAGTATCGAATTTTGTCTAGTCCTAAATGCTGTTTAACCAGAGTCAGTCAGTGATGTAAATTTAAAAGAAAACTATCTAATTATTTCCTTTACTTTTATAAGAAAATGTTAATGACAGATGTAAAACCAGTGGAAATCTCATAACACCAGTTTTTGTGACATTTGTTTTAATTCTATCGAAGCGTCTAGTTCACCTGATTGAGATACGTGCGAAACCGAAGTTCCAAAACAACGAATTATCTACAATAGCGGTTCCTTATTGAATAATACACAAATTTTAGTTACATACCTCAACTTGTGAGGTTTCTGTGGCGTTTAAACGCGTCCTTCAAGTATAAAGATAAAAGGCTTCCTGTAACAGCAACATAAAGAATAATTATAACATACGATATTACAAAGGACAGCAGATAGCTGTGTCTAAATTTGATAGCAGTTTATGAACAACCGAAACCCGAACCAAGAGCAAAACAATATGGAAACTGTTGCGTTTAAACAAATTCACGAAACTGTGGATAAACGTTACAGTGGTTAAGGTACAGTAATTATAATGATAAATACAATGATAAGTACAATAAATGTCATAAATATATGTGAATAATTCAGAATAATACACTACAACTTGCGTTACAACATAAGTGTAAAATTGTTGGGAATACAATTGCTTACTGTATGTAAATAAGTAGTACAAAACAATATACAAAAGACTGGAAAGGAAACGAGTAGGAACATTGTAAGCAAACTTAACAATTTGTATTACAATTATCATTAATAATAATAATAATATTATGAAATTAAACTTGTCATTTAATGTGCTGTTCACATCAAGGTTGGAGATAATCTGGCTTTATTGGCTTCATTACAAGATTCACCATATATTGATAATTTTTTGGATAGATCCAATGCTTGGGTACAACGTTTAACTGACTTGGATTATTGTTTGACTAGATTTCAATTGGTACAACGTAAATGGGTTTATTTAGAACCAATCATGGGTCGTGGTGCTTTGCCGAAAGAAACCGCACGATATGCACAAATCGATGAAGAATTTCGTAAACTAATTGGTTATTTGAAAGTAGATAATCGTGTTATTAGTTTAGTTAATGGCATGAAAGGTAAAGCTTTGAAGGATACATTAAATAATTTACAGGTATGTTACAATACTTTGTTAAATCCATCAACCTTTCCGATTTATTTATTGTTGAATTTCCTATCAAAAATACAGTATATTATAATAAAGAACTTTCTGAATTTAAAAACTTGTGGGTAAAGTATAATAGTATTGGATAATAACATCTAAGCGTTAGCCAGAATCTACAGATCACTCTGAATTCTTAAGGAAACGTATTAGAATTAGATACAGAAACGACATAAAAGCTTGCTCAATGTGTATTGATCAAGATTGCTTGGCATTTGTTACCATTAGTATAGTGAACGAAAGTTAGGAGGAAGATGTAAACTAAGATGTCAAATTGTCGATATTTTTTAGAAGCTATACAAAACTGTCAAACAAGACTAGAAATATGAAGTATTTAGAAGAATACTATGGTCCTAATTCAGGTCAAAATGAAAATTGGGTATATCTGAAGTAATAAAATTAACTTTTGATCTATATCAAACGTCTGAAGAATAAAAATAATAGGGATTGGTTGCGTTACATGTGGACTAAAATCGAATGAAGTGTGACTTAACAAGAGCGCAGAAACATAAATCAGTTCGAGGTAAGTATAGAGTACAATAGATAAGAGTTGATTCATACGATGGTTCATAATGACCATAGTTGGAAAAATTGTTGAATAATTTTCCTTTACATATAGTATGTGATGTTTTGGTCACACTAATGTTAGTACCAGAAAACGTTTCCAACAGAGTGTTCATAAAACAGATGAAAAATTGAGTGAACACCCATCTCCAAGATCAACAAGCTGGATTGCGTAAGGATCGGTCATGCACAGACCGAATTGCCACAATAAGGGTCGTTGTTGAGCAATCAGTTGAATGGAACTTGTCACTACACATCAACTTCGTTGACTATGAGAAGGCGTTTGACATTATAGATAGAAGAATATTATGGAAACTTCTTCGACACTATGAAGTTCCTGAGATCTCCAACATCATCCGGAATTCATACAACAGAACACATTGTAAAGTCGTGCACGTAGGACAGCTGAGATACTCATTCCAAATGAGGACCGGAGTCAAACAAGGCTGTCTACACTCTCCCTTCTTATTTCTTACGGTGGTTGACTGGATTATAAAGACCTCAACATCTGAGAACTACTACAACCATCATCAAAAAGTACAACTATACATAAATAGTTGTTTACATGAGATACTCAACATCCATTGGCCGGAAACCATCAGCAACAGTTTGCTATGGGAGAGAACAAATCAACTTCCAGCTAAAGAGAAAATTAGGAAAAGACGATGGAAATGGATATGAAATACATCACAAAAATCACCAAACTGCATCATGAGCCAAGCCATAACTTGGAATACTGAAGGGAAGCGGAACAGAAGAAGGTCAAAGAACACATTACTTCTGGAAATAGAAGCAGTTATGAAAAGTATGAATAACAACTGGAAAGAGCTGGAAAGGATTGCTCAAGACAGAGTCGGATGGAGAGTGGTGGTGGGCGACCTATGCTCATCGAGGAGGAGTAACAAGCGTAAGTATGTGATGTTTTGTGTGGGTGACAATAGCTTCAACAATCCAAAAGAAACTAAGACTTATTTCACTAGTTGAAATCATGAGCCAATTGAAGCCAAAACCCCATGAAAAACTTGGAAGGACTGGATGGCCGTTTCATCCTAGTATGGAACTCCTCAGCAGTGAGCATCCACGATCCCATCCACGAGTTCCATACCAGGACGGAACGGCGTTCCACTGCTTTCAGGTTTTTTATGGTGGTCTAGCTTCAATTAACTCACGATTTCAACTAGTGAAATTTCTAAAGTCTCCACAAAACCCCTTCTCACAAGACTTATTTGTTTATAGCAGAGGTCTATTACCGCTAGCTAAACTCATTATTCCAGTTTTCTAAATGACTATTAACATATTTCTCTAATATAGTGTTCTGTCAATCGAATTAATTATCCCATGTAATAATTATATCGGTCTCTTGACCAGTCTCAACACTCCTAACAATTTGTTTCTTGAAACAAATGAAAAAAAAATAGAGCTTCCATGTAAGCTTGCTATAAACAACACAGGAATCAATTACTATTCCATAGTATGCCGAAATATCTAAAATTCAATATCAAAATTATCAATTTTTTGTATGAATTTCTATTTCTTGTTCACATATATACCATAAATTTATATTTTAAGGAACAATTAGCTCGATGTCAACGTGCACTAAATGAATATTTAGAAGAAAAACGTAATAGATTTCCACGTTTTTATTTTCTTGGTGATGATGATTTATTAGAAATATTAGGTCAATCAACTAATCCAAATATTATACAAACACATTTAAAGAAATTATTTCAAGGAATACATTCGGTACAATTCAAAAATCATAATCATGATCATGATCATGATCAACAACATCATCATCATCAACATCATCAAAATACTGAAAATTTAAAAATGGATCAAAATCAATTATCAACAAATATTATAACAATATGTTCATCTGAAGGTGAAATGATTCATTTACATAAATCAATTCAATTAACCAATGAAATTGAAATTTGCCTTGAAAAATTAACCAATGAAATGAAAATAACATTAAATGAATTATTAATTCAATGTTTAAATGAATATTCAATAAAAAATCAATATCAATTTAATTCAAATATATATCCTGAACAAATTTTAATATTATCAGAAGCAATTCATTTTTGTAAAAATGTTGAAAATGCATTAAATTGTGGAGAATTAAGTCGACTTAAAAAAGATTTACAAGTATGTTATCATCATAGTTAAGATATATTAACATTATAATTTAGATACATTCAACTTATAAGTTTTATACAGAAAAAATTTTGAATATTGGATACTATTGCTAGTTAATGTTCTAAAATGTGATCAGATACTTCTTATTACTTACTAACTTAAGCCTATTACTCCTCTTCGAGGAGTATAGGTTGTCCACCAGTATTCTCCATCTAAACTTTGTCCTGGGAAATCCGTTCCAGTTGTTCCCAATTTCTATTCATTCTTTCAATATCTGCTTTTAATTCTTGACATTATGTTATTTGATCTTCCTTTTTATTGTTACCCCACAGTGTTTCAAGTTAGAGCTTGTCTCGTGATGCAGTCAGTCAGCTGCAACGTAGGACCAGGCACATATATGCATAGGTCCAAGTTGCCATATCGCATTAGCATAACAAGATGAACACCGGATTCATAGAAGTAGTCACATCAAAGGTAGTAGTATATAAAAGAAAGATTGTGTATAAGGATATAATACAGGAAGAAAGAATTAGTTCGTAGAAAGAAAGACATGAAGCGATCTTAATCTGTTAGTTTAAAGGAAGACAGAGAGTGTATACACTGACGCCATTGTGACCGATTCTGAGCCATGTCACCAAGAGTCTCCAACCATTGGTTACGATAGTCACGCGGACCCCAACCAGGTAGTCTGCATCTACCAACATGGCTCAAACCAGAAGTTAGTGTCTTCAAGCACTGATGCCACGTTTTGGTTTGGCAGCCCCTAACTTTCTTCCAATTATCCCTAACAACAGTGAGCATTGCACGTCGTGGTAATCGGTGTTCAGGCATATGCAACACGTGGCCCAACCATCTCAGTCGATGAAGGTTCATAACTTCATCAACTGATTTACCATCATCTCCTAATACCCTACGTCTAACCTCACTATTACTTACCCGGTGATGCAGTTTAATGATTTCCTCAATTTATGTCCTATCCACTTTCAAAGTGTTTTATTTCCTATGCATATGGAAGCTGGTATACTCGCTAACACAGTAGATTGTCGCTGATGGTTTCCAGCCAGTGGAAATTGAGTTTCTTACGTAAACAACTGTTCATAAATACTTGTACCTTCTTGATTATGGTTGCAGTAGTTTTCGAATTTTTAGCTTCGTATAGTGAAACTGTCTTGACGTTCGTATTGAAGATTCTGAATTTGGTATTGGTTGACAGTTGTTTTGAGTTCCATATGTTCTTCAGTCGTAGGAATGCGGTCCTTGCTTTGCCGATCCTCGCCTTTACGTCCGCATATGATCCTCCATGTTCATCAATGGTGCTGTCCAGGTACGTGAAATATTCAACCTCTTCCAGAGTTTCCCCATCAAGTGTGACTGAGTCAGTGTTCTCTGTGTTGTATTCGAAGATTTCGCCTTTCTTTTGTGTGTGTCGAGGCTTACTGAAGCAGTGGCTGCTGCTACACTAGTTGTCTTCATCTTCATTTGTTCGTTTGTATGATGTAGGAGTACTAGATCATCCGCGAGGACCAAATCTTGTAATTGGTTCTGAGCTGTCCATTGTATTCCGTGTTTTTCCTCAGATGTTGAGGTCTTCATAATCCAGTCAATCACCAGAAGAAATAGGAAGGGAGTGTAAACAGCCTTGTCTGACTCTGGTCCTCACTTGGAATGAGTATCTCAGCTGTCCTACGTGCACGGCTTTGCAGTGTATTCCGTTGTATGAATTCCGGATGATGTTGGAGATCTCAGGAACTTCATAGTGTCGACGAAGTTTCCATAATGTTCTTCTATCTATAATGTCAAACGCCTTTTCATAGTCAACGAAGTTGATGTGTAGGGACAAATTCCATTCAACTGATTGCTCAACAACTATCCTTAGTGTGGCAATTCGGTCTGTGCATGACCGATCCTTACGCAATCCAGTCTGTTGATCTCGGAGATGGGTATCCACTCAGTCGATCGTTAGTGGGGTGATATCTATCGGAAGGCCTGTGTGTGCTGCTTCGATGTCCAGATGTAACAATGGAGCTGGCCTACTCAACAGTTCCTCAAAGTATTCTACCCATCTGTTCCTTGGTTCTTGAATCTACGTGATTGTCTTACCTTCTTTGTACTTGTACGGTCTCTCTGGTTTACTATATTTCCCTGATAGTTTCTTCGTTGTGTCATTCAGCTATCTTATATTTCTTTCTCTTGCAGCTGTTCCACCTATTTCTGCTTGTCAGCTCTAACTCTCCTCTTCACTTGCTTGTTTGCTTCAGTGTATTCAGCTTGTGTCCTGACCTTCTCTGTTCTTGCTTGGCTGTTATTAATTGTTGTCTTCTTGTTATTCATTTCTTGAATCTTGTCCAGAGTTTCCATAGAGATCCATTCCTTACATTCCTGATACATTGAAGTTAGTGCTTCTTTGATCCCTTTCCAGCTTCTCTTCATAGTAGTTTCTTCTTCTTTCAGTAGATCCAGTAAGACTTCAACCTGTTGTTGAGAATTATCTTGAATTTGTCGAGGCTTCATTTAACCTTTGTAATACTGTTTCCTCAGTTGTCCATTGCTTCTTTAGCTTCAGTTTCATCTTGGCCACAATCAGGTGGTGATCTGAAGCCATGTCGGTTCCTCTCTTGGTTTTCAACTCTCCCATTGACTTTCTGAATTTTTTATTGATGGAAATATGACCAATCTGGTTCTCTGTAATATGATTCGGTGAGACCCATGTAGCTTTGTGTATGTGTTCGTGGGGGAATGCAGTTCCGCCTATAACCCTTTTGTTGAATGTATGAATCCATGTTGCCCGATGGTATCTTCATATACAGTGTTTTCCATTCCGGCTTTGGCATTTAGGTCTACCATTAGGATTGTCAGGTCCTTTCCTGGACACTTCTCTACGACCAGTTGCTGCCTCTGGCAAAATTGGTCTTTATCATCTTCACTGCTATCATTGGTGAGTGCATAACATTAGATAATGTTCATCGTGATCCCCTCCTTTGTTTTGAAGAGTGCTTTGATGGTTCTTGATCCATAAGATTCCCATCAGTGGAACTCCCTGAATGTGCGGAGCATTTTCTCCTTCATGATCACAATGCATCAGCACCCTTCCCAAAGCTAGCCTCTCCTGTCAAGCTTGTATCCAATGGATTTCAGTTATTCCGAGCGCAGCCAATTAGTTTTCCGTCATTTCCGTAGCTATTTGATTTGTCCACCCGGTCTCCCACATTGTCCGGTCATTACATGTACCTATATTAATTTCCACTCTGGTTAGTCGAAAGGGCGTCGGCCTCGTAACTTTCAACGAATCTTGGCTTTCACCATGAGGCGTCATAATTTTTCTGAATGAAGATCCTTCAACTTCCAGGGCAGGGTTTATATAGTTTAGATTCTTTATTCTGGTTGGCGTGTTTTTAGCAAGATTGTTTTCTACGGGATGAGGTTGCCGATCCAGTGCTCAACCCTCCTGCTTTGCTTGGGCTTGAGACCAGAAGTCACCCTAGAAGTGTTACAGGCTAAGCCTTTAAGATAGTTTCTGTTACGTCATTCAACTGAGGCTAATCTAGATTAAGACCTTGATGCAACAGGCTGACCGGCTTAACCATGAGGCTAGTACGCGTGAGTTTGAAGTGGGGTAGAGAGAAGAAAACTTTTCTATCAGCTGATTGGCTGAAAAGCACACGAGTGAGAGAAGACAAGACAACTTGAACACTGCTCGATCTATTCCCGATTTCAGATTAATGTAAAAAGGTACATGAATAAATAGATGACTAACCCGATCACAACGTACAATAATTTGGAAAATACAATTATGTCCAAAACTGGGGATTAGCGTAGAAAATAGAGTACAAAATAATACGTTTAAATTACAATAGCTTTGGAACAAAAAGGGCTATGGCAGTAAATCATACATCAGTCGAAAGTTCATATTCTGTAGAATAGACTAGGGACAAAAATAAATGTTAATGTTTTACAAGCTTTGAATTAACTGAAATAAAGTCCCGAAAAATGGCTTCCGTAGATTGTCAAAGCTTGTTTCTCTGCTCACATCAGTTTCTTACCGACATCCACCAGTAAAAGTATTTTTAAAAATAACATGATTTTAGATACCTATATCATCATAGTTATCGACTTAGCAGTAATCTAACAAATGTTATCACTCCTAATGAAGGTAAAACTGTTCAAGTTATTTGTCGAAGACGTACCCTGCAAATCATTTCAAATCATACATATTCACCATATTTACAACTTGAATTTGTGAGTACAAGCTACAAACCATGAAGTATACTTTCAAACACAGATTACTGAGTATTTGATTACGTCAATTTCCTAATTTTATTAAGAAGTAACAAGTAGGATCTACGGTTCACTTCCACGATATATAAATTATCAGATCTATAACAGTTATAATACATATATTTGTCTAATTAAGTTATTCTCTAAGTATTTTTGAATAAAAGTAACTTTAAAACTATAATCTTTTATTACTTCGAAGTAGGAAAGTTATAATTTCAAAATTCATTCTCACGTGATCACTGTTAGTACAAAATATCACCTTGGTTTACTAAGTTTACTTTATAATATAGATTAGGAAGTACTGGACAGTTGTTTCTCCCTGGTATGGGACTCCTCAAGAGTGCATAAGCATAGCAATAAGAAAAATCAAACCCAGTATTTCTAGGAATCATGACTAACTCTTCATCTTTAGATCAGTGAGCAGCCATTCAATAATTTACGTGTCTGACTTTATTGATTTAACGATATTACTCAATTATCATTCATTACATGATGTGATATTTGTCTTATAAGCGACACGGTTGTTTTGAAAAAAGAAATCACCGTCTGTAAAATTCCTATTCGTATAAAAAGTCACATCATTTTTATATGCTTATGATTAACCCGGAAATTTCTATTCAGATATTCATCTTCTTTTAATAAAATTACTTCTTTTGATTTTTTAAATAATTTAGTCTCAATTAGCTATGTACACTTCAGCTAAACAACAAAAAACCATGAAAACAAATGAACATTGTACAAATTCACAAGAATCAAATGTCCAATATTCAACTCATTCACGTTTACAATCTTGTAAATTAAGCTCATTAATACTAGATAAAATACATTCAATTGATATAATTGATCAGTTGATTCGAAATGGTGCAGTTAACCCAAAAGATTGGATATGGCAACGTCAATTACGATTTTATATTAATAACAATCAGAATTCCATGTACAACTATACAACTAAAATAAAAAATGATAATAATAATAATAATTCAATGAAAACATCTATATGTATGGCTGATGCAGAATTTTTATATACTTTTGAATATCAAGGCAATTCACCACGTCTAGTACATACTCCATTAACCGATAAATGTTATTTAACTTTGACACAAGCTATGCGTATGGGTTTAGGTGGTAATCCTTATGGTCCAGCTGGTACTGGTAAAACAGAATCTGTGAAAGCTCTTGGCTCTATGATGGGCCGTCAGGTAAATTGAAAATAGTCTTATTTTTCCTATGAATCCGTTAACATTTAAAATTGATTTGAATAGAAAATCTATTAATTTTTATAGAATACTTTCATAAAGTGCCTTATAATTCACTTGGATGAATGTGTTTTGAATGAGATGGATGAGTGTAAATTCTGGAATGACTTTTTCGATAAAAAATAATTTTATAACTACAAGATGAAAGACCAACTTATTCAAAGGAAACTTACTTTTTAGACTAATTATTAACATAGAAAATTGTGTACATTCGTTTACTGGTAACTTCCTAGGAATTATTGTATATAAGTAGCTTTGATAGAGTTTTCAGATTGGGCATGTTGTATTCAGAAATTTGAGTTGAAATGTTATATTCACTTGTGGTTCAGCTCAGAAAATATGTCTAATATTGTCATAAATATGATTAATTCTAGATCATTCTATTCGTTTAATTCTTAACCTAATAAATCTTACCACAGATTACAGAGTAAGGTGACCTGTGGTCTTTTATGATGTTTCTTAATACCTCTCGTTGTAGGAAAGCATCATCTCTGAAGATACATGTAGTACTTATATTTTAACGATTTATTCTGGTTAGCATTTTTTTAGCAAGGTTATTTTCTACGGGATGGGGATGATGACCACGCGCCTAACCCTCCTCCTTTACCTGGGCTTGGGACCGGCAGTAGCTTTGGAAGAGCTACAGGCGGAGTTATATTTCAATAATAACTAATCAAATTCAATTCTAAATAATTATGAAAGAGGAAATATAAATCTTTACAACTAACGATGAAACTATACTGAATTCGGAAGTATTAGTTTGATACACAATATTGATTTTATTTTCCATCTTTATTCTAGGTTCTTGTTTTCAATTGTGATGAAGGTATTGATTTACGTTCTATGACGAGAATTTTTGTTGGAATAGTGAAATGTGGTGCTTGGGGTTGTTTCGATGAATTTAATCGATTAGAAGAATCTGTTCTATCTGCTATTTCAATGCAAATTCAGGTCACTACAGGTTTTTTTTAAATACATATGGACGTTTTTTTTTAATATCAACTTTTATGAACACAATATTTCACTAAACTACATATTGAAACAAAAAGCCTTTAGATAAGCAGCATGCAGATTAGCATTCCATATAGACCTACTGATAATTTTTTAACAAGACTACCTAAGTTCATGATGTTAAACATTCTGACTCATTTCATAATACTAAATCCCCCTAACTTTGGGTTTTATGATATAAATGTACATAATTATAGCTTTCTGTACGATGAATGTAAACTATAGAAAACGAATGGTTTTCAATGAATTCGAGAATATTTGTTTCTAATCATAACCATTATTATGAAATCCTGGATTAGTAACATTTTAACAGTAGCTTCTAATGTCATAAACACGAAGTCGATCTTCTTTAACTATAATTTCCAACAAACAAACTGAAATCGATTTAGTGATTATTCAAAAATGGGAAGAACTAGATAACTGTCTAATCTTAGTTTTTAACTTCTTACCCGCTAACAACCTTGGACACAGGACATTCAATTCTCACTGTATGATTGGTACTTTTAAACCATCAGTCAGGATTAAATGATTCACATTTCCAACCTCAGTCAATTTGTGATTTAATGAGATGACCATCCGTTGATATCTCTATTAATTGTATTACTTCTGATATTGTTGGACTTCATTGAAGACGATTTCTTACTAGGATCTAAAATATGACTTTCTTGTAATGATTGACACATGATTATTGTTCAGTTTGATGGAAGTTTTCCAATTTTGATGTATAAATTGATCTTCCATATAGACTACTTTGTTTTTTTTCCAATCCTTATTATAGATTATTCAAGATGCCTTGAAATGTGGCACACCACAAATCAATCTACTAGGTCGTACTACTAATGTTGACCCTAATTCAGGGTTATTCATCACATTGAATCCCATCGCTAAAGGATATGGTGGACGTCAAAAACTACCAGATAACTTGAAACAATTATTTCGACCAGTTTCAATGACAAAACCAGATGTTGATTTGATAGCTGAAATGATTTTATTTTCTGAAGGATTTTCCAATGCTCAAATATTAAGTCGTAAACTGGTGTCTGTTTTCTCATTGGCAAAGTAAGATTTTCTTTGAGATATATTTTAAAATTATCTGTTAATTAGTAAAGATCTTTAATTTCTCGTTGTTAATATTCAGGACTGCCACTGATCACTCGCTGTTACAGTACTTGAGTCTTCAGAGGATTACTTTTATGTAGTTTTACGTCACAAGCTTTTGCATTTTTAGTACATAGTTGGTAGTGAAATCCAGATCTTATGACTAGAGTTCTATTTCAGACACATCAGTTGGATGTATCCGCATCCTAGTACTGACGTTTCCACTAAGATTTGAACCTAGTGCCTTTTGTTTTCAATCCCCAATTTGTTACTCACTAAGCTACTGAGTCCACATGGGAAACTTTATACAAATGGTTAGTAACTGAGATTAATAGTAAAGATATGAAATTACATCTCAGTGTTGGCATAATGGATTATCAAAAAATATCAGCCTCAAACAGAAGATGTAAGGGGGGTACTTATGCTTTAATGTAAGTTTATACTACGCAAACATAAATTAAATAACAAATATACTATACTTCAGTATTGTCAAAATATGCAGTCAGTTAAATGATGTCAGGAACCTCATTAATTTATGTTTGTAAGGTAAGTAATGATGTATTATCACTGTTTTAGACAACTTCATTCTAAACAGACAACATTTTGAAACACGGTATGTAAACTGTGGAATAAACTAGTCAACAATATATTTATGATATGTAGGTGTTTTATTTTTAAAAAGGATCTTTTTTCTGTACTAAATATTTCAATTATTTTTCATACTTTTTAAAGCAAGCCAAACTACTGTTAATCTTAGGGCATGTCATTGTCACATCAGAGAGTTATGATCATGTAGGAGATTGTATTTTAGAGTACCGGTGGCTAATTTCTTCTTTTAGTGCTCTCCAGAATCGCGTTTTAAACATTCAATACACAATCCAGCTAATCTGTGGTTTTCGTTGAGTATTAAATGTTCTAATATACTAATTTGATAGCATAAGTATTTGATTTTAAGTTTTTAGATTGACTAATTTTTGTTGGATTTTGATAAGTCACGAATAAAGTAAAGTGATATGACGGGACAAAAAGACAACATTTCATTCGGTTATTCATTATAGATTTTGTTCGATATTACTTCTATCCTTTTTAATTCAATGTAATGTTTACTTAGTGTAGTAGTTGTTTTGTTTTCCAGAATGATATTTTATTCGGTATAACATACGATATTCTTGTATTAAATCAACGTGGACTATGCTCAGCATGACATGTAGCATGCGATTTGTTATAACTGTAAGGATTATTCATATATGTGATTTTATCCTAATTAATGATCAGGATGGGCGTACAATCAATATGCAAATAGGTGTATTTTCGACTAGGGTCGTCGTCGTGTTTTGGGGTTAATAAATCTTCACTTGTATCAGTCTTGGTGTTCTTACTTCGCGTCTTGGGAATTGCAGTGGTTCCTCATTTTTCAAAGTATGAGAAATAAGCAACCCTGACATAACAATTAACAATGACTAGTTATAACAATTGGCGATGCATGCATAGCACAAATTGTTCATACTTTTCTAGATATAAGATTCACCAGTTAATAGTGTTTGCTTCAGGTTCCTCTAAAACTCCAGCTCAATACCAATTTTTTCGCAATATACAACTTTATCGAAATGTGTTTCAAGCCACAATAACTGTCTATTATATAGTTAGTATTAGTTTGTTTACAAAATTATCAGGGGACAGATATTTTTATATCACTGAATAAACGTTTCTAGCAGTATACCAAGATTTCACTGCTAGCAATATTCTATGAATACTATATCAACTTGTGCTATAATGGCTATATTGGGAAGATGCATACTGGATGCCTATATGCTAACGAAGATTGATCAAATTTCAGTCAAAAACTATCAATAACGTGATAATCTAAGCCATTTCAAAATTGAATTATACCTGGGAATCAAAATGAACCTTTTAACTTGACAATACTCATGAAAAAAGATGGTATTTTTATGGTATTTTTACTGACAAATTGTTATGCCCCGAAAAGCATAATGAGTTGTAGTTTTTGGGATCCATTTATGGACCAATGTTATACGTATATTTTATCGTATAATTATTAATTAACTAAACTATTCATACTCATGTCTCTCTTATCATAAGCTTTATTTTAACCTATGAACTGTTATTATGCGATTTTCCATTCTCAAATTATTCCCTGTTTATTAATCACCACCTCCCTCATTCACAGCCACTTTTGGCCAAATTTTGTGCAAATGTTATTTTCTATTTTATGGTACGTTGTGGTCTGTTTGTTTGGTATATAAACCGAGTATGTTTGAGATACATGATTGATATCGCAGAGGCTCGGATCGGTGTTCTGTACTTAACTGACTGGGCTAGGCAGGAAGCGAGACCATTCAGGACTCTAGGCTGCTCGTACGAGTTTTACGCGTCATTGATCCGATCGATAAGTCACTGCTCTCTAATCGGCCGTCACAAGTTATAATACAAATGTTAAGAATAAGACCTGGAAATCATAAACTTACTTCCTAGAAGAACTTACAATAGATAATGACTGTCACTAAGGATGATACAATTGAATTCTATTATCTAAGAAAAATGTTATATATGTTTGATAAAGGTATATATTTGATGTATAATCATGAGAAATAAGTGGTTATATTGTACTCAAAATTTATATAATCATGCACTTATAAAATTATTTTTTCTCTTTGTTTACTCTGAATAACAAGACAACTTCTCTCAGTACAACAACACTATGATTGGGGTTTGAGAGCATTAAAAACTGTCTTACATTGTGCTGGAACACTTTTACATAATGATAAACAAAATTCAAATGAATTAAGCAATCATAATGAAAGACAAGATCAACAAAATTCTTATGAATATGAAGCACAATTTGTAATACAAGCAACTAAAACAAATACATTAGCTAAATTAACAAATTCTGATGCTAAACAATTTGAAAATCTCATTAGAGATGTATTTCCTAATTTGTGTTTACATAATGTACAGTTTAAAAATCAGGAACTGACCAAACTCATTGATTCAATGCATTCAGTAGTAAGAGAACATAATATGATATTAGTAGAAGCCCAGGTGAGATATATTTTATCATCAGAATATTTGCAGTTACATCATTTGGTATGATAAATTGTTGAAATTTCTAATGAATATGTCTATTTTGTACATAGATGTTTACTTCAGTGTATGATCATAAACGTCCATGACAAATACCATTACTTTTAAAAAGAACTTATAACGATTTTGTTCTATTCAACACAATAAGGTCATGAGATTTGAGCTCTATCATGTTACCATATAAATGTTGAGTAAAATTGAATATTATTATCATATATGATGTTTATAGATAGCCTATTCATGCATTGTCACCAGCTCATTTTATAGATTCATTCAATAGAAATTAGTAGTGAAACTGACTCGAACACAATCTAATAACATACTTGAAATGAATGCTTTTCTAAACTTTATTTTTTGTCTTAAATATTTTCAAGCGTTCTAGATGAAATGTCGAGTATAAAAATGAAGGTTTTCGTAAACTCTATGGTTTGACGGTAGTCTACAATACAGATTAATTTTAACTGATAACTAATTGAGAACCAAGAGTCGTTGTAAGGCTATCACATCTTAGTTTATTATTGCTTAGTAAGGGGCTTGTCTATGATACCGTCAAGGATTGAAACATAGACTTTCTAGTCTTGTAGCTACTTCATTACCTTCAGGCCACTGAGTTGATATCCAGTGGGCTTATATTTCGGACATCAGTCCTAATATATTGAAGGAAAATAAAAACTATTAAGTGATTAGAGATAGCAAGAAACCCGCCGTCAATGTTTGATCTTTATTTGTACTCGTCGGCATGACCTACTTGATATCTTGAGGGAACCGGTGCTTGCATTGGGATTCGAACCTGTATCACTAAGCTTCATAGACCACTGGTCTATCCAGGCCTAGCTGTCCAGACCACCTTAAATCTCAACATAGTGCATGAGATACTGATTTGATTAGATTATTGGCTATGGAATTTGATTAGAAGTAAGACCTGGACAAACATGACATTGATCAATGTGTAGTGACCAACCAGTTATACAAGTAAAGATATCTCACAATAATCTTAATATACTTAAGTAAATGTTTCCCTAATATTTAAAAATCATTCGCTAGGTTTTCCATGAAGAAAGTAGGATGTTACATTTGTAGATTTCATTGGCTTCAATGTTATATATTAACTAGTCAATTATTCTCCTTTACTATATAGAACTGGAGACTAGGGAAATAATCTATTAATTGAAGTCACTATACGTTCTTATGGTCGAACGAAAAAAGAACTTGCAGGATATATGAAATAACATATTAAACATAGTCACTGAAAGATAACAGAGGAGGATCGATAAAAGATTGTTGCTGATATCCATACATTTCAACAAAACCAAGAATCAAAGTCAATGGGAGATTATTATGAAATATTGTGAATTTACTGATGTTAAAATTATGTACCACATGACAGTGGATTAATGTTTTAGAGATTAGATGTTCACGTTCAAAATGAAAAGTCCTGAGTTCGATTTCCGGGAGCGGATACGTACCGGTCTGTAGTCTCATACTAGGACGAAACTGCCGTTCGGTATCTCTTTGTCTGAAATGGTTTTCTGACTTAAACCGATTCGTGGTTTTGATAAATTAACAATATTGATTGGTAAAGCACACTTAGACGGATTAGTTAGTCAATGTTGACTTGTATTAATAAAATACAGTACTTCACAACCTTGTTGATATTTAAGAACTATGATGATTTCATTCGATCCTTGTTTTACAAAACTACCTGTTCAAATTTAAAATATCTACTATATTGAACATTTAATCAGATATTTATATTTTATTCATTCTCAATTAATAAAGATTCAAAAAGCTATCGAATTATATGAACAATTATCACAACGTATGGGTGTTGTTTTAGTTGGACCATGTAGTTCTGGGAAATCAACAATTTTAAATTTATTACGTTTAGCATTGAATAAAATGGGAATATCAATACGTTCACATATATTTAATCCTAAATCAATGTTACGCGTACAGTTACTTGGTCAAATTGAAGCAGACACTAGAGAATGGACAGATGGTGTACTTACTCATAGTGCAAGATGTGTTGTCAAAGAATGTATGGGTAAGTTTTGAAATTTTAAAGTGGTAATTATGAATTTGTGAACTATAATATCATCTTTATTAGATTGTCGAGTAATTCAAGCTATATTCCAGCTTCCTTTCCACAACATCTTTGCATTTGTGTGATGGTGGTTTGAATCTCTATGAATAAATGTTATCTTCACTACTGATGCAAATTCACAGTGAACGCAAGTGACAAAATTCGCATTACCTAGTATAAGAGCACCATACTAATTGTCTCATATTACTTAACATCAACTATATTCTTAATAGGTATCTTAAATTCAGCACAATATTTACAAAGTTGATGTATTATTAATCATTAAGCTACTTACTGACCATCACATTGCTTGGTATCCTATGGCCTTAAATTATTTTGATGGTAAATCAGCTAGTTTCCTTAACCAGTGGTGTGGGTTTTAGACAATTATAATTTATGGTAATTGATAATTGTTATATAATGTCGTCAAAACACATTGTAGCACACATGAAATGAGAAAATCTGAAGAAACTCATCTTCTATCTGCCTTCCGTGAAAATAACCACCCCATTAACTTCGTTAAAAAGTGTCCTGTGTACAAAATCACCATCACAAAATCTACCGCAGAAACTTGGAAACGAATAGCTCAACCGTGTATAAAAAACATTTCAAAAATCACCACCAGGATCTTAAAGCCCATTGAAATTAATGTTACTTATAAACCAATGAAATTACTTCATTCCACTTTAAGCAGGCTAAAGGAAAGAACAGAGAAAAAAGACGAGTCCAATCTACATTGACAAAATAAATTGTATCAACTGTGATAAGCACTGTATGTGAATTCAATTTTCACTTCGTGGTACACAAACATAAACTATTGATGAAACGATGCGTTATCTTATCACTGATATCAATTCATGTTGACAATTATGGATGTAAACTTAACTTGGAAAACGTCAATTTTTCATATTAAGGAAATTTTATGAACATAAAAGAATTTATGGAAGTCTGACATTTAGATTAAACAGAAATCAATAAAATACGTTTTTTCTTTATCAAACTATTCGAAAGATGTCGATCATGAAGATGATCAAAGGTCAACAGATCAAGATAGTCAACTTGAACACACATATAAATGAGGATAACGAGACCTACAATGTAAATCACTTGCAAATAAAGCCAGAAAAACTTAATTTTAAAGCTGGTGGAATACTTTATAAACTCACTGCTATGCAGAGTAACCTCTAATGACATCGTTTAAAACAAGAGTGAAAACTCCACAAATCAACCATCTGGCTTAGAGAATTTAGAAATACCTAAAATACATACTTGAACTGCAAAGTTTTTCCAACATTCATCGATTCTTTATGACTAAATGGCTTCTACTTTGAATGATCTCCTTTTTTGATTACTCAATCTGTCGTTATTCGTAAGGGTTAATATTTCTATGTAGTTGATATTCAGGATTATATTTGACGATATATTTATGGTATGCAAACACCTTGAATGTAAATGTTTTAGTTAATGACATAGCTAAAAACTGATTATATTTTGAATTATGATTAGCACTGAACTGTACAGTACGTATTTTAGAGTACTTCGATTTCCTCTCCTGGATGTTCCTACAGTATTAATATTGATGTTTACAATGAAACATCCAGATGATATGTTTTATACAGAACATCGAATATCTGTCATAGATCCGATTACGGATTACCATTTAAATATGTCATTAAATTTCAATAGCTAGATCACCATGGAAAACCTGAAAGCACTTGACGGCCGTTTCGTCCTATTGTGGGACTCAGCAGTGAGCATCCACGATCCCGTCTCGCGAGATCCGAACCCAGGACCTATCAGTCTCTCGCGCGAACGCTTGACCATTAGACCACTGAGACAACATGCAACGGTTTTAATGTCTAACTTCAATCAGATCATGAAATTGCGCCACCGTACACGATTGTCTTGAGTGATCTGATATCTCACAACAGACCTAGTTGAACCCCACTGGTCACTGCTGAGGTGTCTCATGCTCGGACGAAACGGCCGTCCAGTGCTTCCAGGTTTTCTATGGGGTCTAGCTTCAATTGACCCATGATTTCAGCTATTGAAATTTCTAAAATTCCCACAAAACCAATTCTAATTATATCATTAAATTATTAAATTGTTAGTCTTATTAAAGCACTTTATTAAATTTTAATCACTTTATACTTCAGTTCATCTTTTTGATATTTTATTAAAACATAGATCAAAAATGTTGGATTATATCAGATGGTGATATTGATCCTGAATGGATTGAATCATTAAATTCTGTATTAGATGATAATCATTTATTAACATTACCAAGTGGTGAACGTATACAATTTGATACAAATGTAAATTTTCTATTTGAAACACATGAATTAATTCATGCAAGTCCAGCTACCATATCAAGAATGGGTGTTGTATATGTAAGTGATGAAGCTACTAATTCACATGCATTTGTTGAAGCATGGTTAATGAATCAACCAGAAATTGAGCAAAATCAACTAAAATATTTAATAGATTCAATATTTTACAAATGTTTAGAATGGGTCTATCAAAAGGTAAGTAAATATTTTATTCAGAAAGGGGTTTTGTGGATATTATAATAATTTAATAATTAAATTCATGAATCAATTAAGGCTAGACTGTGGTGTGTGCTACTTATGTAGACATAAGTAGTATATGATGTGAATCGTGAACAGAATGTCTGGCAGCAGAGAGACGAGAAGATCAAACATTAAAGAATGAGGACAGCATGCAATTTGTATGAAATTGCAAGAACAAAGGAATTCTGAGTCATTTGAGACAATTGATGAACATTTTGCAAATTGAGCATTTAATATATGGTTGTTAGATGATACTAAGTAGTTCTGTAATTTGTTGCTTAGCACATCTAATTGTCCCTACCTGTGTTCTGTTCACCACCGTCCAGTACTTCCAGGTTCTCTAATATTATCTAGCCTTAATTGACTTATGGATTCAACTATTAAAGTATTTAGAGATTTTTATCACTACATAAAGTATTGTTGGGAAACCTACTGTAGTCAAAGTAGATTAAACGATTTTTATGAGAAAGTGTGTATTTTCCCAACAATGCTCATCTATGAGTGTTTTCAACAAGTTCCAATCTAGTTGGTTAAACTGTTCGACTATTAACATCTATGTTCCAAGTTCGAATCCCGTTTCACCTAATTATCTTTGAGCAGTCAGGTAGTATTGCTTGGCCTCATGTATGAAATGAAGCTCAAAGTCAAGTGCTTGAGTCTGCACTAGATAAGTGAATTACATCATCATGTGTTATTCCGCTCATTTCTTTGCTTATTTATAACCAGTCCTTTATTCTGTAGTGAAAACTAGCTGATTCCTAGTTTAACATTCTCATGATTCATCTGAAATTTTAAAAACCTACCGAGATATTTTATATATATCTATATCTATATCTATATCTATATCTATATCTATATCTATATATCTATATATATATATATATATATATATATATATATATATATATATATATATATATATATATATATATATATATATATATATATATATATATAGTTATGAGCAACTAGATTAAATATATTTATAACTTCTTTCATTTGACCCCTTAACCACTATTATGCGATTCACAATTCTTAATTTATTCCTAATCGATTAGTTACAGTTTCTTTTACTCACAGCCACTTTTGGCTTGATCTTGTATTATTATTATTTCTCATTTACTTGTGTAATGTGATGTTGTTCGTTTGTATAGAAACTACAATTTTTAAAATGTAATGTTCGTATAGCAGATGCTGATCACTGTATTTTGCACTCAATGGGCATGGCAAAAAGAGAAGTTACTCTGTTGACTCAAGGCTACTAGTGTTTGTTTGTGTGTTATTGGTTAGCTCAAGGACAAAGTCATAGCACTCTGCTTTCTGATTGGTGATTTTGCCACGTAGTATTAGACAAGGCCATAACCCATAACAATGAAGAATGAAATCGGGTAAATAAATATCTCTGGTTTCTAATACTTCTACAATTAAAATCACTTCTAATTGAGGTCATGAGCAGATCAATGTTGGGCCACCATTGAAAACCTGAAAGCCTTAAAGTTCAGCCATGTCTGATGTGAGGCAGTTACTCACCGAAAACAATTGAAGACAGTCGCGAAATATCGTGAATTGGTTGAAGTTAGGTACTAACACTGTTGGATCCCGGCTCAGTGGTTTGGAAGTTCAACGTTCGCGCACTAAAATAAAGGGTTCGAGTCCCTCGTGTAGAGTGGAGGATGGGGAGTACTGAGGACTCCCATACCAGGGTGAAATGACGGTCCAGTGTTCCCAGGTCTTTAATGGTGGTCCGACATTGATCATTTCATGATCTCAATTAAAACTCAACAATCTCCACAACCCTATACTGTTAAAATCAATTCATTATGAATATTATAAAGGAACTATGTAAACTCTACAAAATAGCTCCAAATGATAGAAGCATCTACTATTTATTAAGCCCATTTGAATTTTAAAAAATCCCCAGGTATGAGTTTCAGTATGACGGATAAAATTAGTTGACTAGTGCCAACCTACACAACACCGATGTCCATTGTTTCGTCTGTCTCCCCCAACTACTTACAATTAAACAATCAGTCCCACTATTCTCAAAACATCATCATCATGACTGCTTCTACCTTAACCTACCTAGGCGATGAAGAGTGATATTTGGCAAGTAAATGTTTTGATGGTATCGTCTAACTCCCTGTTTCCCATTTACATGAAGTATCATGTGATTTCAAATTATTTTTTGTAAAGATAGCAGTCTTAGTTTCCACATAAATCACGAACCTGATTAATTTAGACAACCGATGAAAACGAAGAGGCATTGCATAGCCACTTCGTCCTAATATGAGACTTCTAACCAGTGTTATCCGCAACCCCACAACATGCGGTCTCACGCGCGGACATCTAATCTCTAGACCATTGAGCCAGTAGCCAATGGTTTAAAAATCTAACTTGGATCAATCCACGATATTGCACGGCCATCTTCTTGAGCTCTATTCCCGGTTGCGAAGTCGTAGGTGCGCACTGTTGAGGAGTCTCGTACTAGGAATAAACGGACATGCTGTGCCTTCTCATTTTCAGCTGTTGACTGACTATGATCGGTTTGTGATTTTAATAAAACTTAACAATTTCTAAAATCCCATACTGACAAGTTTATTCTTTTTATTTTTATTTCTACCATATTTACACATTTAGAATGAATTTATCGTTGATACTAGTCCGGCTGCCATAATATTCACTGGTCTTTCTCATCTAGTTGGAGCAATTACACCAGCGTTATTTACTGTAGGGTTAATACGTGGATTAGGTGCAAACCTTACAGAATCTGCCCGTAATGAATTAGCTATCAAAGTATATGAAGCTACAGGGGAAAATCCACCTGATATAACTAGACCTTTGGATGTACAGGTAAACAAACATTTTACAAGAAAATATATCATACACATCTCGTTAATACTATTTTACACTTTTCTTTTCAGTTGGTATTGATAATGATACTACAAGCATCAGTACTGTCAGATATCCGAATAATTTTCTGTTAATCATTTTGTTAGATGATCGTTTAATGTTTCAATTTCATGTTATACTGAATGGTCATTTGTGTTATGAAGAATTGTTAGTTGAATTTAACTATTTTCGAGATTCATATCAAAAAACCATTTGAAATAATAGAATTACATTTAATTTAGACTCAGATTCTTAATTACTTGTAATCTTCATACACTTATATGCCAAATATTACGATATTTGAAGTTCATAAAAATCTATCTAATCTGAACTGACAAGAAAAACATGCCTCTTCTGAAACTAAAACGATCAATAATATGATAAACAGAAATATATGATGGCTATCAGTGAAATCGTCAGCTCGACGTATCAGCATCCCAAAGTTGGTGTCAATATTGGGATTCGAACCCAGCACCATTCGCTTCAAATATCATCGTGTTATCCCCTTATGTGAATAAAAACTCTTTGAAAAACAGTTCATGCATTTATCCTTTGAATTCCTACCATTAAACTGCATTCTGGATAAAATCTACATTCATTAAACGTCCTACTATTATTAAACTTAAGATTACAGAATATTCGAAATTGACTACATTCGACCTTGGTTAGATTCGTTCAAATGAAATAGAAATCCGCAATAAAACAGATTAGCCTTAAGAAATAATTTTTTTCTCCGTAACTAAGAATTAAGAATATATTATTTACTATGTCTAGTGGTTAGTTGTATGAGATGAAAACCCTTGACCAAGATTTTGTGTTAGCTAGGACTCGTCAGCAAGGCATACCTTTAATCTTGAGGTAACGGATACTCCCTATGGGCTTTGATCCCGCACTACTGATCTATTTAAACCTCATGATATCATTCACATCTTACTAACGAATGGCAACTAACTTGAAACCTAGATCTAAATCTCCCTATCAAATTACCTCTAACCGCCTAACATCTCAAAATATTGAACGCCATTTCCAGTTACATATACTAGTAGTTCCATTTCAAATGGACTGACAAAACCCGATCAGTAGTATGGACTAGACAAACATGGAGTTGGTCTCTATTCAATGATCCACCAATTGTAAACACTGGTTACTAGTTGTTTCAAGATTTTTCTTCTGTAGAAGTAATATATATATATATATATATATATATATATATATATATATATAAGCCTAAATAAATAGTTCGATGAAATCCATTTTAACATCCCGAATATTTCCTAGGTGGACCCAAATAATCCAAATCGCTTAATTTCATATTCGACAGAAACTAGTGTTGTAATACTTGGGAAATCCATCCCACATTCGACTGGGTTTAATTCCCGATATTCTGAAATACCATTTAATATATGCATTGAAGATCCAGTCATAGCAAATGCGATAGCTGACAGTCTAGCTTCTGGTCACTCACCGTTAGTTTTAACACCTGATGTCAGACGATCTATTGATTCATTCCGTTGCTGGTTAAATAATCCACTGTCGAAACAGTCATTTTTATTAGTTGGTCCTGAAGGATGCGGTAAAACGTGAGTTCCACTTTATTTACTGATTATTATTTGTAATGAGTCGATGTCTTTTTTCATGTTACAGCGGGATCCTTGAATTTTAGCCAGATTTTAAGTACTCAAGAAATAATCTGATCTTCAAGGGAAAGTTCTCCCATTTTTTGCTTGTAAACGTACAGTCGAAGAATTTCCAAGTTATTCAAAGTTTATATAAATCAAACGCCAGCATATTAAACACTTTAACAAATAAGCATTAGTACTTATCAGAGTATGACTAAAATATAAATATTAGTTCCATTCCAGGGAGATTAGATAACAATTTAAAATAAAAATGTATTAGACAAGGATTACTTAGTGTGAGTGTGTTACTGTCCTTGTTTAAAACTTATATTTTGGGTTCGGTTAATCGACGATGAAAGAAGTTGACATGATGTAATCTATACTCCACATTACACTATATTATAGAGATGATATAAAGTTAATTCAGCATTTTCACTTTACATGATTCCCTATGTTAATGAGTGGCATACTTTTTAGACCTAATGGTGTGATCGATTGGAAAATAAAAATCACTGTCAGACAATATGTTATGAACCCAGTCTTGTATTCTGAGGCACTGACTATACAATTTGTTCAATAAATAACTAAATTTATGATATAAACAAGAGATTTTAGACAATGGGTTTATTAGATTGAATACTGTTGGGAGTCCTCAATAATTTCTTGGGAAAATCTCTTGAAAGTGAGAGAAAACTGCCGCAAGCACCCCCACTAATTAGGGCTCTTTAGAAACTCCCAAGAGAAACAACTAGTTATAAGTTCCTTGGAGTATTTAGGATCTCAAATTTGTCCATAATAATTTAGATATACTCGTTTTTGATGCCTAATCTAACCTTCGATGTAAAATTTCTTTTATACTTATTTTAAGAGTGCCGAAATTCCGAATGCTATGAAACAAATATGAAGTTAGTACTTAAGCACTCAAATAAAAGAATTACTAGATTCAGTGTATTCTGAATACTTAACACTATAAGGATTAAAGAATCAGTGAACCTATATTACTAGAGAAAAAGTACTCAGTAACTTTAAAGGTCATGGAACATAATTTTACATGATGCTATCTATTGACCGAATTCTGATCAGTTTGGTTGTTGTCTAAAATCGTAATTCTTTTTTTAAGAATTTCTTTTATGTACAGAAAGATGTAACTATCTTAAATAAGACACATTCAAACTAATTCTGGATATCTTATTCCCAAACGACTGAAAAATTCCTTACGTCTGTTTCTATTCACTTGAATGTTCAATTAAACTACGTTTCCTGATAATCTATTGTAGTAACAGCCATCAAAGCACTAATTTAAGCAGCTTGTTTGTGCCTTAACCTTTAACATCTCACATATATCTGCCTAATAAGATCATTCGATTATAAAGTCCACCACTGAGGAGTTTGTTTTAGTTTTATCAAACTAATGAATGAATTTAGTTTGACCAATAATACGAACAACAGGTAACAATGACCATATACTTACTTTTTTACTTACTTACTTACTTACGCTTGTTACTCCCAATGAAGGATAGACCATATATCTTAACATCTATCTATCCATACAGCTTGTATCCCCTATAATTAATTAAAGCATTAAAATTGCCAACTGATTTTATTGATTGAGATCATGAACCGATTAATGTTAGACCACCATTGAAAACTTGGAAGCACTGGACGGCAGTTCCGTCCTGTTGCGGGACTCCTCATCAGTGCGCATCCACGATCCCGCTTGCGGAGTTCGAACCCAAGGCCCTCAGTCTCGCGCGCAAACGCTTAACTTACTCGACCACTGAGCCGGCATCCAACGGTGTTAGTGTCTAACCTCAACCAATCCACGAAGTTGAACGACCATCTTCCATTGTACTGAGGTAGACACCTGTTTCTATCCGACATGGATTAGCTCCAGTGGTCACGACTTCTCAATTAAACTCCGAGAATTTTCTCACGAAACTAGTGAGCACATTGTAATGGTAGTCTAACATCAATCGGTTCATGATCTCAATCGAAAGCTTGACAATCTCCACAACACCTAAACTGATAACTGAATTTATTGTAAATATTTTCTATTTATTATGGGCTCAAAAATTCCCGGTAGAATAGTTCTGAATGTTCTAACTTTTCAATTATTCACCCATATTTAACAGTTAATATTATTGATCTCCTGATTATTATTATTATTATTATTACTATCAAAAGAATTTCAAGCATTGTCCTATTTACTTTCCTGATTTTTTCTTCCTTATACTTTATAAGTCTTCTATTAGATTATTGTTTTGCTACAATATCTCAATCAGTTCATGTCGTCACTGTTCAATGTTCAGCGCAAACAACACCAAATCATATTTTAGATAAATTAATGCAATATTGTATTTGTGTTATAAGTACAACTTCAAAAATGTCTAGTGGGCGTGTATTACGTCCTAAAGAAGGTGATCAACTTATTTTATACTTACGTGATCTTAATCTACCTAAGCCAGATAAATGGGGATCATGTCAGTTAATTGCATTTTTACAACAAGTATGTTTCAACTTTTACATTAGTTCTTGTTATTTGATGTATGATTTAGTGGTCTCATTACTTTTGTACAGTATAATGAATTTTATTACACAAAAACTATAAAATGACATTTTCAACCTTAAACAAAATCGATGATTTTCATATAACCGACGTTATACTGTCTTCGTACGGTTATAAATTTTGATACTAAATGATTGAAGACAATTGATAAAAGTTGCTGAAGTAGGGTTTTGTATCAAGTGTAACTGTAAAAGAACTCCGTGTGAAATCCAACTATGAATCATCAATAGGTCACAATGAAATTCATCTCAAAGATATGACAACCGTTCATGAATAGATTGTTTGTCGAACTGAGTTGTGCTGATGAACGCCAACTAGCTAAATTTGGAACTATGCAATAATCGTTATTCATGGTTAAAAAAACATTGGCGGTCATAAAAATATTCATATAAGCGCGGATATATTTGTTCTTTATTTTCTATCAAATCTTTACTTCACTAGTATTTCATAAATTTCATATCGAGAATTCATTCCTTCTTTCTGAACTATATGCTCTATGTTCAACCTTCCTTACTATCGTTGAGATCATTATTCTTTTGACTTTTTCACCATTCATATTTTCATTTTTATCTTTCTGTAATGATGTAGCATGGAATTAGGTTTTACGTTTATGGTGATTGACAGACAGTCAGTGTAAATAAAGCCACAACAAACATTGATTTAGAATAATATGAATTCATTATATTTCGTGGTTTCTCATCAGCTGCGTGCAAATTAACATTGAGGTCAGATATAATTCATTCTTAGCAAGATTATTTTCTACTGGATGAGGTTGTTGACCACATACCCAACCCTCCTCCTTTACACGGGCTTGTGACCGGCAGTAACCCTAGAAGAGCTACAGGCAGAAAACTACTACAGTCATCATCAAAAAAGTACAAGTATTTATAAACAATTGTTTTCGCAAGATACTCAATGTCTGTTGGTCGGATACCATCAACAACAGCCTACTATGGGAGAGAATAAACCAGCTTCCAACTGAAGAGGAAGTTAGGAAAAGATGCTGGAAAAGAACAGAACATACATTAAGGAAATAACTAAACTGCATCACGGTTTAAGCGCTAACTTGGAACTCTGAAGGGAAACGGAAAAGAGAAAAGCCAGTAAACTCACTGAGCCAATAATTGAAATCATATATCAAAAAGGACGAATATCGACTGAAAATCACTGTTAAGAATTGTTCAGGACAGAGTTCGATTGAGAATCGCGGTCGGTGGCCTGTGTTCTTCCACGAAGGGTAACAGGCGTAAGTAAGTAACTATATGTTCAAGTACCAGATAGAGGTCATTTGGAGTTAGAATCCAAATCATAACGGGTAGGTGATGCATAAGTTTGTCATTCTAATTCTTTTCGTTCATCTATGTCAATTGTTTTATATTATTTCTTACCTCAATGTTAACTTTCATTATATATATGGTTGTAAGCAGCTGATGAGAAACCACGAAATATAATGAATTCATATTATTCTGAATCAATGTTTGTGCTGGTTTTATTCAAATTCACACAGGGAACCAATTGCATGAAGTTTCTGAAAAGTTGCCTCCATGTTCATGTTTTCACGTCACTCAGTCGTCTGATGACAGTCAGTTTAATTGTTTAATTGATTACTCAAGCCGGCTTAATATACTCTTAAATTACTCTAAATTTGTTGTCCACTTTCATTTTTGTATTTTTGCTCTCATCTCCTGTTAACAGATACTTACTTATCAAGGATATTATGATCCAACCAGTTTAGAATTTATTAGTATTGAGGGAATCCAGTTTGTTGGCAGTTTTACACCGTCTACCACATCAATAGGACTTGGACGTTACTCCTTATCGAAGAGATTCACATCGGCTTTACGTTTATCTGTGATAAACTATCCTGATAAAGATCAGTTGATTAATATATATGCTTGCTTATTACAAGCTATCATTGTTTCTAAATTACAAGCAAATAACCAATCATTTGGTTCCAAACAATTAAATCATGATCATGGGATAAAACATAGTACTCATAAAACAATTGTCAATCCAGCTAGAATACATAATATGTCTACTATAATGATTCAAATATTATCTGAACTACAACATAATTTTCGTGCTGATGAATATGCCCATTGTGTATTTACACCTCATTTATTAACTCAATGGGTAACTGGATTACTGCGCTACGATTTAAATATATCAGTCAATTACATCTGGGCAGTATTCGGTTATGAAGCAAAACGATTATTTCGTGATTGCTTGCCCGGTGAGAATGCACGTCATCAATTCGATGTATTATTCAATAAAATTTTATGCAGCTGTTTGAATGGAATTGATAATGTTGATGATCTACCTAAGCAAAAACATAGGTGGGAATTATCAAATGAAAAATGTGATGAAGTGCAAATCACATTAAAGATGGCTACGGAGGATTTTGAATTAGTTGAAAATGAAGAACGAATTAATCAATTTGATAATGATGATGATCTTATTAAAAACGCTATGTGTTGGTTTGTCACATGGAATGGGAAGCACCAATTACCACCAGGTAGCCCAATGCCATTACATGGCCGACCACTAGGATCTATAACTTATACGCAAATGAAAGAAACAGTCCTGAAAGGGTTAAAACAATTAGCCAGAGAAAAATCTCCACAAGCTGAAAATTTAGTATTATTCCCAGATTTCATTGATTATATATCACGTATTGATCGTGTGCTTAGTCGTCCATCAGGTTCATTATTACTAGCCGGTAGATCTGGTATAGGCCGTAGATCTGCTCTCAATATAGTCGCTCATATACATCAGCTGAATGTTTTCCGTTTACTCACTGGTCGTGATTATCAAATGCGTCAATTTACTACTGATATCAAAACAGTATGCCAAGCAGCAGGTATTGAAAATCAGCCAACATTATTAATTATTGAAGATTATCAATTGACAAGTGACTACTTCTTGGAAATTATTAATAGTCTTTTGGCGTGTGGTGAAGCAAGTGGTTTAATTAGCTCTGATGAGTTAGAAACACTCATTTCTAGTGCTGCATCAAAAAGTGGAGTGAATTTCAAAGAACAAGCAGCTGAAGCTGGGCATCGTGGACCACTAACTGCTTTCTTTGCTGAACGCATTCATAAGAATCTCCATTTTGCCATTATTCTAGATATAGATGATTATGAATTATTCAGTAATTGGTTACAATCAAATCCTTCATTTTATAAATATTGTTCTGTTCAATGGATGGATTGTTGGTCTAAATTTAGTTTACTTCAAATTCCTAAACTACTGATACCTAAATCTTGTATACCGAATAACACAAATAGTTTTATTCAAGCTTGTGTCAACATTCATAATTCAGCTCCTTATCCTCATATGATGACGCCCACACCACGTCACTTTATTTCATTATGCAATAATTATGCCCGAGTGGAACAAAATCATAGACAAAAATTACAATCAGAAGTTAAACGACTAAAAAGTGGTTTAATTAAGTTGAAAGAAGCACGTGAACGTGTAACACAATTAAAACAGCATGCAGTTGAACAAGGTGAACTGCTGGTTGAAAAACAAACTGAAGCTGATAAAGCTTTAGAGCAAATAAGCGCTTCAATACAGGTATAGATAACTAGATATTTGTCTTTTTTGTTATTTTTTGCACTCTACTTACAAACTTATAATAGTAGTTAAAAAAATTCATAAATTAACTGGGATACTCAGCTGTTAAACCTAATGAGGATTTGTTGAAAAAGACACTCTTCATGCATACATTTGTACCTTAATATGATGGAAAACTGTAAGTAGTTTAGAAAAACGTTTTGGTGCAACATCACATTGTGCTCTCGCTATACCTAGACAATAGTAGAAGGGTAGTTTCAGAAAAATAATTTAGAGAAATACTTCTGAATATTAGAAAACAAATAACATTCATCTACTAGGTAAAACCCTTAACCAAACGTAATAACGAATTTTCGTCTTACTGGTGAAGTTTCCTATTAATTATTCAGACGTTTTGACAATAGCAGAACGACAACTAGTAGACATATATTGAGGAGAAAATAGGGAACTCGTTTTCCACAACCTTCTCGTTCAGATGTTCTGAGGACCAACCTCATTTTTATCCAGTAATTGATGTCACTTTATTACTGAAATATTCCGTACGTGTTTACGTTCAGTTCATTGATAAATAAGGGAAAGTCCAGTATCTTATCAGAAACCTGTGATATTCTGTTAATCACAAACTCGTAAACTAACAAGAAAGGCTCCTGATTCGTCAAATTTTCTAATTGAGAATTGATAGAATAAAAATAAATGCATCACTCGATTTGTAGTTCTTCTGAGAACTATTTTTTATATATCTGAGGAAAATTTGCCGGACAGCGATAATTGTAGACTCTTTTTGGACTCATTAATAAGTAGTCTAACTTTTAATAATCATAACCAATTGTCCAGGAATGGTTTACTCAGTTTGTGAAATTTATTGACAGTATTGAGTTGTAGAATAGATGGATTATGGCTAACAGCAGAATCCAGAACCTGTATTCCGTCTTATTTGAGAATTGTTACATGTATATATCTGAAACCCAATGTTCTTGTTTACGTTGAAAGTCAAAACTGCCTCCAAAAACGTCAACATGTTATCCACAGCTACTGAGTTCATATGCCCACCAAAATGTTCAATAGTTACAGTTCTTATCATTTTTTTATATTCAAAGATACATTTTGGTTAGTCTTTATTAAAATTAACTTAAAAATCTTACTCGTTAAAAGAGTTAGTGACTATTTGGACTCAATGACTTGTTGGATAACGCGATGGGTGTTTGAAGCAAAAGATGATAGTGTTTGAGTCACAGTGTAAACATCAGAACCAGGATGCAAGACATTCACTTAACCAGTTTTAAATACGACGAAGCCCACTTTCCAGATTACGTTGTTCTCCACAATTCATATATTCCAAATACTTGTGACAAAATGGCTATATCAGGCAATCCTCTCTGGATGTACGTATAACAATTAAGGTTTACCAATATTCAGTCAACAACGAGGCAATCGATGCTCTTCACAATTATATTATGTTGGAGTTTGATATTTTACATATATAACCGTATGAGTTGTTAGACTGAATAATAAAAGAGCTTGCAATCATGCATCTAGCCATTTAGTATCTTTATTAGTGATTTCTAGAAAGTATGAGTTATCGTATGCAATTCGTCTTGTAAAAAATATCAGTTACGAAGTTTGTGGATTTATTGATGATAACGTGAAAAACACAATGAGAATTAAGGCAACACCCTGTAATTAATATGTTTTAGTAAAAGAGTTTCACCCTAATGGTAAACTTGAAAATGAGGGGTAATGTTGGAAATTACAATTACGAAGCTATCTGGGCGTCAGTATGGGCGTTATAGAGATCGTTGAATTTTATTGAGATCGCAAACCAGTTTAAGTTACACAACTGCTGAAAACTTGGAAACCCTAGCGAACCTTTCTAATTTAGAATTGGACTCCCCAGTAGAGTGAATTTACCACCCTGCATTTGGAGATCGAACTAAGGACCTTCGGTCTTGTGCGCTAACGCTTAAATTGTGGACCACTAATGTATATGCCTAATTTTAATTAACTAATTATCATGTGCTCACTAGTGACTGGCTTCGAAAGGAAAGTTTTGGTGTTCTAATGAGAAACAATGATCAATGACTTTCAGCTGTGCTGAATGTGAAGAATTTACTCATCAAGGACAATAGAAGACGGTCACACAATATTACGGGTTGATTAAGGTCAGACTTGTACACTGTTGAACCCTGTCTCACTGGCCTAGAGGTTAAGCGTGAGCACTCGAAACCGAAGATTCTGTGTTCAGTCCTCCACGACACTGTCGTTGATGAGAACTTTTGATGAATCCTATAGCACGAAGAAACAGATGTCCAGTACTAAGTCATTTTCACTAGCGGTCTAATTTAGATTGGTTTTTGATCTCAGTAAAATAGTATGGTTGTAGTTTTCCAGTAATTTAAGCTGTTTTATTGATTTACTTATTCATTTAGTAAAAGTATACATCCCATTGACTGAGTATATTGAGTATTTAATTATTAATATAAATTAATAGTTACCCTAAGAGTTGGTGTTACGTAAAACTCTACGTAGCGTTTTTTTTTTTTTGATTTATTTTATTCTACTACCAACCTGCTTTCTGTGATATGAAATTCAAATGAAAAACTTATGTCGGTAGTGTAGTGATTGCTTCAGTATGTAAAAGTATGTGAAATATATGTTTACTCTCCTTTTAAACATTTCCTTTGGACGAATTGTATACTGATACTGTTACTGAAGGTCTCTGATACAAAGTTGTATATCGTAATATTATGTTTCATTTCTAGGGTGCAGCTGAACAACGTTCAGAAATGGAGAAATTACAAAGTCGGACAACAGATGAATCTACTCGTTTAGAACGTCGAAAATTGGAAATTGATGCAGAACTCAATGAAATCGAACCATTAGTTCATCAAGCTAGATCTGCTGTTGGAAATATCAAGTCAGAAGCTTTGTCTGAAATTCGTGCATTACGTGCACCACCGGATATTATACGTGATATATTAGAAGGTGTTTTATTACTTATGGGCATACGTGATACATCATGGGTTAGTATGCGTGGATTTTTAGCTAAAAGAGGAGTTCAAGAGGAGATTTTGAATTTTGATGCTAGAAAAATTACACCAGATTTACGTCTTAGTGTTGAGGAGTTGTTAGCGAAAAACCAAGAATCATTTGAACCAAAGGTAAATATATTTATAAAATGTTTTTTATTATATCTTGAGACACTAATCGATATCACATGAATTCAAATATTAAAATTACTACAATCTCCACAATAAAACGTATTCTGATCATAATCACCATGTGCTAACTAGTGACTGGCTCCAATATGATTTCCTGGAGTTCTAGTGGGAAGCCGTAACCAATGGAGTTCAATCTGTGTCGGTTAGAGACAGGTATATAGCCCAGACAATGGATGTATGGTTGCACAGCCATTCATGAATCAATGGGAGTTAGACATTAACAACGTTGAATACAAGCTCAGTGATCTAGAAGTTAAGCGTTTGCGCGCAAGATCGTGGACACAGACTTCCGAAGAATCCCATACTAGGACGAGACGGTCGTCCAGTGCTTCCAGGTTTTCAACGGTGGTCTAGCTTACATCGACCCATGAATTCAACTATTAAAGTGACTATAATCTCCACAAGAAAACCCCATTCAGATGCAAAATAATCAATTTTTCAATAGTAGATAAATAGGTCTTTTTAGCAGACTACTGAACTTATCAGTCTGAATAAAATGGATTATCTAAAAATCCAAGAGATATTCAAATAAATTTCTGACACATGAATGATTTATCTTTTGTAATATCAAACTATTACACTGATAAATTTGTTCTTATGTATATATAAAGGAGGTTCCAACCAATATTAATTCCTTCTTAATTGGATCACTTTTCAATCTCTTTGCGCTATAAGCTTGATTGTTATCGGAATGTATAAAAAGCGAGTATTCAGTTTTCATTTTTCGAACTATTTAAAAAAATGATTAAACTTTAGAATTCGAGGTTTTAACTTACGTTTTTGATAATCATCTGAAGCCTGTCATTCACTATGAACTATATTAATAAGTCAGATTTGAATGATCAACAATTGACTCAATGCATGAATTAATCATCCTCAGCATGCAATCTATTTCAACTTAACCAACAATAAGTCAAATTATAAATGTAACTAAAGGGATTGATCAAGTGTGCCTCGTTTGAAATATGTTGTCATTATAGACTAATATTAGCTGATTAACCTTGAACAAACTAAAAGTACTTTCCAGCTGGTCAGGCTTAATATTATGACGTCTTAGCAACGGATATCTATGACCCTACATAGTATCGAACTCATGGCTACTATGAAATTTGAAGTTAGTGATTTCAATAATGTGTGGGTTCGTGAGTGTAGACATTTGGATGCCCCAATGTAGAAATGGACAGTTGTTTAGTGTTGAATAGTTTTCGATGGTTACCCAACTAATCACAGCTCCTTGTATGAACGTACCTATAATATATGCTTCTAAAACGTATTGGCATAATTCGGCCTATTTTATATATTCAATATGTTTTTATTTTGTTGCAGAGTCATTGTAGGTTTTTTGCCAGGTCTAAATTGAAGTGATCTGTTTATCGACTCATTTTTACATTTGTTTATATAGGTCGCTAAACGTGCATCCGTCGCAGCTGCTCCTTTAGCCACATGGGTTCGTGCTAATGTACAATATGCTAAAGTGTTGGAACGTATTGCTCCGTTAGAAGTAGAGCATGCTAAATTAAAACAATCATTAATTCAAGCTGAAAATTCATTGATAAGTTTAACCAAAGGTTTAAGTAATGTAGATTCTAACGTAGCTAATCTACGGACTGTTTTTGAAAAGCGTACATCCGAAGCAGCAAATTTAAAAATGGAGCTTGACAAAACACGTGAAACATTGTTGTCAGCTGAAACATTAGTCGGTGAATTAGAAAGTGAGCATACACGCTGGGAGAATCAGGTAAATACGATACAAACTGAAATTTTGTTGCTGAACATTTTGCAGTTAATTTTGATCATACAAATGAATCAGTCTTGATCGAAAAAGCCACTTCAAATTCTTGGTGCATATATCAAACCAGGATATTGACTATCGTTTGCATAGTAGTTAGTTTTATTAGGGGAAACATCACTTAAGAATTAACGTAACGGTCTAAAACTACGGTTTATAGCTAGGATTATGGTTAGGATCAGATATAAGATAAAAATTCTGGTGAGAGTTCTGCCGCCTTATATAAAACGTTATATGAATAGACTAACCCTAAGTTTTAACACTAACCTCAACGGTTGAAAACCTGTAGTTTGCATCGTATGACTACTTTATCATCGAACGATAATATTTATGAGAAATATGTCCCAATTAATTTCGTATATATTTATCAACATAATCTGAGTTTGTGAATAACGGAATAAAAAGTCATATACAAGAATGATTTTGATCATGCATATTTTACATATCCATTAATCGAGACAGATAATAAGGGAAAAGAAGCGAATAAGGTAAAAATGCCTATTCAATGTAACTTAAAAAATCCTCAGGATTTATGGGTACGATAGATACAAGCAAGTATGTAGACACATACGAATAAAAGTGTACTATATTGACAACCACGAATAAACCAATTAAAGTTAAGGTAGCGCCTTGTATAACTTGGCGCGAAACTAAAAGTTCAGTGCTAGATAACTTGTGCGTTGTGATTATTAAAGTAAAAGTTAATAATATTTGATTGTTAAAATGCTTGTAATTGATAAAAAGGTATCTACTATCCAATCAAATGATGAACATGATATGGTGCTTAGGCCAGAACGCAAGACATACCTGCTCCTAATTCAGATTATGTGTTCACGCACTTAATGTGACTCAATTCACAGTCAAGCGTATTTCTGTAGCCGGATAGTATTCTCTTACTCTAATTCTTGACTCCAAATTTCAATCCCTAAGTTATTAAGTTTGTTAATAAAAGTGTGACAATGCATCATTGCATTATAACTGATGCTGATTCATGATGAATACCCTTAACCTAATACATAATCTTAACACATAACTCTAGTTAATTTCTCACTACCTAGCACTAACTTCCTTGATATGTGGCTGATGTCAGTTGCTAATGAAAAGTGTGTACGGTTATAATCTCAACTCATAACAGTAACCCAACTGTTGATATGTAGACTTGACTTTTATTCTTTACGAGAAAGAGTAATTTAACATGTAAAGGATTACTTATCATACTCAAATTACTATTCCACTGTAACTTTATTCCTAATTGCTGAATAACAAGACAGTGTTTCCTGAATGGCTGTTAATTTTCTCAACACTATTACACATACATACTCAAGGTTACGTATATAGATGACGGAGTAACTGGAAAGATCAGAATAACTTATCAGTTCAAAAGTTATGATAAATCACATATATTTGTAATAAAATAGAAGCTGTTACAGATCTATATTTAACTCAGGAAAATTCATTAGTAATGTAAACACGATATACTCTGTAAAATCTTTCCTTTTCTGTCATAAATCATTTATATTTACATCTTCTGTTTCGCAAACAACCGGAAGGGGTCGAAAATTTTTCAAGATCATTTTAGATATCGCTGTTGTTCAGCCCTATACCTAAGTTTAGTCAGTTTCATTTTAAAACGAAGAATATTCTTTTAATAAATCTTCATCAAACTCTATACAGTCTCGAGTTCATATCTGTGATCTAAAGAATACCCAAGTTTAAGCTAAACGGACTTCTAGAATACACAACTGTTAGCACAATAAGCTTTCTACTATTTTATAATATTGAAGTGACTATCATGCATCATCTAATTGAATCGGTTTGTGTAGGTCAAATAAAATTTCTTGATAATTGGTCAGTATGTATATGGACAACTTATAATAGCAGAAATAATTACAAACTGAATAACCATATTAAATATTCATCCAGAGATTATGTAATCCGTGAAATATTATGAATTAAGGTGGAAGTTATAAAAATAGGATGAGTAGTAAATAATTTTTTAGATTGTATTCGTCACAGGTTAATCCTATCTGAGATACAAAGGATCACCGGAAAACTGTTTTGTTCTAGTATTGAACCTCTCAATAGTGAGCACTAAGACCTCTCTTGGGATCGAACCCAGAACCTCCAGGTCCAAAGAAATCACTGGATAAAGAGTCAGATGGTTAAGCGTTCGTCATGAAACCTGAAGATACTGTGTTTGGTCTCAAGTGGAGTCGTTGGTGCTTACTTGTAAGGAGTTCTATACTAGGACTAAGCAGTTCTTCATCGATCCTTGATTTCAATAATTCTGTCGCTAGTAGCAATCCATACTAAAAGTTAACTTCAACTTAAATTAATCCAAATGTATCTCTAGACCAAAGTGATATAATTTCAGTAAGAATTATATATAATAAATATCTTTAGCATCTATAAGATATTTATTAAACATAGAATGCACCCTTCTCTTTATCATCATTAATTTCATTGGTAAACGTGGTTTATCATACTGTTCATTACCTCTGACATCCAAGAAACAATAATGGTCGTATTTTCATTGTGTTTATTAATAGAAAAAAAATAAGATTTAATATTTTGATATGATTAATTTTCTGTAGATCAATGAAATAACTATACAGTTAACTAGTCTACCACCATTCGCACTGATAGCATCTGCATTCATAACCTATTTATCATCTTGTCCTGAAGATGTTCGTCGGCAACAAATTGCAAATTGGATTAAAGATTTAACCAATCTTGGTATAATGCCAACATCTTTATCTTCTGAGGTAAACAATGTTCACACATCAAGTCAAGATTTTGATTTACGTAGATTTTTATCTACTGAACATGAGCAGTTATTATGGTATAGTCAAGGTCTATCGTCAGATCAATTATCAGGAGAAAATGCCGTTACTATTGTACATGTAAGTCAACAATCGAAATGGTCATACACATAGTTCACTATGCAACTCCTTTGATGTTTGAATGCCTGTTTGACTCTGGTATGATCGAATGATAATGTTGTTAATGATATATGCACTACTTGTTCTGTGTATATTACGTTAACAAAATCATGTTAAGACGGCTTAAATAATTAAAGTCAAATACAAATTGTATCTAAGTTACTTATATTTCAAGCATGTTAGTATTGAACGGTAAACAAGCAAAAGCTTGTGTAAAGCATTGGAATTCGGTAAAACACCGGCTCAGTGAATAATGAGATGATTCGGTTTTTGTAAACGTGAAAGAGATACAAGTATTTAGGTAAATACGCACTATCGTATAAACATGCTTGAGGTTACATGTGAGTAACTGACAAGGTCAAATAGATGTATGATAGAATAACTGGGAAGATTATCATAATCTATCTCCAAAAGATTGAAAAGCACGTGGATTACTGTTATGTCTTCATGGTTAATTTCTGTACTTTGAAATCGTGGTTATTTCATGTTATTAATGGAAATGATCACTATTAGAAATTCTTGTATTCTTGGTTTACTATAGCTTAACATGTTATAGACAATAGTATAATAGACATTCATTCCCATGATTATTACAAACGAAAAGATCTCGTAGGTTTCCTAAATATGCTTATTAACATTTTCAGGGATGCTAGAACATTTTGATGACAGTCTAAATAACGACTCATACACTGTCAAGTAATCACGTTTCATCTTATAATAGTTTAGAGGTTCACAGCACCATAGATTACAAACCTATGACCATCCCAGGAGTTGAACATTGAACTATCGGACGTCATTGTGAATGATTTAAATTCTGGTAATTTAGTTAATATCCAGCAGAAATTTGGACTAGTCTATCGTCAAATTATGTGTCTGCTTTGAAATTCGATTTATTTTAATCTTCGCTAACTAGCTCAAGAATCTGAGTATCAGGTATTTTCAAACATCTTGAATTCGTTGATAAGAAGAATTAACACGAGTACTAGAAGTAAATAATAATTTTATCATGGTTACATTTACGTGGTTGATGACAAATGTCAAGATAACAAAGTACCTAAATCTATATAACTGATTCGTAAATGTTATGATAATATTCTTTTTTTATCTCAATCGATTTTCTTTAAAATAGCTTAATAACCTAGAATCATCCTATTTGTTTCTAATATGTAATATTTTCAGTACATTGGGGAGCCAAAAATATTACGCCACAGATGTTTTGGGATGATAATAATGTCGATCAATAAAAGAGATAAAGATCACATAATTAGTTTACAAGTAAATAATAATGTTATTGATTAAAAGGTACACTTCAGTCAGGAGAGGCTTATTTTAGCTAAGAAGATTCATCTTACCATTATGAATTATGTAATAGGAAACTACATTAGGATAACCATATTCTTTTCTAAACCATAAATAATAATTTCTCAACTCGTTAAATTTGACCTACCAATATCAGTCCTATATATCAATCTTTTATATCATGGTGATGTTATAACAAAAAGTAATATTGCACTATTCCGATATGTTTTTTATTTCTTAAGATTTCTGTGTATACTCACATATTATTTTTTGTTAATTTTCTCAGACTACAATGTGTCCACTCATTATTGATCCGTCGTCAAGAGCATTAAACTGGTTAAAGGTTTATTTGAAAGACCAACGTTTAGAAATTGTAAATCAACAAGTAAGCTACTTCAAACATAATATTAAATGATGAACTTTTCTGAAATACATTTCAAATTAACCAACTTTTTTTTATATGATATCATTGGATTACTATTTCTGGCATTTTAATCTTCTGATCAACTTGAAGATATCTTAAAATAAGCTACACATTTTGGCGAATTAAATATATGTAACTTATACTTCTGTATTACAACTAGAAGTTGGTTGAGTTTTCTCCAAAAAACACGGTTCTCCTAGCCTATGTTTAATTATTTTAATATCGGTTGTTTTTAATAAACTTATTTAAAACCTCTATTTAAATCAGGTATTCAACGAATAACGTATGTGTAATAGGATCATTAGGAAAAATATGCTAATGTTAGCAAAGAAGATTCCTTTAAAACAGTTTGATCGTTTGTTATGACTGAAGTGTCTATAGCGCTTATTGTATACGTCAAGTCATCTTTTACTCGGATAGACGACGTTAGTCAGAGATGTATACTTCAAGGAAAAAAACTTAAAAATTCTATAGAAGCATCTTATATAGTTGGTGAGAGATTGTAATTTACCGCATGGTCTAAAGTGATTGCATTTTTTAACGTTTAAGACGCTTATACTTAACCAGCTCATTCTTTTATTTGCCAGCGTACTCTTATTTATTGAAAATATTCTGAAAAATTCGTATTTTCATGCTTTTCCGAGGAAATACATCTGAGGAATTTCTAGCTAACTGTTTATGATATATATTTGTTTGTTATAGTTGTATGTAGAGATACTTTGTGCTATGATAACTGTTCACATCATTTTATCAACTTTACTCCGTTTAACACAGTGAGCATTTAGAAAAACCTTGTATATAAGAAATGTATCACAGGAATCTCTAGATAAATATATATAACCGAGAAATATTATCCCAAACTGATTGAAATTGATTATATGAACTTCAGGATTTTAGTTTGATGATCTTCATCGACTGAGATGGTTGAGCCACGAGTTACGCATGCCTGAACACCGATTACCACGATGCGCAATGCTGATTGGTTTTGGAGTTGGTTGGAAGAATGTTAAGGGCGGCAAAACCAAAACGTGGCATTAATCCTTGAAGTCACTAACTTCTAGTTTGAGAAATATTTGTTTGGCGTCCACGTGACTATTGTAACCAACGGTTGGAGACTGCGTGACATGGCTCAGAATCGATCACAATGGAGTATGTGTATACACTCTTTGTCTTCCCTTAAACCATGAGATTAAAATTTCCTTATATCTTTCTTTTTACTAACTATTTCTTTCTTCCTGTATTACATCCTTATACACAATCTTTCTTTTATATATTACAACCACTGAAGTAACTGTGTTACGCCTGTTACTCCTAATGGAGCATGGGCCGCCGACCAGCACTCTCCAATCCACTCTGTCCTGGGCCTTCTTTTGTAGTTCCATCCAATTCTTGTTCATTTTTCTCATGTCTATCTCCGTTTCCCGGCGTAATGTGTTCTTTGGCCTTCCTCTCCTCCTTCGGCCTTCAGGATTCCATGTGAGGGCTTATCTCGTGACTTGGTTCGGTGCTTTCCTCAATGTGTGTCCTATCCACTTCCAGCGCTTCTTCCTGATTTCTTCCTCCACTGCGATCTGATTTGTTCAATCCCACAGTAGGTTGTTGCTAATAGTGTCCGGCCAAAGGATCCGAGGTGTTTTGCGTAGACAGCTATTAATAAACACCTGTATCTTCTGGATGATGGCTTTCGTGGTTTTCCAGGTTTCGGCCCCACACAGTAGAACTGTCTTGATATTTGTATTGAAAATTCTGACTTTGGTGTTGGTTGCCAATTGTTTTAAGTTCCAGATGTTCTTCAGTTGTAAATATACTGCTCTTGCTTTGCCGATCCGCACCCTCACATCTGCATCAGATCCACCACCGTGTTCATCAATGATGCTTCCCAGATATGTAAAGGTTTTTCCATCCTCCAAATCTTCTCCTTCAATTGTGATTTGAATGGTGTATGTTGTGTTGTATCGGAGAATCTTGCTATTCCCTTGTGTACGTTGAGACCTAATGCTGCTGAGGCTGCTGCCACACTGGTCGTCTTCTCCTGCATTTGTTGTTGAGTTTGCGATAGAATAGTCAGATCATCTGCTAAGTATAGATCGTCCAGCCTCATCCTAGATGTTCAATGTGTCCCGTGCTTCCCTTCAGATGTTGACGTCTTCATGATCCAGTCGATCACCGAGAGAAAGAGAAAGGGTGAGAGTGATCAAATTTGCATGACACCGGTCTTTACTTCGAACGACTTTGTCAACTGTCCTCCATGCACGATTTTGCAGTTTAATCCATCGTAAGAATTCCCTATGATATTTTCTATCTTCTGAGGCACGCCGTAGTGTCGAAGAAGCTTCCATAATGTTGTTCTGTCAACGCTATCAAATGCTTTCCCGTAGTCAATGAAGTTTAAATAGAGTGATGAATTCCATTCAATTGATTGTTCCACAATGATCCGTAGAGTTGCAATTTGGTCTGTACACGATCTATCCTTACGATATCCTGCCTGTTGGTCTTGAAGTTGGGAGTCTACGGAGTCCTTCATCCTGTTTAACAATACCCTGTTGAAGACTTTTCCCAGTATTGAGAGAAGAGTGATTCCCTTGTAGTTATCACAGTTTCTGAGATCGTCTTTCTTTGGTATTTTGACTAGAAGTCCTTGTTTCCAGTCTTTTTGTTCTTGTTTCTCATCGCAGATCTTTCTGAAGAGAATGTGGAGTATCCTGGCAGTTACCGTTACGTCTGCTTTCAGTGCCTCTGCTGGAATGTTGTCTAGTCCTGTTGCTTTGCCACACGTGATTTGTCTGATGACCGTGCTGATTTCTTCAATTGTTGGTGGGCCAACATCTATTTTGAGGTCCGTTGGACTGAAGTAATTACTTCCATGAATTCGGTGTTCATCTTGTTGTTCTAATGAGATATAGCAACTTGGAATGGTGCATATATGTGCCTAGTTCTACGTTGTAGCTGATTGACCAAGTTCGATTACCCCACTTTATCTTTAATATCTGAAGTTCTTGAGTTCTATCCTTAGTTTAATTGTGAGTGAGCAATTCAAAGGAATTCTATACTTGAATAAAATAATTTTCCAATATACTCTTACATTCAATAGTTTTCTATTTAATCTCAATCCATAATTTAAAAAACTACAAACTGAATAATCTGTCTTAATACAGAAAACAAACATTTATTGGTGCATTTGTAAACGACAAGAATATACATTTTAGACATAACTAAAGAATTCATATATGGATGTATTTTATAACTTTATGCTTAATGAACTGTATACCTCAATTTTCTATTATTATTATCACTATTATTATTATTATCACTATTATTATTATTATCATTATTACTATTATTATTATTACTATTACCATCATTATTATTATTAATACTATTATTATTACTACTATTATTATTACCATTATTATTATTATTATTATTATTATTATTATTATTATACAAAGACTATTACTATTAAATACTGTTGAAATTCATTGTAAGTTCTCGTTGCAACATGTAACAATTATAATGAAGGTAAAACTAAGTCTATGTAAATTTATGTAATATCATCTTGAATGTTTAATTCTATCATCATTTAGTGTTGTTTTTTTTTAGAGCCCAAATTTTATAACAACATTAGAATTAGCTGTTAGATTTGGAAAATGTTTAATTGTACAAGAAGTTGATGAAATTGAACCGATACTTATGCCACTATTATCAAAAGATTTAATCTTACAAGGTTAGTAAATATATGGTAATAATAATAATAATAATCGATTTTGTTTTTACTGATAAGCCTATTAATCGAACTTCTGATTCATTTTCTTAACCGCTTTTAATAACTACAGACTAAATTTACACAATGCTTTGAACATAAAACTAATGATAATGGTTTATTCGATGCCCAAAATAAATCAAAAACATGTAAATAAAGATGGATAGTGACTAGCAGTGGAATCCAGGATGCGCGTTTCAACCTATTTGAGACATGTCAGTTGGATGTACTTGCATCTCAGAGTTGATGTTCATTCTGGGACTCAAACCCAGTAACGTTCGCTCCAAACGCCATCGCGTCATCCACTTAACTAATCATTCCTGATAGCCACTTGCTTGTGCAACGAGGTGAAGTTTAAATTTACTTGATATAAGAAACTGATCAATTGCAGTCCTGAACATCAATGGGAAAATTCAAATAAACAATATCAAATGAATCTAAATCAAAAAATGGTTGATGAAAGCATTACTTTTTACATGATTTGTCTAAATTGAGCTGAGTTGCATTTAACATTGATAGTTCTATAGCTTACTTTGTGAACATGTATTTATACTATTATACAATTAAGAATCTATTATCCTTAAGATATAAATACATGTCAAATACAATAGGAAAAAGAATTAGCTTCTTGTGTCATCTACACTCCAATCAAACAAGGGGTTACTCGCCATTTCATTTTCATTTTATGATCAATTAATTCTTACTAATTACTCATTGTTATATTATAAGTTCATCAATTAATCACCAGTTTTGTTATGAATTTGATATGGCTAGAGAAAGCGTACCAATAAGAATCTGGATTTATAATAACCTATTTTCGTCTTCTGACTAACGTCTTAAGTTTTGGCCAGTTACACGCTGCCGCGTCTGGCAGCGATTAACCTTTAGTTTAGTCAGGGATTCTGTTAACTCTGACTGATCCACAACATTCCCTTCTTCTATACTTAGTAATGAGTTCGAATAAGAGAACCTAGCAGGCAGTCAAGTTTCTATGTGTTTGTTTCAAGCACTTATGAGTTTGTACACATGATTTATCAGGTCACAATACAGCGAATTAAGAATCATACTTTACACTCAATCAATTCATAATGGACAAAGAATGAAACATATAACAATAATTAGTAGTTCTAATGGAAGCTCACAACTCAGGGAATATAAAAATAAAATAATCCAGTTATTTTATAACCATACAATAAAAATGTAATCAGTAATAGTCCGTTAAATAATTCCAAACGTTTTAACTTCAATAATCGCTCCTTTAGAATAACTCTTCATGAACAATCGAATGACTACATTAGTTCAAATAAGGGTTATTTTAGTAGCGTGATATAAACATCTGGTATTTTATTTATAAGTAAATGGTGAGACATAATCTTTCTATGGACAATATCAAAAATCACTTTCAAATCCGTAGATCATCACTTGAAGATTATCTGATCTATATAATTAAATTCTGTTTTAAAATTTCCCGATTCTCCACCAGTTTACCATGTAATAACAACAAACCTTATATGGTACAGTGAATTAATCTCAATTTGTGCTCTCTGAATCTTCCACATACACACTGATTTGTATAAATAAATAAATAAATTTTGAAGACGTAATTCTGTATAATTTTACATAATTCATCAATACTCTCAACCAGAACGTATTTCTTCAAAATAAACACAATAACCACAATTGAGATACTACCTGAGAATCAGCGAGCCACGTACAACTGTTTCATTCTAATATAAAATTTCTCGTAAGTTGAAGACTCACAACTTAATCGTGGCTCGAATCCAGGATTTTCATATCTCTCACAACAATTCCTTAACCATTAAATTAGAATCAATTTGTTATGTATGCTTTTCAGATAAGGGTTTTGTGGAGGTTGTGTAATGAACAAGAACACGAGCGGCGACAATCGAATGTATTTGACACGAAATTACAGAATATCTCACTAAAATCTGAGATCCATATAATAAATAGTTAGTTTGCAAAATATCAATCCATCGTCTCAGATTTTATTGTTCATGCATTTTCATACCAATTGCGTTCCATTTTCGTTCTTTCTTTGTTGATCTTCTGCTGAAATACATTCTATACCTGACCACCGTTATATACTACTTACATGGATATAAGTAACCCACACCAATTGTAGTAATTTAACAATTGAATTCATGATTCAGTTGAAGCTAGGCCACCATTGAAAACCTGGGAGCACTGGACAGCCGTTTCATCCTAGTATGGGACACCTCAACAGTGCGCACCCATGATTCTGCCCCGCGAATTTCGAATCCAGGACCTATCAGTCTCGCGCGCGAACGCTTAGCCTTTATACCACTGGGCCAGCATCCAACGGTGGTAATGTCTAACTTCAACCGTCCACCATTATCTTAAGTAGGTTGCCATCTCACAACTGACCCGGTTGAACTCCATTGGTCACGGCTTCTCACTAAAACTCTAGGAAATAACTCTTGAAGGGAGTCATTAATGATCATATGATGATTATAATCAGAGAAGGGTTTTGTGGAGATTGTAGTAATTTAATAATTGAATCAATGAGTCAATTGAAGCTAGACCACCATGGAAATTCTAGTATGGAACTCCTCAGCAGTGCGCATCCACGACCCCACACCATGAAATTCGAACCGAAACTTTGTAAAACTTATTTCATAAAAATTTCAAACAATTAATTACCTACTGATGTGTGGGCGAGAATGATAATGATTAGTTGTCTGCTTAGTCAGATATGTAGATAGTCTGATAGGTGTTAGATGAGTTATATATCCTCTTATCCTTATTATTACTCACTTATTATTGATTGTTCATTGTTGTTGGATTGTGTCGGGATTTTGGTGTGGAAATATATTTACGTTGTGGTCAGGCTAATCACGTGTTCTTGACCTAAGTTGTGTTATAATTATGTAGAATAGACACTATGAGGGAATTTAGCGTAGATACTCGTCTAAAGTAAATTAACGTCCCATACGTGTAAAAATGGAAACCCAACCGTTATAACACCGTTAGATGAAGTAAAACCGAACTTTATAACAACTACTTTATTTTGTTTGTTTGTTTTTTCTTATCTCTACATTAGGATCACGAAATTTCATAAGAATTGGTGAAAAATTAATAGATTATCATCAAGATTTTCGTTTATATCTATGTACACGTCAACCATTACAAGGGATAGATTATATTCAACCAATTAGTGCTAATGCATTAGTTACTATTATTAATTTTATTTCAACACGAACTGGTTTAATAGAACAATTATTAGAAATTACTTTACAAAATGAATGTCCACAATTAGAAAATCAACGTCAACAATTAATTCATAATGAAGAGAAAATGAAAATGGAATTAGCTAAATTAGAAAATGATTTACTAGAGGTTAGAAATTAATTTTATTTTTCTTCTATCTGTATAAACTTTTCACTTATGAATTGTTTTACAATAATTATTCGTAAGGATTTTGGTGTGGGGAGATTTTATTCATTGTTTGTTTATATGAACGATTGTAAATAATCACTTCTTGATGGGAAAATGATTTATTTGAGTAGATGCTTTGATGTTTCAGGTGCATTCAATTTACGTTACGTTACAAATAGATCGAAACAGCAGTTTTGGATTTCATGGATAACTATAGTTATATAATGTGCCAAGTTACCAATTTGGTTTATTTCGCATTTGCTATGTACTCTATAGTTAGGGATCTCTGACTTTGCCAATTACAAACTTGATCAGCACTATTGACCTTGAGCCAACAGCTACGTTCTTGTTGGTTTGTTATTTGCGAGCTCCTCTCTGTTATCAACAACCAGCCTCGATCATGTTCCATTTCAAACAGACGTGATTTATGTACTGACACATCAGAACACATCATACCATAAAATCAAAAAATAAAAATTATACATAAACAAGCTAAGTTAATAGAGAAAATTGCCAATAGTAGATTGGTAATAAATTAGAAGTATCATTGAAATCATGAACCTACCTAAGTTGGACCATCATTGAAAACTTGGAAACACTGGACAACCATTTTATCTTAGTATGGAACTCTTCGAAAGTGCTCATTCACGAAACACCGTCCAATGCTTTGAGATTTTCAGTGAAATTCAACAATCTCCACAACCCCTTACTGAAAATAAGGAATACTATATAGTATGCTAATAATTCATAGGTTAACTGAAAGCTTATAGTAAACGGAATACATGGACATAGTAATCTAGTTAGTTAATTATTACATGACAAGAATATGTTTAATAATAATCTATAAATTAGTTCTGATTGTTAACATTCTTTCAGTCTTATTTTTTGATAATATCAACTACAATATAACATATAATTTCCGGGTAAATCAAAATAATGTTTTCTCAAATTGATGCGGGAGATTTGTAGCTTATAAAGATTTTGAATTCAAGGAACGTTAAAATATTCTAAATTGAGTAATTATTTATTGAAAGTTCTAAGAGGAATATGTTTCAACATAGATCATTGATTAGTTTCTACAGGGATTTGTGGATAATGAGTGTAATCATTTAGTCATAAGCTATTAGCTAAGTTAGATAGTAACTACATATAGTATAATCCAGGATGTGTATTTTGTTCTACATAGTGATTTGGACTCAGTAGCTTAGTAGATAACGAGTTGATGTTTGAAGAGAAGGGTTATGGGTTTGAGTTTCAGTCTGAATATTAACGCTGGAATGAAGATACATGGAATTTGTGAGTCTCAAATAAGACGGAACGTGAGTGCTGAATTCTACTACTAGCTAGCAAAAATCTTTATTAATTTATACTTATGCCGGTAATACCAACTATTTTCTTGTTAACATTAAACTAGAGCTCTATGTAAAAGTTCATTACATAACTATACCATTGAAAATATCGTTGTTAATAAGGATTTGAATCGTTAGTAAGGACTAAATTTAGATTACTTTTTGTCTGCATGTGTGCACTTGGTACAGATTTACTCAATATAGCCATGTTGTCACAATTTCTTGAGAATAGATGGATTGTAGCTAAAAATGGAATCCAGAACAAACATTTCTTCCTGTTTGAAACTCGCCAGCTGAATTTATATACATCCACGTTGATGTTCTCATTGGGACTCAGACACAGTATCTTTCTCATCAATCGTTGGTACACCATACGCTCAGCTACTGAGTTTGTAGCTTTTTCACCGGATACAATGTTCACGATGATTATTAAGGGAGGTTCGAGAACGAAATATCCTTCCTGAATCAGGACCCATCTATTCTAAGTATTTAAACTATCTCAGTACTAACAGCTGATTAAAATACCTGATAATTTCACTCTCTACTCCTGACTGTTATATATGTGCAATGTAAAATTATCCGTCACGAACTTGGTGTTCATAATGAAAAGTAGTTCAAGCTTTTATAGTATTGCATATTAATTATTATATTCATTCCTCTTGGTTTTCTGTCAAATGGGACATTTTCAAACACATATATGAAAGGAATTGTCGAATGCTCATGGTAATATATTAGAGAATAAAGAACTTTTGTCATCATTAAATAAAACGAAGCAATCAAGTTTAGTTGTAACGAATTCATTGAAAGAATCCCTACGTTTACAAGCTGAATTGAATAAGGTAAGATTAACGTTCTCATATTATTAATGCATTTCGATATATTATGCAAGAATATCGAACATTGAGGAACGAAGTGAGGTCATTTTATCTTGTCTTGTGCTCTACATCATCGAAATACGGAATGGTTTGTACCATCGCAATTTTATGTACGATGTGGAAAATTCATTTAGCACACGAGTATAAATGTATCCTACATACGTACAACTTTAATAACATAGATGAATGAATTAAAATAGAGATCATAATGTGATCGAATGTGTAGGAAACATGTGAAACTCGTTACAATTACGGCAAACAAAAATGATGAGTGATGTGAGACGGTTACCTACCAAAGACAATAAAAAATAATGACGCACTGTCGTGGATTGATTTAAGTTAGATATTATTGCTATCGAATCCCTGCTCAGTGGTCTAAAAGTTAAATGTTCACATGTGAAACCGAAGTTCTTGGCTCAATTCCAGTATGAGTGGTCTTGGATGGGCACTGTTGAGGAGTTTCATACTACGACGAAACAGCCGTCTAGTGCTTACATCTTTTCAATGATGGTTTAACTTGAATTTTATGACATGATTTCAATGAAATTCCGCGATCTTCACTACTACAAACTGAAAGTGATAGTAACTACCGAAAGAAACCATTGATGAATAAATCATATTAGCGGTGATAATAACATTACTAATCATAGTAACACTGGTACAGGGTATGAGATGAACAGAAGTAGTTGGAAATCGAAATTGATAAGAGGTCAAACATTTCATTGAATAGTGTGAAAATAATAAAACAATAAATTGGAAACGAAGTAAAAACTAGACGAAATTGAACAATGGAAATGCTGTAGTAAAATAAAGATGAAGTCAAACAAATGAAAACAGGAAAATAAATAAAGGGAAGTATGACAGTTAATCAGTCACAATGGCAGTGACAAGTGAACCGCAAGCTGTTTTTGTACTGATAATTTTAGTTTTAGATGACCAATTACTTCTGTGTACCGTAGAAGTGTGTCTTATCCTATCTACTTATTACTCGAAATGCAGTATCAAGATCTGCTGAATTATCCATATTCAACATATGTTTTCTAATATCACTTCTAAACAGTTTAGGGTTATACAAGATCAAATCCTTTAGAACATGTTCTGAAATTTTGTTAAATAATATCTTCTCTGCTCTTCCAGAGTACGTGTTACCCATGTTGCACATAAAATTACAGTTGTAAAACTTCACTTATTTGTGTAAATATGTATGAATATGGATGGACTAGCAGAGCACATTATATGAAATGACTTCATTTTATTCCAAAATGTTTGTTGCTCCTGATTTACAACAGTTCACCATCTTGGTTGTAACACTAATAATTGTAGTGAAAGACATTTTTATTATATAATGACATTGACTATTGATCCACTGGAAACCAAAAAGCTTTGGACATCTATTTTGTTTGACACTGATTACATACGATCTCAGCGGTAACCATGACTCAGGACCTTCTTCTTTCATGATAGGTATCATACGATTTATTGACTTGACTGTATGTCAGCTAGTTGTTTATATCCCTTATTTTTTATTGTCGAGTAATTATCGATTATTAGATATGTCGCATTAATTTAATTGAATACTTTACAAATGACTGATAATTTCATTTTCCAAATATATTCATTCCATTGAATGGTTGTTCTATCTTTTGAAATTTGTTTTGATTGTGGTTTAGAAATCATGTCCCAAAAAACCGATAATCACTTCGACAATCTCAGTTACTCAACTATCCGATTTTCTCCCTGAAAACACACTAAAGGTGTGAAATGTGACCAATAGATCCCATCCCGAAAACAATATCATGCTTGTTTCTAGATCCGAATGTTTGATATTTACTAGCATATGATGTAGGCGTGAACAACTGGGAAGTTTTAAACCAGGACTTAAAAGGGATTCTGAACCCCTTGGTTTTCAGTATCACTCTTGTCAATGTTAGTTCATTAGTAAAACCACCGTTAAGTTGAATAATTCTCCATATAATCACATTTTGTTTGAGAATGAATGAGATCAAGCTTGTAATTATTCCTAAGGTGACCAATTTCTCATCATTTCATCAAGTGGTTCATTTAATGAGGCCGAATAACTAGTCATTAGACTAGTCAATCAAAGTTCAGCGAATTCACAACAAACTGACAAAATGCATCCCAGAAAATTCCGTGATAAATTAAGTTCTTTGTAGATTGTGTCAATTACAATATGCAAATCTCTAATAATACTATATTTTAATGTCAGATATTCCATTATTTTTTAATCTTTGATACACTTCATAAAGGAGAGAAATGTATTTTATCCATTGGCTGAAACTAGCAGTCGACTTTATTTCGCTTTGAAAGATCTCATCAAAATTAATTATATGTATCAATTCAGTTTAAACAGCTTTCTATATCTTTATCAACGTGCTCTTTCTATGCCACATGTAAGTAATGTTAAATTATCTAATATTTTCTTATTAATATGTTGAATTTTGACGTTTACTCTAATGATTACATTTGAAAATGGTTTAAAAGGTTTTAATGAGAAAGTGTAACCGGTGGATTTCATTCATGTTCGGAATGAAATGGGTATAATCAATGATTGACGTATAGTGTCCGGAAATATCTGAAGTTAAAAATATGAACCTTCTATTGTCATCTAAGTAGTTTAAATGAAAGATTCTTGATGGGAAGCCTAAATTTTATGGGTTCAACTCCTCGTTGGATAGTAAGTAAACATTATCTAGGAAAGGATTTAATAACCATCTAACATTCCATCTAATATTCAGTGAGAACTTTTGGCTAAATTCTGTCCATGATTAAAACTATCTTCAATTGATTCGAAAAAAGAACAAGTCATTTAACTGACTGTCTTTCCAGATTAAGAGAAGAACCGAAATTATTTTGTTTGATAGATGGACAAAAATTTGATACTGAACTTCCTAATGCACTGAAAGCATAGTATCAATTCAGAAAATTGATTAAAATGTATTGAATCTTCTTCTGTTATTGTTTGACAACGACTATATATATTTACTCAGAAAATAGTTTTCGTCACTAAGTTACCTCAATTGAACAAACATTGGCAACCAAGGAGCTTTCAGCACTTGTTTGATTCTAATATAGCAAATTGACTGCAGTAGAAAACATGAATTATTGAATTCTAACTGGATCGGAATGTAAGGTGTTTTAGTTCTGTGTAGAATTATAAGAGTGAACTTTAGATTAGGTTCAGGCTAAAATGCAAAGAAAGTAATACTTACGGGGTAAGATCAAAAAGGCTTGTTTATCTTGAAACTTGAAATGGTATTGAACGTCTAGGTAGGATAGATTTGTCAATATGCTCAACTGGTATTTTGGTAAAACAAATGCTAAAAATCCCAAGTGGATACGTCAAGAAAAGCTATTTAACATCACTAAATATTGTAAATTTTACGGTATAATCACAAAATTCCATCGCTGAAATAACGCTTGTATTTCTGGGATACTAAATTGCTTAGGGCGAACAATGAATGATTTACCTGTGTATGCGATTCGCTCGATCTATACTATATACCCAACCAGCACTATTCTACTAGGCTTCAACACAACTCGCACCAATACACTTAGTAGACGAAAATCAACAGCCAACAATCCAGTAGGTTCATGGGGTGTGTTCATATATGACACATCAAATGCTTGTCCGACTATCCACCAATCTGTCTAGGAAATAACCAATCACTACTTCGTCTCGTCCATACAACAATTATCTATGGGTTTCAAACTTAGTACAGTCATCAATAAATTTGTCTTGTTCATTGCTAAAGAACGATGGCCATTGTCTGTAAAGCAAAAAATTGATTTTACAACACTGTAATTTCCAGAAATCAAATTGATTGCATAATTTTGTGAAATGAGTGTACAAAGATTTGTGAATCAAAAAAACAACGCACTTTCGTGGATTGGTTGAAGTTAGACATTAACACCGTTGGATGCTGGCCAACGCAGCGGTCTAACGGTCTAGCACTCGTGCGCGAGACTGACAGGTCCTGGGTTCGAACCTCGCGAGAAGCGGGATCGTGGATGCGCACTGCTGAGGAGTCTCACAATAGGACGAAATGGCCGTCAAGTGCTTCTAGGTTTTCCATGGTGATCTAGCTTCAATTGACTCATGATTTCAACTATTAAAAATAATTGTTGAAACTAACGCACATAAAATTTTAACTTGCCATTACAAAGTTTAAGTTGTTTTACTGACTGTTATAAATCTCGGTTTTCCTCGTCTACAAGAATGGGACGTTAATTTGCCTTAGAAGAGTATCTACACTAGATACCCTTCCAGTGTCTATTCTACAAGGCTTCGACGCAACTCAGATCAAGAGCACGTGAATAGCCTAACTAGAATGTAAGTATATTTCCACACCAAAAACCGACAACAATCCAATAATAATAAGGGTAAGAGAATATATAATTCATCTAGTACCCGTCAGACTATCTGCTAGTCTAACTAAGTAGACAACCAATCATTATCATTCTCACTCACATATTACTTACCTACCTATGAAGTATAAATTAGTTGTTTTACAGCAAACATTTGTTCCATAAATATTGCATTGATCAGTGACAGATCCCAGTGGTGCAAATTATTTTCATCATACTTGGTATACGCTAAAACGTACACTTCTATTAGATAACGAGATCGATTAGTAGATTAAAGGCTGTTTATTTAACGCAGCATAAACAATAGTTTAGTATATATCTGTTACCGAAATAATGCGTATAACACACTGTTAGCCTAATTTGTGTTTCGTGTCATTTACATAAGTCAGATTGGTTCTTGTTTCATTTAGCATTATCTAAAAATAAGTATCAGCTATAAGTTTGAATCAATACATAATATTTAACATGATAAGGCGTGGGTAAATCCACTAGATTAGAAACTAACAGAATACAATTTTGGTTAATGAATATCCGATATATGACAAAATCATTTGGGTACATTTAGAATTGACCTAAACAAAGAATTTAAACTCTCTTGTTTTAATACATTTCAAATAGCTTAGCAATTTAAACTAGTTTTGTAATTAAAACAAAGGATAATAATATGTGATATTTGTTTTTCAAATTGAATTCGTTTATACACAATGTCAACAGAAATCTTTTGTACATTTAATGAACTTGCTTGAACCAGCTACTCAGTCAATTTAGTACTATTCATATAATTCAGACTAAAATTGACAGAGAATATTCCTGGACATCTATATATGATGATGGATGGGAAATTTATACTTTGCTACCCCTAATATTTAAACACTCAATGGAAAACGATACAGTAGTTTGTTATATTTTGCTTATTTGAACAAACGAAGAGATTATTTTTGAATTTTATGCATTCAATGCACTATATCAAGAAGCGATCAACATCTTTTGCGGATGAAAATGAAAGGCGGCTAATTATTGTTTAAAAAAGACACCTAAGAATGTATTTGAACATGTGGATTTTGTAAATAATAATTACTATGATTTTCATTGTATGTAAATATATATAGACATTAGAATAATGAGGATAGTACTAGAAAACCACTGTCCTGGTGGTTTAACTACGGCTTTTAATCAATTAACCTCATATCTGAATCCCACTCTCAATCGGATAGTATCATATGTCTTCTTGGAAATTGTGCAGCTTAAAATCGAGTGCATAAACCTATATTGGATTGTATGAGTTACATTAATTGATTAGATATTAAAAAAGGATTTATACAACTTAAATCTTCTTTTAAACAAGCACATTTTAAATCTCTTTATCCATATGGAGTTGCTAAATTATTTGAATAGTATCAATTTCCTATGATATCGTATTTTTTGGCTTTAGAATATTCTGCAATTTATAATCCAATCATATATGTATATATGTGTGGTGTGTGCTACTTATGCTTGCAGATATAAATAGAACGTAACGCCAGTCGGAAGTGGGATGTCTACGAGGAAAAGGTTGAGATTTAAATGTAGAGAAGAAAGAAGGAGACTTGAAGTAATCAAGATAACAACATTAATGAAGGGACAATGAAGCTTTTAAGCGACAATTCAAAGATATGCAAATGATGTATATGATGTATGGTTTTAGTATACATATAGTCAAATCTTTATGATCTAGGTGGTTTAATTAAAGAGATTACTGATGTCCTGTTGTGTGACTCGTTATCTTCGTAGGTTTCACTATCTTATCACAGAAACAAACTGATTTATGATAAGTACTTAGTGAACAAGAACACAGGTGGGGACAACCACAGGCGTCAGAACAAGAAATTACAGAATACCTCACTAAAATCTGAGAACCATAAAGTAAACACTTAACTTGCAAAATATCAATCCATCGTCTCAGGTTTAATTGTTCCTGCATACCAATTGCGTTCCGTCTTCGTTCTTTCCTTCTCGATCTTCTACTGAAACACATTATATTCCTGACAATCGTCATATACCACTTATGTAGATATAAGTAGCTCACGCCACACGTAGAATAACTAGGAATTTCACTTCTGCATAGCGTATGCTCTGATAAGGTTGTCTAGCAAGACAATAAAAGCTCTTCAATTAAACAATTCAGTTCACAGAACCGAATCAAACTAGACTCACTGGATGCATTCACCTGATCCGTAAATCTCCACATGTATGTTATTGTATGTAAATTTTGTTTTCTTGTGTCTTAAAAAGAATACTGGACTGAAGACATCGGAACGTATTCAATCATTGCAAAAGCATGTAGAACAATTAGTTTATGAAAATGTCTGTCGAGCATTATTTAAACCAGATCGTTTGATGTTTGCATTACACATGGTTCGTACAATGCGTCCACAATCATTAACAGATGAAGTATGATAAATATTTCTTTGAGTAATTTTTTTCCTTTAGATCAATCATGAGTCCATGTGTGTGAATTTATATGTAGTTGTTTACAATTATCTGTTACCCCTTCTGTATTTGTATTCTATTGAAAAGGAGGGATTAAGTTAAAACAAAAATTTATTGTTGATTTCAACGCAGATGACTACTGGAAATACATAGATGCATATCCATTATCTTGATAATTATCTAACGGGATAGTTTGGTTTTATATAAATTGGACGCCTAAAGAATGACTTATACAATGTGGAATAATAATTACGTGAAGTAATAGAAGAGAATGCAATTTAGCATATATGCATTTACCTGGGCCTGTGGCGCAATGGATAACGCGCCTTACTACGGATCAGGTTCGAATCCTGGCAGGCTCGGACGCTATTGTGCTCCGAATCCGACTAATGCACCAAAAATATAATTCAAAACAAGGCAGTTGATAATAACAAATAATAACTATCAAAAGACACAACTCAAATAGTAGAAACAATTACGAGGTTGCCTATTTGGCTATACATGCTAATCCTATGTAACCACCTTAAATACTGCAGCGACGTAACAACGAAGAACAATATTATACTAGTCTTCCAAAAGTAATTTTATTTTCGAAAATGAAAATACATGGTGATCTTATGGGCTTTAACTTCAATAATTTTAACTTGTTAGAGCAAACTTAGTTTGAGAAATAAATCTTTGTATCATTCGAAATCTTTAAAGAGTGTTCGAACGGTAGTTTGAACCCAAGACCGACTGTAGCTGTCGATCACGTATCCAGTCCAGCATTAGTACAATTTCGGTCACCGGTTTTATTGCTGTATTATAGTAGTATCTTGTCACAAACAAGAAGCATTACTATTCTACCTTTATATCAATTATAATACGACGATCGAAACGGATTTATACTGACAATACATTTGTCCTCAACAAATATGGTTGCTAACCTATGAAATCTTATACCCTATTGATCCACTGAACAAAACAAAACAAACCTTGTCTGTGACCACGAATAATTCATTACTTGTTTTAACATGCAACTCTATGTTGGTTTTACAAAAATATGAAATAGCTATGAAGATGGCTAATGTTGATTGACTCAACAACACAATAGGTTATCCGATATGACATGAATCAAGATATTGAGCTGGAAATCTCCTGCCTTACGGATTAGTAACAAAATAAAGTGTTGATTTCCACTCCAATCACATGTTTAAACTTCTGACAAAAAGAACACCGATGACTAATTCTATATGTGATTTGTATTTTCATTTTATTCTTATTTAGCTCCTTTTAAGTGTATATATATTACTTACTGATGTTCAGTAACTTATATCATTGCCAGTCATTTTTGAGCATACAGAGTAAAATGTTTCTTTGTGATGTGTGATGATTGTATTTACATGAATCATTGATATTTAATTTACTTGTTACTACAATTGTATTGAGTCAACCTACGTCTAATTTGTAGTCAGTCGATTTTTTTTATTTTTTCACGTCTACTGATAATGGTTCATACTAGTAGTATTTAACAGGTAACGATATAATCTGTTATATTTGACTGTTTCCAATAATTTATCCTCTCTTAGATACTTAAAGTGATTTTTGATCCTTACTTTTTTTAAATACAAGGAATGGCTATTTTTTATTGGATTAAATGTAATGGAATCATGTCATACTGGCGAGAACATTTACAGTTGGTTAGATGCTGAACGCGGTCGTAACTTGATGAAGTTTAAAGTAATTTCTCAAGAATTTTTTAAAGCCTTCTTCTGAAGATATAAATTATTTCATTTCATTCGTATACAGATTTTGACTGTATACTAATTCATTGGTTATATAATGCATAATTTTCAATCTACCTTGACTTTCTAAGTAATTAGCATAACATTCCATTTATTGAATATTTATGTAACGCTAAACCATTTGATTCGAGTACCATGTAGTAGTTATGAATTGTAAGTTGACTACTACTCTATGTTTGAAGACATGTTGCCTTACAAACTTTCATAAGCTAGAAAATCAGGTAGTTAGCTACTTGGTCCTCGTTTAGAACTTCGTAGCAATGCGGACATACAATTTCGCACAAGGTAAAACCTGTCACAGTCAGAACCTTGGCTTAATGCAATACTGTTCGATTAATAAATCGAGATCCGCTGGTTCATAATTCCAACGGCATTCCACTAATGATAAGAATCAACTATCATCCAATGTCATCTATATGAGTTGCTGTTTTAATCCAGGTATACATAATACATTAACTTTTCTTAGAACGTTTTGAAATGCGTTTTGATGTTAATCAATCACCAGTAAGCAGATATTATTACTTTAATTCAGTTGTCTAGACAGTAATTAGATTTGTATAGTATTTTCCTTCTGTTAGACATTCTATCTTTACCTATTTTTATTATCATAAATGTAATAAAATCAATAAGATTTGATTCGCCTAACCATGATTAAAAAAATTTAAAGTTATTTTTATGCCAAGCTTCAAATGTTTTTCTTGAAAGAAAAATTAGGTTAAATTCATACTACAATGTGAAATGTCTCTATACATCTCATATTACATTCATAAGATTTCATGATTAGCTTTGGAGGCTGAAGCTAATCTCCAGGTTTTCAACAATCAATAAGTACACCGTACTCAGTAGTTCCGGTCTTTTTTCTTCTGTTCATTTAGTAATATAAATAGTGTATTATAACAGTATCATTTATATTTAACTTGTCATTTCAAGAAGCTGAAGTTATTTATCATCTGTATGTTATATTTTCAGTGTAACTTATCCTCAAGTATTGGATTGAAAATATAATTATAAGAAAAGTTATGTATTGAAATGAAATCTTTAATGAAAATTATATTCAAGTATCCAGTACTATACACCTGATAAATATTGAAAATGTTGCGGTTCATCTCAGATACCTTAGTATAACATAAATAATAAGACTCTAAATACTTCTGACATTCTCAGTGTCTTCACTTTCAGATAGGTTATTTTGTATGTTAATTTTTAAGCCACCAATCAAACATGTCCATTATGTATTTAAGCGATAAAAGTTGTAAAGGATGTAACATATCATATATGAATCACTAGGTGATTTTTAATATTTATTTTATTTTACATTGCTATAACTTTTGATATGATAAACAATACCTAAATCGATTGGGGTGTGAATGACATATTAAATTGATTTTCCCCAATTGTCTGCGACATGTAATCGCATTCTGAAAAGAAATAATTACATAACTTAATCCGTTAGTTATATTTGTTGGTCATAGATGCATAATTCTATGTTGTTGTAAATGTATTCACACGGTAGGTTCTTAATTAAATACTACTTATTTCAATTCATAGAAATCGGATTATTAATCTAACTGCAAATAAATCATAAAAAGTGATGTATTCATGTATTTATGAGGTAAAATAGATCCTTATTTATTATCTTAGTGTTGTTACTTGTGTCATACAATTCAGGATCTTCAGAAACAACTGTTAAATCAGTTTAGTACACTGTGGACATAACATCATACTGCATGAAGCAGCTTTTCTTCAAATAAACAATTAGTGCTTCGATAATGCAATGTGAAGATGAAATTTATCAGAATTATGTGACATATTTGCACAATGCATTTCGAACAATCTTGGAGGCGAGACAAATAGTCTCATGTTGAAACGGAAACTTAAATTAGCCACTAACCGGACTTTTTATGCAGCCCAACTTGTCATTATTGAAAAGACAAAGTCTATGTTTCACCAAAATCCCAAACAGCACGTAAGCGATGGTGTCGCATCCTATTGTGTCTATCAATTTACATGTATGTGCGGAAACACGTACATAGGAAGGAGCAATCATGATTTGCAATTAAGGGTGGGTGAACATATACCAAAATTACTGCAGAAGCAAATGAATTCCAATGGTCAAATAAGATCACAGGATAGACAGATATCATCCTCCATTGCGAAACATTGCATTATCTAAATTTATCAAAGGGACTAATTGTTTTAAATTAGTACTTCACAACTAAACACGTAGTTTCGAAATAATTTTTATCATACGATTCTCCTAAGGCACTTGGTATATCAATTTCACAACAATAAAAGCTCAAATCTAAGTACTTCTCATAGTCACTTCGGTTTTGGTGTTTTATGAAATTTCTTTTTATTTTATGTGCAATTTTCTTATCGGTTAAACTAATTCTTTTTGATAGACTGCACTTCCCAATATTTATGAAAATCTATGTTTTGAAGATTCTCACTTTTGGACGAATTGGTTACATGAAAATGATGTTGAAATGAAACCAATGCCTAAGAATCTACAATCCAAATCATTGACAGCTTTTCATTTCACAGTTCTTGCAGTTCAAGCTCTTCGACCTGATCGTTTATATTCTGCTATGTTACAGTTTGCTAGTAGAACATTAGGTAAATATACTATTTTAAAAACCTATTTGACATAATCCTTTGGTTGTTAGTTGAACTGATAGTTCAATAACCACTATTCAGTCGAAAAGCAAAATACACTAGTGTTTTTGAATAATATAACAGTGTTGCGTCAAGGCAATACTCTCAGGACCATTTATGGCAACAAAAACAGGTTAGTTACAGACCTAAATACTAACAATCAAAAAGTACACACTCTAACTAATCTCTTCATACTCATTGGAAAAAACTATTGGCTATCTTGATCCACATGATTAATAGATAATAAACTAGGGGTTTGATGCAGAAGTACTGGGTTCGAGTTTTAATGTGAACATCAACACTGGGATGTAGGTATATCCGTTTGATGAGTAAAAATCATGTCGAAACGCGTGTTCAGGATTCCAGTGTCATTCGCATACCAAATATACTAAGAGTTGTTGAATTGCTGAAACCATGTTTTGGTCAGCATTTTAAATTCGGTCACCACTCTAAAGCTTGATCAAAATTGATAGAATCGTTTTATGGAAAGTATCAGCTTATAATATTTATCTATCTTCAAATATAGTTTATACTATTGAACAAAGAGAAAAGCTGTAATCCACTGTTTATGTCACCAGTATTTGATAACTAAACATGAGTGATTGATACCAGACAGAAATGAATCTCCTAAAGTATAGCCAACTATAAAAGAGGTTTGGTTGTATGTTAAGGCGGATTTAATTGTCTTTATTTCTTAGTTATATAAACGGCATACCATTCTTACTTTTATTCTCGATGTTATCAGTCAATTAATTACTGTAACTCGTTTACCAAGTGTAAGTTAATTTTGATAATCCAATAATAAGGCTACGTTTATCGTAACTATGTATGATAACCTAGTGCAATATATTTCGAATAACCTTCTGATCAATCATTTGCATATGGATATTTACATGTGGAAAATAGAAGGTTAACTAGAATAATTGGAAGATACGAAAACTAGGATAACAGGGAAACCATATCACTCTGAATATTTAATCAATATTAACAGTGTAGGTTTAGTGTTAGTACAAATCGATTTTGAACACACAAGGGAAGTATTTATTATAACTTTCGTATGATTAAGGCTACAACGAACCAAAGTGTTCGCACTAAACAACATTTATACAAAATCACAAAAGCTAGATTCAGATTCATGTTGTAATATATTTCAACTGTTTGGCAATCGGATAAGATGAGTGGTGTAACAGAACGGATATTGGAGAAGTTGAATCTCTCGGCACTATTTCTCACATTATTATTACTTACATCTTTATTGTGTAATAAGTAAGTGACTGTGGAGCTGTATCTATATATTACCCTTATGGTAAACTTTCGTTGAATGCATGGATTGTTATCATCCGTTTTACTATACCTTAGTTGTTACTAAGTATTTATGTACTGTTTGCTCGGCTCTCTACACCGCTTATAGTATGATTGTGCTTAAAGTGGGACTTTTCATTCACTTTGCTATGTGGTCAGATATTAACAGTATATTATTATATGAGTTTTGAGTCATCATATTCTGATTGACTACTAAGTTAAAAGGGGCTTGAGGGTCGATAAGTGTTAAGGCCTTTCTTGCTGTTAATTAGTCAGTGTGTAAATCCGTGACATAGGTCACAGGTCTGACTGGCAATATATTATGCGTTATCTATCAGTGTCTCATTTTAGTATCCAGATCGAAGTACATGACATAGAGTAGACTTAAAGACCAAATGGTTGAAAGTTGAGTACCATATCCATGACATCATCTCTCCACTTATCAGTTACTATAACGACGCTATATGTACGACAAAGTGCGTTTTTAGACACATAACTGGAACTTTTATAATTCAAGCTTGACGTACAGATTTATAGTTCATTGTTATGTAACTTCTGAGTTGTAAAAGATATAGCAGCAATTAATTAATGAGTTAGTTTTTTAGTGGAGGTCCTTTGGTTTGTTGTCATTTAGATCGGACGATGTTGTCAAAGCGCTCTCCACTTTAGTGGCCCATGATCTGATTCCGATTAGATCGTATGAATGATTGTTATCGCCTATCCTCGTATATAATCATTGACTTAAATCGCGTTAGTCTATAACCGAATTAAATAAGTCAAATAACGAGAATGGACTTTTGAATACATATATTTTGTATACGAAGCGAACGGAACAGAGAGAAGAGAAACGACGCGCAGTGGAGTTGGCGGGTAAGCCAACTCCCTTTTAGTCAAGGGTTAATCAATATTTATAGTCACACAAAAATAAGTTACAGACATGTGATGAGTAATGGGATAAGATGTGTACACATGCCTACGCGCTCATATAAAAACAGTCAAGATTGATAAGCAAATAATTAACAACGTTAGAACCTGACTCAAGTAGAATGAATACATTGAGATGTCCGAAAGTTAGAATAAGGTATTTGGGCTTAACATAATAACAGATACTACGGTGTAACGTTTACACTGTATAAACAGTCGTACAATAACTATATCATGTGTAAGAATAACTATCCGTCTTCACTATTAAATAGAAATATGATATCTGACACTTGCGATCATTATCCGTAAAAGAACAAAGCAACATGTTCTCACCCATTGTGTACTTTCACAACCTCAATTAAATGTCCTTGTACACTCCTCAATCTAAATAACTGTATGTAGTCTGATCAATAAAAAAGGTAACTTCTTGATCGATATAATTTCTCTATTTTTAGAAATACCTCAACTAAGTCCATCAACTTTGAATTTACACAGATTATTTGAAACTGAAACAAGATCAACAGAACCTATTCTAATATTAATTAGTCCAGGAGCTGATCCATCACAAGAATTATCTGAAGCAGCTACACTTCATTTCTCACGTAAAATATTTAATAAAACATCAGAGACAACCTCATCACATTATCGTCAAATTGCTATGGGTCAAGGTCAGACCGACTTAGCCATAAAAGAACTATATTCAGCTGCAAAGCAAGGTGATTGGTTATGTTTGAAAAATTTGCACCTTGTTATACATTGGCTACCAGTATTGGAGAAGGAAATTAACACTTTATTGTTGAATATCAATAAGAAAAGTTCAATTAGTCTTAGCAATAATGGTAATAATGATAATGATGATAATTGTACTATTAATAAATCTATTGATACTGAACATTGTGTACATGATGATTTCAGATTGTGGTTAACTGCAGAACCACGTACCACATTTCCATCTACATTATTACAAGGTTGCCTTAAAATAGCTTATGAAGTGAGTTGGAAAATTTGTCACATTACCTTATTGTAAATAATTCTTTGTCGGATGATGACACAGTTTACGTAATGATTTGATTTTATCAGTATTGGGTTGTGGTCGCGTAATTTTGTGAATTGGTAATCTTGAAGATAATTTTATTCACAGAATAAGATCATTTGGTAAATCATTAAAAATTAAGTAGCATTGGGGATATGTTTTACCATCGTTCAGCACTCTTTAGAAGTGGACACCAGTAAATCCTTACTGAACTGAACTCAGTATTGGTAGATCATGTTATGATCTTGTTTTTCTTATATCAGTCCATGATATTACCCAGTTAAATTTTTATCGTTGTGTCTAATCAAATGTTGACGAATTTATTGGAATTCATCATACTATATAGATGTAATGAATCGACCTTATCTACTTAATTACAAAAAAAAAAAGATTAAGATAAATCCAAATGCATACTAATATTCAATTAATTTTATTTCTTCTTAGGCTCCACCTGGATTAAAACGGAATCTACAAAGAACTTATGAAACTTGGCCAAGAAACTATATATCTCAAGGAAATTCAAAGACTCGAGCAACTCTACTTGCGTGCCTTGCTTGGTTTCATGCTGTTGTGCAAGAGAGACGAACTTATATTCCACAAGTGAGTATTCTTTCCTGAACACATTTCAATACTTCAAAACACCTTATGAAATCACTAGCTTATGTTTGTCTACGTACATTCAACTATATATAAACCGATTATGGCTTAGGTAAATAGAAATTAGTTACATGTAGATCTTAGCAACTAGTAAGCGATTTCGAAGATTGTCCTTTATTTTAAGAAAAGTGTGGTTGTGGTTACCGGTTTAATTTGTAGGTAACATTCGTCACCGTTCCTCCTTAGATTGGGCATCAAGGTCACTAAGACAGAATAATCAATGTAGGATTGTTATTAAAACAATTTTAGTTGTTTATAAGCGTGAAAATAAATTCTGTGTAATGTGTAGCTAAATTAGTTTGTAAGTCAAATAAAACGATTTGATAATAATCAAAGTGGGGGGAGAAGTAATTGGAAAACCAATGACCACATTACTTGTTGGCGATTACCTAACTTATCAAGTGTTATGAATTCAGTTAAAGATAGTATAACCGAGTAGGTGTTAACTAATTTGTTTAAATACTTAGGAGCAAGGTAGTTAAACTAGATCTATAAATCAGATAAATTTACGTTGCGAACACTAGAGGAGGGAACGTGTACTTTCAGAGAATTAAGTTACCATTTAATAAAGATTACTGACTTGTGGAATCCAATTATCTTGAGTGCAGAGTTCCGGGGTTTTTCTAAACTGTATAGCTGACATTATTTTAAAGGTTTGGAAACTGACTACTTTTTTGGTAGATTCCTTTGAACAGTGTAGATTATTGAAAAGGAATTGTAATTTTTCCATATGGTGCTTTTATACTGGATAAGTCAAGGTTAAACTAAAAACTATCTTAACTACACTTCTGCGTAATCAGTTTGTTATATGTTGAGGAGAACAAAAATGTAAATTTCCAGTGTAATTTATTCCTTAGGATATGCATCTGAAGGATATGCTAGGTTAGGTATTCCTTTTAGGTATCACTATCAGATACGTAGGAAACATTAATTGTAGTCCAATTAAATTAAACCTTCTTTGCAATGTTGTCTAATCTTCTAATGAACATTGATGTATGTTCTCCAATATAGTGTTTCTGTGCTCATGAACGCCCAACTTCATACGCTATCTTTTTCTTAAAATGTATTTGCCTCAACTTGGACTATTTCTTACTGCAAACTAACGAGAACTTTTGGAAAAATAATCTTCGTTCGCCTATTCATGTGTTTTAAACTAATGGAAATTTTCTAATAATTGAAACAGAATTTAAAGATGGTTGATATCACAAACAGACTTAAATCAAAAAGTCATTCCAAGCTGAGGAGATGGAAACATCTGTTTCACAGTATTTCGAGACTCTTAAACAATGCACATCCACAACCCTACCAGGGATCAAACCAAGGACATTCGAGTCTCTCTGTAAGGGTGTTGGAATTCAATAATTCGCAATTCCAGCATCAGGCAATTCACAATACAATACAATCGTCATCTACTGCCGTTGTTGATAGCCGTCTTAATAATGATGTGAATGAGAATGTAGCATCACTACAATTTTATAATGACCAAATTTCATACCCTTGTTATCCAACTGTAAAATATCTTTTTCTTAACATCAATAATTTCATAAATATTTCGAATTTTCTGACTCTTTGAAAATAGAAGGCATCAAATCATATACATTTCTTTAAATAAATGATGTTCGAGGTTCTTTCATGTAACGTAAAACGTGTTGTGATAAATTTAAGTCTACCAAAACAAGATGGAAATAAGCTTTATTTCACTTCATTACAAAATGAGTTGTATGGTGGTATTATTATTACTTGATCACTAAGCAGTATTAATTAGTGTCATATTGTCTACGCCTTGGTTGAATCGTTGCTATCAGATTGTAGTGAAGTCTGTTTTAGATTTGAATAGTTTAAAGCTGTTATGTAGAATCACTAGACTTAAGTTTTATACTATTTGACACCTGTTTTCTATATTTCTTCATAGTCTGTAGGAAACTGATACTACACCGTCAGGTTCTAACTTAATTCACCCAATCCAGATTCTGGTATTATTAGGATGTATGGAGAAAAAGAAAATTTCATGTTGATAAAGAAACTTTCTAGGTTATATTTTTTCTCTATTTAGGGATGGACGAAATTTTACGAGTTTACGTTTGCTGATCTTCGTGCTGCAGCTGACGTAATCGATCGGTTATTATTGATAGATCATGGTCAAATATCTAGAACAACTGAAGATATTTGGTCGTGGATCTATGGTTTATTTGGTGAATCAATTTACGGTGGTCGTATGGATAATACGGTGGACTTAAGTGTATTAAATTCTTATCTAACTTCAATATTTAACGATAATACAGTGAGAAATCGTCAAATTGGTCCTCTCAAACTACCTGGTACAACTGAATTAAAAGTATGAACTATTGATTATCTGTTTCTTTTTAATTTTCTCATTTTGAGTATTGATAGTTAAAGTAGAATCAACAATCCGATTTGTTAACCCCTTAGGTACTTGTTCTCATCTCCTATACTGATAGGTATCCTGTTTCTTACTGAAGTCCACAGATGTTCTACAAACTATACACATAATTTATAAAAGAAACCTGTTCACTTTAATAAGAAATGAGTTAACAACCACCATAAAGCAGTAGACTATTACTTCTTGCGTTTTCCAGGGAAAGGTTAACCAGGTGAGCACATTGGATTAAACTGGAAAATTCTATTTTTTTCACGGTTACTATAAATGCACCAATCCTGTAGGAAATATAACAATTAGTATTTATTTTAAACATTGAGCTGCTCTTATGTTTCTCTACTTGTGAAAATTGGCGTATCAGTTTGTGAGGTTTTTTTTCATTTGGATATCAATTCTTTAACGTTTGCTAGTTCCACGAAAATTTGATGATGATTATCTATTGAGATTACTGGAGAACTTGTTCTTCTCCTAGATGTTACACAGACTCTCTCTTCTCATTGTACACTTACACAGTATTTTATCTAGAACAAAACAATAGTAAATTTTAATATTTTATTTAGCATACACTTATATTTGACTCAGTATCAACTACCGATTGAAAAATTACAGTATAATTACTTGGTGTTATTGTTATCATGAGTATCACATCACTAGTTCTATCGTGTCATGGGGTGCTACGTTAGAAGTTAAACGACTAGGCCCCCAGCTAATAGGTTCCAAGCTCGAACTTTACTTCATTTAATTCCATTTTGGCACCTGGGTAGTATTACTAACCGTCACACAGAGAATATAGCTGTAAGTCGAGTGCATAAACCCTGTACTTAATAAATGAGTACCTGGTGAACAAATCTCAAATTGTATAAAACACTGTATGTGAAATTTAAGTGTCAAAAAGAGAATTACTATGTTATTTTTTATCACATACTGATCACAACTGGGATGCCACTGAAAACCATGGAGCACTGGTCAACTTTTTCGTTCTAGTATAAGACCTCTGAGCGGTGTGCACACTTTTGTCTGATTTAATCTTCATTTAAACACAATAACCCTTTCATAGTTCATTTTAGTCTAGTTTTTACAAAAAGAGCTTACAGTTCACTTGTCATTAACATCATGACCGATTCACCGCCATACTTCCCTTCATTTATTTTCCTGGTTTCATTTGTTTGACTTCATCTGTATTTTACCATAACATTTTAATTGTTCAATGTGATCTAGTTTATATTTCATTTATAATTTACTGTTATGATAACTAGTTTTATTATTTTGACATTATTCAATGAAATGTTTGACCTCGTATCAATTTAGACATCCAACTACTTCCGTTCATCTCGTACCCTCTATCAGTGTTACTATGATTAGTAATATTATTATCATCACTAATATGATTGCTTCATTAATGGTTTTGTTTGATAATTGCTATCAACTTCATTACTTTTCAATGGTTGGGATCATGAGTTAATTGAAGCTAGACCATCGTGGAAAAAGCGCTGGACGGCCGTTTCGTCCTATTGTGTGACTCCTCAGCAGTGCGCATCCACGAACCCGCCTCGCGAAATGCGAACCCGGGACCCATCAGTCTCACGCGAGAGCGCTTAACCACTAAACCATTGAGTCGGCATCATTACTTTTGTTTATAGTAATCATAATTTGCACAGGTTTCTTATATACGATTATATACTAATCTCTCCCTCTTTGGTTTAATCCAATCATCTATGTTATTGAATCGTTTATAGATCCCCCATCATATAAAAAGTTTAATATTTAAACGAAGAATATTCTTTTCGATAAATTCTTTTTAGATTCTACAATTATATATCCAAATTAATAAACCGATAAATGGCCATGTTAAGGGCAAAGTGCATCGTTTAAAGCAGGTGAATTTAGGATTGTCAAACAAGATAGAATAAAATTGTTCATGTTGATATGACTCATATAGAATGTTAACTTGAAAATCTAAGATCTAAGATCAGAATAAATGTGGGTCAGATAGAGTGAAAGAAATAATTCGATCAAACATTTAGTGGATAGCTATATTGTGTGAAAAATATTAATAAGACGTAATAAGGAGGGGTGAGTGCGAAGTGAATGAATCATGTATTGGGGAGATGAATAGTGATGTCTAATTAGTACTAATAATAATAATAACAATGATAATGTAAATCAAGATAACAGACAATAACATTTGACTACGAAAGGTCGTAAGTATAGCAGTCAAATTAGGTCATCCAATAGCTAAGATTACTATTGGTTAATTGAACTTGAGGTTGGTCATGGGAGGAGAAGTGCTTAAAGATATTTCTTTTGTACTCATACCTCTGGTTTCTTCATCCGGTTGGCTATTGATTCAGCCGTTTGAAGGACTTTAAGTCTGACAAGCCTTGGCAAAAAATTACTGACCCGATAAATAATTGAAAAGGATTAGTTTATACTGGCACTATGAGAGGTTTGCACTAAATGGACCAGTATCGAGCTGTTCACTTTCTTCACTAGACCTTTGCTTAGCCACGCTGAAAGGTGTTTGCGAGCACAAAAATGTAAATCCCTAGAACTTCGACCAATATAACTTGCTCCACAGGAACACTTATTTACTTACGTCTGTTACTCCTCATGAAGGAACATAGGCCGCTCACCAGCATTCTCCATCCAACCCTGTACTGGACAATCCTATCCAGCTCTTTCTAGTCGTTGTTCATCATTTTCATATCTGATTCTATTTCCCGACGTGATGTATTCTTTGGTCTTCTTCTTTTCCGCTTCCCTTCAAGATTCCAAGTGAGGGCTTGCCTCTTGATGCAGTTTGATGATTTGCGTAATTTATGTCGTATCCATTTCCATCGTCTTTTCCTAATTTCCTCTTCAGCTGGGAGCTGGTTTGTTCTCTCCCACAGAAGGCTGTTGCTGATGGTATCCGGCCAGTGGATGTTGAGTATCTTGCGTAGACAGCTATTGATAAATATTTGTACTTTCTTGGTGGTGGTTGTTGTAGTTCTCCAAGTTTCAGCTCCGTACAGTAGAACTGCCTTGACGTTGGTATTGAACAGTCGAACTGATAAATACAAAATGTGGTGGTTATTCTAGGTAATTCATCTTTTAGCCTCGGTGTAACCAGTGGGCGCGTAGAAAACACTAGTCGTAGTTCTTCGGTGTTGAAAGATTTTTGTATTGTTCTGCGTAATCTCTGAGTTAATATTTCGCTAGCCGCATACCTTCTGAATTGTAGGCAGACGAATTTATACGAAAATGGAATGTACTTATAATTGTTTCATCTCACTAGTAAAGTAAATGAATTTTTCACATATGATACATAGAATTACGATTGTAAAGCATTTTATTTATTTGTACAACTTAGTCCGTATGTGGAAGATTCAGAGTAAATGAAAAAAATGAAATAACTTCACTTCATCTCAAAATATTTATTATCTTTACACAAGTTGTTATGATTATTTAGTTTGAAGTTTGACATGACGAACTGACTTTGGTTAAACAACCATTTTTACCCCAGAAAGCAGTGATCAGCTATTTCATCGCACTGATAGTGGACATCCAGGACCCAACTAGATATCGAACTCAGGGCCTTTAATTTTCGCAACGAGCTCTTGGCCAATAGAACACAGTAATAGTATCCAATTATTTAGATTCTTGGTCCCTATTCAATGATATATCTGACTGTTTGTTTCAGTTATTTATTTCAGAAAAATGTTTATCCGGCTGTGATTCTCAAGGTGACATAAATCCCTAGCTGATAATGATAATATTCCATTTTAGTGCCACAAACACATTCACTCTGTGATTTGAGTAACTAGTCATTAATTACTTACCTGTTTCATTTTTTTATATCCATTTGGATATTCAACTTTTGATGATCTCTGACTGTGGAAAAGTTTAAGCAATCTGGATTACATGCCATATCCAGTCAGTGATTCGGATGTGAATTATTATGTGTAATATTTCAGTTAATGAAATAAAGTGAGTTTGTGATGTGAAACTTCAAGTTTAACGATCTCAACATTACTCCATAATGACACTGCATCATGAGCTCACTCGCAACTAAATCTGTGTAGTGATGCTTGGAGTTCTTTAAAAGCTGTGGTCAGTGGAATTCAACTATTTCATTCCTGGAACCAAATTTCGCAAATGATGATAGTCACATAGTATCAAGAATTTACTGAAGTTAGAAATGTGGACCATTAGATCCTAACTCAGAGGTCTAAAAGTAATGCTTTCTAAATGAAGTCTAAAGGTCTTGATACCCGTCCTTGGTGAGTCCTAACTCAGAGGGCTTTATCCTTGCGTGTTCGTGAACATGTGCCGGCATGGTTGGGAAAAGGAGTTACCAAATCGATTAACAGTGCTATTCTTTCACACTTGGTAGATAATGAACATCATATCAAAATAGAGGACGCTTTCTCTTTTTTATATCAAGTTCCAAAATATCTACCTCAAGGAGCTAGATTACGATTACACTTTACATAGCCGAAGCCATCTGGATCAACTCTAGAAGACCTAATTTATGTATCCATAAAAAATATATCCAGACTCTATGTTTACCTTGGCCTACGACTGGATCACCGAATACCTAGTCTGAATATTTTAAACCTCTTACCACCCCCCTTCCTCTATTTTTATTTATTTTCCTTATTATCATTATTTTTGATTATCCCTATCTTAAACTTCACATCTATCATTCCCAATTCGTTGATCGTAGTTACCTTGATAACACCCCCTACCCCTTTATTACATATTATATTCACACAACAATATTATTATTATCTCAATTGACAAGATGAAATTCTCTTACTATGCATTTTATTTACACAATTTTGTTTTTACATTTTCGATTTTGCTATAATTGTAATTGATCACTACTCCTAATCATCCTGACCTTTATTGAATGACCTTTCTAATTTGCAAATAATACCATTTTGAAGTATATATATATCGTAACAGATGCAAAGGTGCACCATTTTTTTTAACACATAACATTGTCAAATTTCATTAATACATGCCTGATTTTTGGCCTTTGTAAAATATTATAATTATGGACTTATAACTGTAGAGCCTAATGATGAAGTTATTGAAAACAATTGTTCGCTCAAATATTCTTCATTTTTGAGTGCTAACTGTTGAGAAATCTCATACAATAATAGAAAAGCAACTGTTTAATGCTTTCTTATTTTCAGTGGTGTTTAATCAAAGCCAGTATGTATTGTAAAAAAGTATTCAGAATAAAAAGTTCATAAATGTATTATTGATGAATGGTTTATCAAAAGGATTTACACTTTTGAATTTTCCAAGGTAAAGCTGTATAATCCATAATTGACATGTATTCGTATCCATGATATCTAACAAAATTCAGTAAATTTGTTTAAACTTAATGTTTTGTATCAATGACGAAGGCTTCAGATCTATCGATATGTTCTTTGAAATGAACAGAAATTATTATTAGGTTGTAATTAAACATCATAATTATGAATTGAATTTGTTTCTACATTATACAATTGTTTGAAGTAATTCTATGTTGCATCTTGTATCAAAATGGTAAGAAGTGGTATACTTCTTAAGAGTTACAAAGATTTTATTATGTGATAAATGAACTTGTTATTGATGAAATTATTGAATAGAATACTGATCAATCGATGATAAACAATGATATAAAGTATGGCTGATTGATGGTTGCTCACGAGATTGTTTTATTGGTGAAAGCCTCTGAAGGATTTTGAAATATAAGACAACGACACTAACCTGAAGAGTAGATTTTTTTTAGGTAATAAAATGATAAAATGTCACACATGATTGAAGAAAATTGATTTGTAATTCACTCATTTTCCAATCAATTATTAATAATTAGGTCTAATTTTTCCTCCGCTTGAAACTCTTCTAGAATTACTACCGGTCCTAAGCCCGGATAAAAGAGGAGGGCTGGGCTTACTAAAAAAAACGCTCACCTGAAAATAATTTAAATCACTTGAACTTTGCTCTAGTTGTTGGAGGGTCTTCGTACAGAAGAGTTTGATAGCTGAGAAAGACGAGCTTAAAACAGTTTCTATGAATTCGTTCGGAATCGTTGTTTGAATCTTTTCATTGATGTTTAGGACTTCAATCGATCAGTCTCTTTTGTGATATTTACAGAGTCCCTAAGTGAATATCGACTATGGAATGCAGGCAAAAAGTGAATCCTAGATTTTACAATGAAAATTGTTAATTATGAATAAAATTTATAAGCTAAAACATCTTATTAAACTAAATCTAATTATATTCGTATATTCAATTTTATCTTATTACAGGACTATATTGTTCAGATTAATACCTTACCTGATCACGATCTTCCTATATATTTTAATTTATCACCTAATATTGAAAATAGTATGCAAAGAAGTGAAGCAAATCGTGTAATTGCTCAACTTAGATTACTTAATCGACCTTTAATGGACACTAAACATAAATTTGATAAAAGTCTATGGAGTAAAGAATTAGGACCAATATTGATATTATGGAAGAAACTTAATCAAGGTTTAAATCTATTACAAGTAAATTAACCTAACTTTATGTAAATTCATATTATTGATTATTAAATTTAAAGAGTTATAATTTTCTAACTTTTGAGATATTCCATTTCATTCACAAATGAGACAACTTTGTCTTATTCGACCGGATTCAGAGTAAAGTGGAGTACTTTGATGTAAGTTAAATGTTAAAGGAATTTATTCTTTTTAACTGACTTCATGTCACAAGCTGAACTATACACTGTGCGTCCAATAAATATGAGATTTAAGATAATGGAAACTATTATTAAAAATCTAAAGTAGATTAATCTTACTGCTTTCAAATTTCTCCTCATTTGTGAAAATACACTGGTTCCATCTCCGGCTTCATTACTCTAAACATATCTGAAAATCAACAGAAGCTAGACTTTTCAGCAGCCATGTTTTTTTTCCACACAATTCACCCTACAGTAGATATTTTGCTCGAATAGTAAACATAGATAATTTTCTTGAAAATCTCAACAATTATCTTGATGGTAGTTTAGCAGTTTAAATGAACAAAATACCTCGCATGTTCTATCCTTTCATCAACACAAGAGATTGATGGCCGTCTTTAATTTACAATATCATTCAAGTCTTTATGTCCTCTAATGAAGTATTTTGATTTATTTACTGAAACACAAACATTGGTACATGGAGGCACCAAATAGATATGCGCCACATAAATCATTCGATTTGTGTGAGGGCTGGGATAATGCCCGGCTGCCTAAACCGAAGCAGGTGGTTTTCTTAGTGGGCCACACCAGGAGCCTTCGACCTAAAGGTCTGATTCACAAGGCAGTGGAGCAACATCAGCACATGCAGTCCCATGGTAGCCGGTGATCAAGAATTGGTTCACACGTCATTTGTTCCTTCAGGATACTGAAGCCCATGTGCACCATTGGTGTGGAATGAGGGTTTTCCAACTGCCCTTGGTGGATCCTCCATGTCCACCAACCCGGTTAAGGCGACGGACATTCGCTTTTCGTCCTCTCAATTCGGTAAACAGCAGTAGTGCCGTGAGAAGGCAGTGAGTAGGACTTCCGTGGCAGTGATTGTATGCACATGGTCATGTGAGAGCATTTGGAGAGGGAGAACTGACTCCCTACTCTTGACCGTACCAGGACATTTGGAGACTAATTTATTAAAAAAAGTCGGTGGAACCCGGTATTCTTAGCTGGCTACCAGTACAAGTACTAACCGGGCCCAGCGTTGCTTAACTGTGGTGATCGGACGAGAACCGGTGCTTTCAACGTGTTATGGACTCTGGCGAAGTGCTCGATTTACTTGAAAAGATCTATTTTATTCAATGTATTATCTTTAAAAATAGCCCTTAGTAATTTTTTAAATCAAATTTTCAGCAAAATAATTTACTGTTATATAGTTGAATACATTCGGATTTACTAACAAAACTGAAAACTTTAGAAATCGTATGTTGAATCAATTAAAGGTCATGTTGACCCTCCACAGAAATAAATTAGTTACATGATTATTGATCACTTACAACTAGGTTCCAGGCGCTTAATATTATGTCGATTAAAATTGATCCACTGTTATATCGGTCACTATTATTTACGTGCAATATTGAACTGAATTACTTTTAATACTGAAACCTTGAATTCGATCATTCGTCGTGAGAACACAAAATTTGTTAATACGGATTTATTTACCCCTGAAATAAATTGAAACGATACATGAATATACTCATTTACATATTGTGTTTACTCACACTTGATGATTAGTCAACATTCATCACATACATGGGAAATTATTGTGTCTTTAACCCTTGTCAATTATCACGGGATTTATTCGTCAATCGAAATATGACTTATACAATCTTCGTACTATGCCAAACCAATGTATCCGACCGGTATGAGCAGCCCAACGTGCCCATTGGTCCTTTTCCCTCCTGGCCCTTCCAGAACACCGACACCAGCTTCCACTATGCGAATCATTTATTTCAAACATACTGGGTTTATATACCAACCAAACAGACCACATTACACCATAAAATAGGAAATAACATTTATACATGATCAAACCAAATAGTGGCTGTGAACATGGGAGACTGCAATCAATAAACTGGACATAACTTAAGAACAGTAGGTCGCATAATAATAGTCTATGGGTCAAAATAAAGCATATAATAAGAAGAGTATAGATATACATAATTTAAGTACTAAATAGTTATACCATAAGGATATATAGATAATATTAGTCGAATAATAGGTCTCAACTTACACTGAATTAATGCAAAGAATTTTTTTCCTGAATAAATATCACATTGAAAATAAAACAAAAATTACACTAAGCAACCATAGTCAACGATAAATGGAAACTGTTGAACAGTAATCATATCCGATTCATCTGAAGACTAGGATAGGCGTAAATTATGGGGTTTCAGTACCAAGCAAATGTCAATTAAGCATTCTATGGACATAATAGCGAACGACTTGACATTTAATTACCTTACTATATAACTTTTTTATGCAAAAAAGTGTTTAAGCTTCATAAAAAATGTATAGCTTTTTGGTTGATAGCTATTTTGTCTTATTACTTTTTTTCTCAGTCTCGAACATCAAACAAAACTAACAAATCTGTCCTGTCTAAGTCAGGTGACGATATCAGTTCTGAGAATAAATCAACAACTGAAAGTCCGATTCAAGAATTTTTACATTTAGAATTACATAATGCTCTTCAGCTTATTCAACATGTGCATTTAAGTTTAGCTAGTATTGCACGAGCATGTAAAGGGACTCAGTTAGTAACTGGAGTTATGCATCAATTAGCTAATAGTTTATTACATGGTGAAACACCTGATTCATGGTTATTACAATGGCCTGAAGGACCGAATGAAGTAGTCCCGTTCCTACGAGAATTAGTTGTTAAAGCGAATGCTGTACAAGTAAGTTATTTATATATTGTGGATTGACATTTCTTTCTGTTTTATTCAAGTTTTAAAGAGATTGTATTGTCACATACTACATTCAGTCTAACAGTCACCATTAATTTAGCAACAGGTAAGCATGTATATCGATTCAGTTCTCTATTTCTTAATGATAAGTATGCAAGTTTAACATAAAAATGACTTGTACTGCTTGACCAGTAGCAGTAAATAAGTGTTTCAAATAAAATAGATTTCTAACCAATCAGCATTAATATTTATGGGGTCAGCTCTAAAGGACGCTTCTAGTTGAAGGCTCTCGACCAAAAATCGTGGCCAGGTACAGGTTACGTATAACTCCTCCCATTTTGTAAATGGCTAAATCATTAAAGTAGTGTTGAAACAACTAATACCTATATGGGATCTAAAATGCGTATTAAAGCTCTCATTTTCACCAGAACCCAAAGCAATCCTTATTAGCACAAGTTTATCATTTTGAGTTTTCACTAGGATACCCGGAATTTAATGAATTCTGATTACGTTTAGAAACATGAGTTTACTTCTGTTTACAAACACATTTTGATTTTGAGTGTCATCAAAATCGAGGAAACTAAGAGAATCAATCATTATAACACTATTCATGGGGGCTATGCACCAAAAAATATTTTTATCGAAATATGTATATCTGGAGTTAAACGTGAGATTGATTTTGGATCGTGGATATTGCAATCATCTATATATATCAAGTGTGTGTCAGTTAGAATTTCGCAATCAGGTCACGTGCTGGTTAGTAGATCACACAATACATAAGATTGTATACATTAACAGTGTAGTTGTTTTTAAATTTGTGGGAAGGCAAGTGATTAATCTTGATGGTGGCCTAGCTTTAATCGACTTATGAATTCAACTATTAAATTACTACAATCTTCACAAAACCCGCTTTCTGATAATGGTCTTGATTAGTTTAAGTTGCATTATCAACGAGTGGAAGGAACTATGTATACTAGATCTATTAATGTTTTCACTATAACTTACAATTTTATGGGGGACGATTTAGGAATTACTAAACTTAAAGCTGATCAAGGCAGTGAAAGAGATAGGATGTTTTGTCTTTATGACCAATACAATTAAATTTTTTGGTGTGATATTACTAATGCTTAATCGATTTGGAAGATTAGAATCTGGATAACATGTAGCAGGTTGTTTGAAATACAGCAGTCATAGATCTCGTGTTATTTGCTAATATTTTGCAGCTCATATGAACAAAAAGTATGGGAAAAAGGTGATCGTATTGATTCTCTGTTTGTATGTATTCAACGTATATTCCTTCATATTATCTATCGTATTAATTTGTACAGACATACCAGTTAACTATTACAAGCTTTATGTCAATAAGATTCAACCATTTACTATCAAACAGTGTATATGGAAATGTAAGTAATGCCGATTCTATTGTTATGATCTGTACATTATTTTCGTTTAGGATCGATATCAGTTGTGGTACTATGGAGAACCACTGGGCGCTGGGGAATTTTTTCATCTTCATCGAGGATTTACTAACGATGCGTACCCAGTAAGGGATCTCATCTAAGTGATAAGCGTCTAAGCTTTGAGTTACTTGGTTGGAATTCAATGGTTCATTTCTCTTAAGTCTTACTAACCCATGGCAAAAATCATTTATAAATCAAACTAGCTTCTATATAAGCACTTAATCAAAATATTAACATGACCATTGTTAATTGAAACTTTCTAAAATAGATCATAACGAATGAACTTATTCTTTATTTCAACCGATTTGTTCTGTATATCTTTTTAATTGCCATTAGACGTGGACCAAACAGGCAGAAAAAAATCTGTTTTCCAATGAACAGAATGTACAATCTTTAGACTTAGCCAATCTATTTCATCCGGCCACCTTTTTAAATGCTTTACGTCAACAAAGTGCAAGACGCTTGAATGTACCAATTGACACACTTAAACTATCATGTCAATGGCTGGAATCAAATGATCGTAGGAATATATCTTCTAGAAATAGTCAATCATTACTAATACGTATTACGAATTTGAAATTGGAGGGTGCCAATTTCCGAAATGGTCAACTTAGTCAAAGTTGTCAAAATGATTCAAGTCTAATTCAACTACCTGATATTTTATTGAAATGGATTCAACAAGTAATAATTATTTTGTTTAAACCATTTAAATCACTATCATTTGTTCGATGATCGACATATTTCAGTCTTCATACCATAATACCAGTAAATGGTAGACTTCGGATCACTTTTGATTGACTTGTTGTTGCGTAACTGACTGTAACCAAAACTTTAGAGAAAAGGATAGGCTTAAAAGTGAAACCATTTGATTTTAGATGGCATGGATATTCCATCTGTGATTGGCGAAAACTTCATTTATTTTAAACGTAGGTTGCCAGGAGAAACAACATGTCAATTAGTAAGAACATGGATATTTTTCTATTTTGGGATAGTTTGCAATTTTTGCTGAAACTTTTAGATTAATTCATTTAATCCCAAGGCATTCTCAACCAAATTATTAGACCGACCGTGTTGGATGTGAGGAAGTTACACACCACAGACAATGGTAAATGGTTGTCCAATATCGTGAATTCATTAAAGTTGTACTTGTACACCATTGGATGCCAGCTTAGTGGTCCAGAGGTTAAGTATACGCGAGGAAGGCCGAAGGTCGTAGGCGTGTTCTTCTGAGAAGTCCCATACTGACGAAATGTCCATCCAGTGCTCCAAGATTTTAAGCAGTTGTCTACACTATATCGATTCTTGACCTCAGTAAAATAAAGTTTTTGAACGTAGGACATGTATGTCAAACTGCACTCTATTGGAAGGAAGTAAGACTGTTGGTTACCCAAATTAATATATAAAACTTAGCAGTTTAATCCATAGAATCAAATCGAGACTGAGGACTGCATAAGCATAACATTATTCAAATTTCAGTGATCAGTAAGTACTAGGATCTCATCCCCAAAGGAGGTCATTCGGAACTTACACATCAGACTCGAAACCTATATACAACACTTCCTTCAAGGTTGACATTATACCTAACTGTAGAATACCAGCAAGCCCTAAATTTGTCTAGGTTTTTGATATGGCGAGTAATAACTTAATCAACTAAAATGGGAATAACATATGAAATCCATTTTTGTTTCCAATAGTATGTGACATGTATTTACATCTTAAGAAGGATTATAGATTCTTCACTGTGTAATATTGTAAACATATGTGTCCACACAGTAAGTTATTGAATTATCATTGTTAAAGACAGTTCAGTTCAATTTACACGAATCTAACTGTAAATAAACCATATAAAATGTGATGTATTCTGAAATCATTTTGATTTATTTTGAGAGTCACATCCTTATCACCAATCTTCGCACCTTATCTCTAATGTCCAAGTTGTCGTGTAGATTTAGTTTAGGGTTATTAAGAGAAGCTAGAAAATCGAATCAAGTGCTCATTTAGTAAAGCTAATTAGTTTCTTTATAGATTGCTTTCAATCTCCTAACAATGAAATTTTAGTTATCGATTTGTACATAAAGACACATATATCTTTGTTAAAATTTTTAGATTATTCACAGAGCAATAGGACATTAGTTGTCCACAAGTCTATTTCAATATCTTTTCTAATGATACTACTTTGAGTTCATTTGAATTTAGATAACTACTATATATTAATTTATCCAATTATATCTATTAGTGTCAATGGGATATGAATCAGTAATTTGATTTAATTTCACTTCTATGAATAAAGATATCTATGTCACTTTGACCCATTAATCAAGTTTAGTAACTATAACATAATCTTTTTTAAAAATCTAAAATTACACTAGAAACATTATGATTTGTTTGTCAATATCATTAATAAATGAATCAAGATAGACACATCTAACTATACTGTATATACAAACATTATTATGAATTGTACTTGAATTTCACTCTGTGTTGACTATTATGTAGTTTATGTCAATAAACTATTGTCTAGTTTATACTGATCCATGATTATTAATCGATTAATTGAACCAAATATATGATATGGTTTTGTATTGTGATCTAGTGCCCCAATCAATAGTGATCTATTATCTTATATTCTAAGAGTAGGATTACTAAATAGAAATTATAATTTTTTTCACATTATATCACATTACAATAATGATTCATTTGTTATTATATTGGTAAACATATTATCTTAATTGATACTTAGTACAATACGTATTAATTATGTAATTGGTTTTATTTGTCATTTATTTTTTTTATTTATTTTTAATATGTATGTTTAAGGATGAACAAGATCCATTGAATGAAAGCAATTCTATTTATTTACCAATTTATACAAATAATACTCGTGAACATTTAGTAACATTTATTCGAGTCCCCTGTCCTTCAGGTAGTCAAAATCAATGGATTCAAGCTGGAACAGCTTTATTACTTAATTGTTTGTAATGAACAATTTTGATTGGTTAAATTATCTATCTACATTTATTTCTTCCATGGATTACATAGGCATAAACACGTTTTGATTATAATCAGTTATGTGAATATGAATTGTTCATTATACTTCGTTAGATTCTCTGTTTATACAACTATAATTGATTAATATCGTATTATATTGGTAAAGCGAATATGATTTTTTTTTTATTATTTAATATCTTGTGTGTTTTGTAAATGTTTAGTTATAAAAATTTATCTGCTTAAAACTGGTTTGAGACGTTTTTCATCACTGTGAGCAACAATACAAGTGTAAAACACAACAATAAGGAGGAGAAATATGTGTTTATTGAGAGAAGTTACAAAGTATTTACATAATACATATACATAGTTTTCAATCGCATCTTTCGGTGTGTTCTGCTATCTGAACTGTCTTCTTGTCTAGTATCCAAATGTTCTAACAACACAGTTCTTTCGATGTGCTGGAACTCTTCACTCTGTCTGACAAGTACAGCAACTTCGATGTCACGTCCGCTAAACACTATTTACAAACAATCTTGTAAATTGCGTTCACTACACATGTTTGGAATGAGCTTCTTCCCTTATAAATAGTGTTCCCTAAGGACTGGTCTGAGTCATAGCCTAGACCAATTGCAGGAAGTGAAATAGTTGAGCACGCCAGCCACTTCACATATCTTGAAAGTCTTATCCGTGACTATGAATTGGTTTTTGGCAAAATATTGACACGGATTCAGAAAGTTGGATTAGCTTTTGTCAACTCGTGGTGTTGATGATATACCTGTCTGTCAAATAAAGGATGTGCAACAGTTTACTATGTTATGTGAAACGTGACCTTTAAACGTTGAAGATATACGCAGGTTACTGGTATTTAATCATAGGCGTCTTCGAAGCGTGTTGGGTGAACCGAGTTGAGATCAGGTGCAGACCAATAAGCATAGATTGGTCCATAAGAATTTTAATCTACTGAGGTGATTGAGATATGTCATGTGGGTTCATCTACCGCCTACTTAGACTCGTGATGTTGACTAATGTAGAAATGAAGTAGGAGAAAGCTGGGGTCAACCAACCAAGACTTGACACTAGCTGATGAAGTCAACTCAACATTGTGGTGCACTTTATTTGGAGCTAGATAATCGAAAGCGATTTAGATCACTTAGTTAAGTAGCAACATTTCATGATTGACTAACCCTAGAAACCACATAATATAGCACTCAATGGTCAATCATCGTGAAGACTACGGTTTTACGTGAATAAAGAATTATCAATAACATTAAGACTAAGCATAAGTAATGCAACTTCGGTTGTAGCTCTTATAGGGTTATTGCCGGTCACAAGCCCGGCTAAAAGAGGACGGTTGAGGATGGGGTCAGTAACCCCATCTCGAAGGAAACAATCTTGCTATAAAAACTAACCAGATTAAACCATTTAAACTCTGACCTGAGAGTTGATGGAAGAATTATGACGTCTCATGCTGAAAACAGAGGTTCTTCGGAAGTTACGAGGCTGATGCCCTTCCAACAACCACAGCAACAATTAATATAGCTACATGGAATGTCCGGAAAATGTGGGAGACCAGGAGGGTCAGTCAAATAACAACATAAATGAAGAATAAGTAAATCCCACTAGACCCAAGATGAACATAAAAAAGTAAATTCGGGGGAGTTACTATTGTACTCTAGTCACGAAGAAAAAAATGCTCCACACATTCAAGGAGCTGCACTGATGCTGTCCAAGGAATCACGATAAGCACTTATAGGATGGGAATCTTATGGATCAAGAACCATCAAAGCACTCTTCAAAACAAAGGAGGGGATCATAATGAATATTATCTAATGTTATGCACTCACCAATGATAGCAGTGAAGATGATAAAGACCAATTTTGCCAGAGGCAGCAACTGGTCGTAGAGAAGTGTCCAGGAAAGGACCTGACAATCCTAATGGTAGACCTAAATGCCAAAGCCGGAATGGAAAACACTGTATATGAAGATACCATCGGGCAACATGGATTCATACATTCAACAAAAGGGTTATAGGTGGAACTGCATTCCCCCACAAACACATACACAAAGCTACATGGGTCTCACCGAATCATATTACAGAAAACCAGATTGGTCATATTTCCATCAATAAAAAATTCAGAAAGTCAATGAGAGAGTTGAAAAACAAGAGAGGAACCGACATAGCTTCAGATCACCACCTGGTTGTGGCCAAGATGAAACTGAAGCTAAAGAAGCAATGGACAACTGAGGAAACAGTATTACAAAGGTTAAATAAAGCCTCAACGAATTTAAGATAATTCTCAACAACAGGTTGAAGTCTTACTGGATCTACTGAAAGAAGAAGAAACTACTATGAAGAGAAGCTGGAAAGGGATCAAAGAAGCACTAACTTCAATGTATCATGAATGTAAGAAATGGATCTGTATGGAAACTCTGGATAAGATTCAAGAAATGAATAACAAGAAGATAACAATTAATAACAGCCAAGCAAGAACAGAGAAGGTCAGGACACTAGCTGAATACACTGAAGCAAACAAGCAAGTGAAGAGGAGAGTTAGAGCTGACAAGCAGAAATAGGTGGAACAGCTGCAAGAGAAAGAAATATAAGATAGCTATATGACACAACGAAGAAACTATCAGGGAAATATAGTAAACCAGAGAGACCGGTCAAGGACAAAAAAAGCAGGCCAGTCACGTAGATTCAAGAACAGAGGAACAGATGGGTAGAATACTTTGAGGAACTGTTGAATAAGTCCAGGACAGAGTTGAATGGAGAATGCTGGTGAGCGGTCTATGCTCCTCAACAAGGGGTGAGAGGCATAAGTAAGTATCGGTAACGCAAAGAAGCATTGGAACATGATATTATCAGCCGAACTGTAGATAGAACAATAAAAAAGCAACGAGAATTTTCAGATGTAATGGTTATCACTGCGATCGTTTACAGGATGTGATATAATAAGAATCAAATAGAGTCTAAACATATCAACTATTACTTACTAATTAACAATCTGTTCAAAGTGAGCAGTACAATAATAGTAAAAGTCATTCATACTGAACCAAAGAGAAATACTACATGATTAAACCATGTTTCTGTATAGTTGCTTTTCTTTTAAGGTCTAAAACTGTTAAGAATCAGGGGAAAAGTGAGAATATGAAACATTAAAAACTATTTTCTAGTGAATATGCTATTTATATACAGATAGATAGATAATCGGTGTGTATAAATATGGAATGGTAAGGGGTGTTCTATAAAATTATCATGGATAATCACGCATGAAATGCTAAAGTTTTTGGTAATTTTGAATTATTTTCCTATAAACTACTATATGTAAAGAAATACCTATAAATAAGATTGTACACCATCAAAAAATGGCATCGTCAGAACGAATTTTCTTGATTTTGTATTAGAAGTGAGATTTATTAAATAATTCGTTCATGATATTTTAAGATTGTCCTAATTGTAATCTTTTATTTAATCTTACTAACAGTGGCTAGATCTAATATCTTATATACACTACATTTGTTCAAACATGGATCTATCATTAGTATAGGGTTGTGAAGATTGTTAGATTTTTATTGAGATCACGAATGATCAATGTTATGCTCAGTGGTCTAGAGGTTAAGCAGTCACACGCGAAACCGATGGTCCTGGGCTTTATTACCGCGAAAGAGATCGTGGATGCGTATCACTGAGGAGTCTTATATTACTAGGATGAAACGCTCTTCCAGTGCTTTGAGTTAATAATCTCAATAAAAAAATTTACTAGTCATTGTTAGGAGTATGCAGGTGAATGTATGACAAAAATGTGAATGTTCTAGTTTCAATTCCTTATAATAATAATTATTATTATTTATTATTTTAACACATAGATATTGGTACAAGAAGGCACCAAATACATATGCGCCACACAAATTTCATTTTATTTGTGCGTGGGCTGTGATACTGCCCAGGTGCCCAAACCGAAGCAAATGGTTTTCTTAGGGGGCCACACCCCGAGTTTTTGACCTGAATGTCTGACCCACAAGGTAGTGGAGCATCGTAAGGAGATGAAGTCCCATGGTAGCCAGTGACCAACGATTGGTTCACACGCCATTTGTTCCCGCAGGATAGTGGAGCCCATGTGCACCATTGGTTTGAGATCCGGTTATAGCGCCGGACATTCGCTTTTCGTCCTCTCATGTTCGTAAACAACAGTCTTGCCACGAGAAGGTAGTGAGTAGGACTTCCGTGGCAGAGGCTATATACGCGTGGCTATGTGAGAGCATTTGAAGAGGGTGAGCGGACTCTCCCCACTCTCGGCCGTACCAGGGAGTTCGGGGACAATTTCTTATGAAGTCTTAGATAACTACTGTTGAAAAGTCCCATACTAAAACAAAACAATTATCCATTATTGTTCTACTTTCATTAGTTGTCTAACTATGAAATTTGAAAATCTTCATAAATCATTAACTTTAATAATAAAATTTAGTCAATCATGAAGTAGATCATTAATTAATACAGTAGGAAATGCATATTTTCAACCATCTACATTTGTTATTTTTTTATTTAAAAAAAAAGAAAGAAAATCAACTTGTTTAGTTTACATTACCGTGTATACACTCAGAGTAATTTAATCGAATAATCTAATTCTGATTTGACATCATCATGTGCTTTATGTTTCTGTATATTATTATTATTATTATTATTAATATTATTATTATTATTATTATTAGTAGTAGTAGTAGTAGTAGTAGTGGTAGTAATAGTAGAAGTAGTAGTAGTAGTATTCTTTCAAATAAGCAAATATTTCTATCATTATGAAAATAGTGAAGTATTAATATGATACATTATTGAGAAATGTAATAAATTACATGTGAGATAGATCAATTAATTTACAGTAAATGATTCTATTACTATGAGAGTCTAAAATTAGATAATTTCTTTTTCCAAATTGTTATTCATGAAAATTGATTTAAAAATGATATTTGCAAGTAAAAATCGATTTCTCACATTGTTTATTGATTATGGAATGTAATTGATCAGTATCTAATGATATATATATATATATATATATATATATATATATATATATATATATATATATATATATATATATATATATATATATATATATATATATATATATATATATATATATATCAATCAGAATGCATATATACGAATACAGGTTGATCATTCGTAATTGATAACATTAACAATGTGAAAGTATAAACTCTAAATTGTGCAATAAGTAATAGTTTTATTTGAATTCAATAGTTCAGTGAATGGGATATTATCGTTTGAAATGACAGCTAATGTAACTATAAACATTGGAATGCTGGTATATCCGCGGTTAAC